TTTGAAATGCGTGGCGGTCCTCACACTGATGTCTTATCGGCGAAAGTGGTCCCCCCTCTGAAAATTAGTTAAGAACAGTGACCTACACAGTGCTTGGAAAGGCAACTAAAAATGCATCATAGGTTTCGAGGCTGTACTAGGCTGCACTGTAGTAGGCAGCAGAGAGTGCTGGCAGCAAAATCCGTTTTACTGAACTACTGTGCTCCCACGTCGATGCCAACCCCGCATTAATTAGCACGGTGAAGTATGGTCAAACAAACCCCTTGGATTCACAAAGGGCTGTGCATTATGTTGAATTGTGTTCTGTAACGACTATCTCGGGGCTATTGAATTAGGACAGCTACACACCTGGGTATAAACCCTGGCTCACTACTGGATTCAAGTCAACGAAGATGCAGGTGGCTCGGCTGAAATGGAATCATGCATTGTGAGAATTATTTATAATTTGGGCAGATCATATGCGAATGTGACATCAGTGCTTTGTCATACGTAAATATCATAAACAGAGTTCATTACGTAGCCATTTCAAGAGAGCTGCTTTCAGATGCTGATTGCATTTTATTGATTCACCTCTATTCATATCCGTTTTTCTTAAACAACTCACTTTGGCTTCAGAGATACACATCACTGACGTGTACGGGCTAACGTCCTGTAAACTTCAGCTGCTTTGACAATCACCAAGAACAAATTTGCATAATGATGTAACACACGATTTATCCGCCATATTTTAAATACCCAGAGTGTTAATCTTTATCGACCTTTGTACTTATGAGCATTAATAACTAGATAAAGAATTCATTTGAAAGACGTAACAATAATTATTGACTTGTGATATTAATATTTTGAATATGTATTTTCTAAAACCTGTGTGAATACGATTATTTTTTTATTATCTTGGCTTATTTTCCAAAAATCACAATTTTAAAAGAAAATCTATTTTTCAGAAGGGATGGAGTGGTGGCACAGTCATTCACGTACTATACTGCGCACTGAACAAAGGCTATCCAAGTTCCGTTCCAGACAAGCCTCGGACATCGGTGGCAAGTTTTATCTGAACCAATCCTGGTTCCCCCTCCCCACCGGGTGAAACACAGCCAAACAACACCAATGGCTGCCAGGGCATGAGAAGGCTTTCATTCATCAGTGGATTTATAAAGGGGCTGTAAATGTAATTGATGCATTATTAAGAGCTCACATATAATAAGAGCATGTCAACTGCATGTGGAAAACCAACGGCAGTGCTAACAATGCTGCTGTGGCTGTGGGTCTTGCACTGCCATTGAATAACGCTGCAGGGAATAGACTGGGAATGTGGAAACTCTCGCTCTGGGTTTAATGAACAGGTTGAAATTTCCAGCCAAGAGTAGTATAGTCTTGTGTGTTTTCGAATGTGGGGAGCGGTCACGCAATGGTTTGTGCACTGCGCCGCGAGCTCGCACGTCTGGGTTCGATTCCCGTCCGCTGCCTTAAAAAGGAGTTCCTGGCGGAGTGTCAGGTTTATTTGTTTGAACAGGTGAGAAATCAGTAAGAGACCAGGACAACCTCAATTGCAAGTGTGACGCGTAAACAGGCAGGCCAGCGACGTGCCGGCCACACCATCCCCTCGTGCGCCATGTCTGCCTCCGTAGGAGCTCGTTAACAAAAGAGCCAACAGTCTGGATCTTCGTCTGTGGGTAAATGCAACCGAAATTTGTCTGGCAAGTGAGGGCGAGTGCAAAACGTGGCAGGGCAGACTTCTAAAATCTCACGCATGGAGCATAATGGACTTTGAAGTTGTAATCCAGATGTTACCAGTTCCATCTCACAGCACGGCAGTTGATTTAAAGTTGGACATTCCTCAAATGCCCTCCCCACCGCCCCCACCTCTCTGCTCTGTCCACCGAGCCAATAGTTTACACGCAGGTCATGCGTGGTGGGGTAAAGTGTGGGTTCGTCCCTTTATTTTTTACACCTGGACATTGTGGTAAAGTAGACCAAATACCATTTTTAGTGGCAGGAGGAAGATTTTTTCACATGCTTGAGAAATGCTTACTGAGTAGGGGTGGAATGACAGATGTCCATTATTTAATTGAATTGCAATCTTGAATGAATAATATGAATCATATTATTGGCGGGGGTGGGCATAACTATTACATAACCCTACAAATGCCACCGCAAGCTTAATAAAAAGCTGGTAAAATTGGTTTACTTTTGGACGCACAACAATTTTCTGAATTAAAATTGAAAACAGATTTTAACTCAAGACTCGATGCCCCACACAAAGCACAGCTCTTATATAGCAGATGCACGACTTTGGCTGTGTCACAGGCTGTCACACACAAGTCTCAAGCTTTGATATTGTTAAAATTAGTCTATATTTGTTATATATAAAAACATAGTATAAATGACTTACTGTGATTATATATTAAAAAAAAATGTTGGCCGTTCCAGAATGTGTGCTTCTGTTTCTCTCTACACAAGGAACACGAAAGTAAAAACAAATATTGTGCACCTAAAATGTATTTTAAATAATGTCGACTTAAATGTCATATGTAACCCCGGTCGTCCTTGCAAGAGGCAATGTTGTTTCGTGGGTCTCAATTGCTTTATTTAATTTATTGGCGTGGGTCTCAGTTGCTTTATTTTATTTATTGGTTACATAAAACACAGTACTGCGAATGAAATATCAAAAACTATACCGTAAAGTCTACGGCTGGGCATTACATTATTAAGTCTCTAGCGATGTCAATACACATTCGATTCTATTCTTGCGTATAGTGGAAATATGTTAAGGAGATAAATTCCAAAAATCGAGGTCTGCTCCCCATGATGAGAGGGCTTCAGGAAAGAGGGTCATTTTTTGTGCTGTTCCTCCACTTCCCTTGAAGGAGTGCCGACTACAGAGTGGTTTACTATAAGGTCCATAGTTTTGGGTTGCATGGGCACAATCACACGAATGTGGCTCGTCTTAACTGCATTTCCATGCTTATTTACACGGGCCTCTATGTATCATTGAGTCTCATAGTATCCCCTATCGGTCTCATATACAGTCCAAAGTTTGGGTTGCACGGTCAATGCATTCATTGCAATGCGCCAATGTGTGCCGGTGATGGCTTTAGTTACGTCACCAGTTATTAAGGGCCATTGCCCAAAACGTCACCTATTGTATATTTTGTTACCACAATGTTCTTGAAGAATGTGTTGATGTTGTTATCTGTGCCATACGTCTTTATTTTTCCTCCTTCACGAAGAGATTTTGCATAAGAGACCATCATGTCTGACAGATCACGGTACACAAGAACATGACGGAAGAATACATATTGGGCAGAACGGTACGAGACTGAACAGATTATAAACAAATACAGACGGAACAGACGGGCAGAACAGATAGAACAGAGTCCACGATACGGACAAAACGCACGATTCAGACAGAACACATTCATACTTGTCAACCCCTTATCAGTACCCCTACCTTATTACAGACCAATTCAGACATCACTGGTCACCCCGTGCCCCTTATAAATCTCAACCTTCACCCTACAAAGTCCCATCACAAGGCAGAAATACAAACAAATATTCTTATTTTTTAAGTTGCCCGGAGCGAAACGGCTGTACACGCGGGATGGAACCCGAAAACTCAATTTCCCTGTACAAGAACACGGGCCAAACCATCTGGGTTGACAGCGGTGCACAATGATACGGAGCGGACACGAGAGACATCGACCATTTGAATGAATCGTGACACCGCCGAATCGCGGTCGTCAAATCGTTACCGCTTTTGGCATTTGACCCAGAAAGTACAGTGCGATAGTGAGCGGGTGCAGTGCAACAACGTGGCACTGCTGCTGCTGATGATGATGATGCTGATGCACAGCGACACTCAATGTGGGGGCACAGTGACCATACAGTGCGCTCGTGTGCATACAGTGCGGTACTGTCTTCACAGTGCGGTCGTGTCCGTACAGTGCGGTACTGCCTTTACAGTGCGGTCGTGTCCGTACTGTGCGGTACTGCCTTTACAGTGCGGTACTGTCTTTACAGTGCGGTACTGTCTATAGTGCCGTCGTGTCTGTACAGTGCGGTACTGTCTACGCAGTACCGTCGTGTCTGTACAGTGCGGTACTGTCTACGCAGTACTGTCGTGTCTGTACAGTGCGGTACTGTCTATAGTGCTGTCGTGTCTGTACAGTGCATGACCGTCTACACGGAACTGTCGTGTCAGTACAGTGCCGTACAGCCTACACAGTACCGTCGTGTCTATACAGTGCGATACTGTCTACACCGCTGTACTGTTCGCACAGCGCGGTCGTCTGACAGTGCGGTACCGTGCACTGTGCGATGGCGCCCATACAGCGAGTGCCAAAAAGTGCGGCACAGTGCAAGCAAGACGCGGTTGCTAATACATTGCATTAGTGTCACTGCACGGGTGCGTCCAGCGCGGTGCGGGTGCCACGCATCGGTGAGGCGAGGAAGACGACGATGAGCAAACGCCGACCACCGTGACGATTACCACGGTCAGGGTTACCGTTTAAACGGCTCGCGGAGATGTTAATGACTGTGTCCTGATGGCGTGACGCCTATGACGATGTTGAAGCTGGTGATGTCGATTATCGATCGTGTCAATGACCATTCGCGATGATCGAAGACGATGCCCGTGCCGAGGACAGAACGGCGATCGCCGCGACGACCACCACGTCCCCGATGACAACCGCGTTGACGGCTACGTGCGTGTGAGTGTGCGAGTGTGTTGAACTTCTTCCGCACCGTACGTAGCCAACCGTGCGATTCCAAGGACAACAAACTAAGCAACTACAGTGCCATGACGGGTATGAGTGCCTACGACGACGATGATAACCACTACAATGCCAGGCCATTGCATATTTCATAGCCGTGAAGATAATTCGAATGACCATGACGAGAACGTCATCGTTATCAGCCTGATGACGATCAGGCTGATAACGATGACGGATCGTCGTCATCACCACCACCACCACCAACAACAACCAACCACTTTCACTAACCATGTTGCGCGGTGTCCAACTTTTTCGGCGTCTTCTTTCCCATGGCCCCTTTGTTCTTGCAGCAGTAGCAGCAGTAGCAGCAGCAACAGTTGGGGTCGTCAACCTCGTTCACCGCAACCTCGTTCACCGCAACCTCCTGCTGCTGCTGCTACCTCGGCTGCAGAAACCGACGGCGTGGGCACTCCCGGTGCGCATGCGCACTCACGCCCCCCACGTGGCCCGAGGGCGGCACGCGTTAGCCCTATGCTTATGTGAACTACGATATGCGCGGCGTTACGTTTATACGCGCTACCATATACAAATTAACGTGCTTATGCCAACTGCGGAATGCGCGTAGTTTCTATGCGGACTGCGAAATGTATAAGCGTATGTCAATGTTAACTACCGATTTTGTAGGTGTGCGTTTATATGAACTACGGAATGTTTAGCGGTATGTTTATGCGAACTACGAAATGCGTAGGTGCATGCATACGTGAACTACATCTTCACGAATTTTTGTATATAAACTGCGAAACGTTAACGCGAAGTCGAACTCCCGTGTGTATTTCCGCAATTAAACAATTACAATGTGATAATTTTATTGTTTTGTATTTTTTATTATTTTATTGTTTCCCTTCTACGTGACTTTACCGAAAGAACCAAGAATATAATTGTAATGCAGTCGGCTTAGCAGATTGCCTTTTTGACGGAAACGTTTATCCCAGCAGCATTTGTCGAAGCAAGCAAAACTCGTGGAGCAGTTTTTCGACCTTCCTTGGTCTCATCAGCAGCGTCAGGCTTGGTGAAGGAACTCTGCTGAGCTACCTAAGGGAGGTTATTTCGTGAAAACTACGGTGGGGGGGGGGATCCTGTTACAACACAGTGGATTAATAAATGTTGAAGGGGGTTAGGTGGGGGGTGGTCTATGTTAATGTGAACTACATTTTAAATACATTTTTATTTAAAGCTTTCGTGACTTGCAGGGATTTTAAATACTTGCATTTTTAAGAAACTGCTTGTGTTTATCATTAGATCTCCTTTACCAGTACCAAAATGTAATAATAGGGTTTTTCCCCTTTTTTCTAGCAACAAAACTGAAACCTTTTTACAAGGATTCATGTCTGCATTAACCACAATACCTGCAGTCAAAATGCAAACAAAAAACATACTATGATAATATATGATAATATATGCATTGTCCTTGAAGCTGATTGGTCCACACCAAGGGACGGCTTTCTTTTGAGCCTCGACCCAATTGGTGCTCGCCTTTTGGCGTCATCTGGTCGAGCACCAATTGGGTCGAGGCTCAAAAGAAAGCCGTCCCTTGGTGTGAACCAATCAGCTTCAAGGACAATGCATATATTATCATATATTATCATACTATGGTTTTTTTTGCATTTTGACTGCAGGTATTGTGGTTACTGCAGACATGAATCCTTGTAAAATGGTTTCAGTTTTGTTGCCAGAAAAAAGGGGAAAAACCCCTATTATTGCTTGTGTTTAGTTTGCTTGGCCCCACGCCGCCGCACCTCCGATTATCGCGGTTGGCTTACGTAGGGTGCGAAAGAAGTTCAACATAGTACATGCATCCACTGCTCGATGAAAGCCCACAAATCCTACGTGCTTTAAGTCTTATGAAACGTAGTTCCGAATCTTGAGAACGACGGGATGCGCATGTTAACTACGGAATTGACACCCTAGTCCGTGTGGACTAGGAAATGTAAAAGGCGCTTATGAAACGCGCAAAAGTCTATACGCGTGCGAACTAAGATTTATGTTTCATTGCCAATATAAATTTGGCACTCGTACAAACTGCACACTTAAATGCTTCTGCTTATGAAACGTGCTCATGTCTTGCACAAACTATGACAAACATAATTATTGCGCAAGATACACACGACAGACGCCACGCGGTATGCGCATGTAAACTAGTATATTATAGTACCCTCACACCTATACGAATTACTAAATCTAGAGCGGACGGCTCAACCGAGATCTCGCGAGACCTCGCGACACCGTCAAGTCTCGCGATACTTTGAGTTGAGGCCTACCCCTGGGCGCCCACGCTGATCACTGGTCACAGCTGTTAGACCCCCGAGGACCCCCCCTGCGCTCTATCCCCTCTCAGGGGTCTGCTGTCATTCCTAGGGGTCCCAGGACCCCCACCGCTTCGCTCTCTGAGCCTACCACGCCTTGATCATCTCAGAACCCGCTGTGCTTCCCGAGACTCCCGAGTGGGATTACTGTGGGGGATCTACCGTCTAAAGTTCCAGGGGGGGGGGGGGTCTCAGGATCCCTCTGCACCCCCTCTTACGGGTCTCCACTCATCTCTCGGGGTCCCCTCTGCCTCTGCACCCCCTCTTACGGGTCTCCACTCATCTCTCGGGGTCCCCTCTGCCTTTCCCAAGAGTTCTGCTCAGGAACCTCCCTTAGGCTATTTAAGTCTCCTCTCAGGGGGCCTCGGCTCGGCTCCCCCTTTCTCGGGTGTTTCAGCCCCCTGTTAGCCCCTCTTAGCACCCCCGTCCACACGGGGTGGTGGTGGTGGGGGGGTGTCGCCATGTCCACGGCGATGTTGTTCGACTTCACGGAGAGCAGGAAAGCGCTCACGGTGAGTGTGGCCGAGCTAATGAGAGAGACCTCTTACCTCTTCTAGATTTGAAGCTTTCGTGACTGCAAGGATCCATATACTCTTCTTTGGTTCTATTCGGTAAAGTCACGTAGGTATTTTTTTTTACCTACGTGACTTTACCGAATAGAACCTTACCTCATGCAGCGGTGAGCGCTACGAACCCTGCTGTCCCGGGTTGAATTCCCGCTCACGGCCAACGCCGGTGATGGGATTCTCTGAATCTGTCCTGGGCCTCCCCTAGGTCGACTCGGCCTCAAATGAGTACCTGGGTGCGGTTGTGTAAAACATCGCCACTCGGGGAGACAAAGGCGGCCGTGCGTGGTGTTGGCCACCCACCCCCTCTCGTGTGCCGTGCCGGCCTTCATAGGCGCTGCTCGCTATCACAGCACTTGCCCCTACAGTCTTGTTAAAGGCTACACGGGAGAGGTGGAGGAGGGGGGGTGTCTTTGTACACTGTGTGCTGTGATGCACTTCTTTCGCACCGTACGTATCCAACCGTGTGCTAATCGGAACACAAAAAGGCAGCTCTAAAGCAATGAGTTTTCAATCTAGGTTTAAAATACCCTAGCCCATTCATCTTAGGTCGATAACAATGCGTCGCTTTTTTGTTGGAAAGTCAATGCTGGTTATCGTATGTAAATAATGTACTTGCCCCCGCCGTGGGAATGTGGAATTTACACCCACTGGCTCACAGGGCCTGCGGTAGAGAAGAGCGCGACACCGTTGTTTAGCCAACCTGGGGGAGAAAACGAGTTGAGAATCGACGTTTATTTTGTTTTATTCCCAATGTTTATGCCATTTTGTAACCTCTGGGCCTGTGGCCAACTCACCCGGAATGACCCAGGATCTAGGAAGCTCATCGAGGTGAGCCTGGTGAGTGCTTGGCTGGGCGACCCCACCACACAGTAATTAACAGGTGCCGTAGGCTGCGAGGCAGAGGACAGTGAAGCATAATACTGTATTGTTGTTATGTATAATGTAGTCGCATATATATTGATGCGGGCCTGGTGTAATGCTTAACACACTGGACTTGAAGTTGCCGATCTCCCTTGCGTGGCAATACAAAAAAATGACTTGTTTCTTAAACCTCTGGCCTCTTTTCAACCCAGCTGTATCTATTATAAAAGCACGGCGTTCCCTTTGTCCGTCAACTAAATTATAAGAGCCTTCCAGAAGACCTGAAAACAAAAATCTCTAGAAAGTGGACACCTCCCCCCCCCCCCTCCTCAACCACCCAGATGTGTGGGTTAAAAGTTGATCCAACCGAGTTCCAAAACAAATCACTTTTATTTCATTTTGTAGGCATATAAGCCGAGACACCCTACATACAATCGAGTCAGTAGTATCTGCACACATTGGCGGGGGTTGGGGGAGGGGGACATCAGTCGGGACGAGTAGCCCGAGAAGCCCTCTGCAGGAGCTAGAGAAAGTAAGGTGGCCGCTGGAGCGAGAAATTCTATAAATTAGCTCACCAACAGATCCTCGCTATGTCGCATATGCGGGGTACAGTGTGGGTCCCTCTCAACACATCCAAGACGTCTGGCAAGCGTGGAAGAGGAGGCCAAAATGCTCTCGAGATGAGAGGGGCTTTCTGGATCTCTCTTTAGTAGAGGCCCTTCGCCCAGCAGTGGTTGTCTCTGGTGTGGGCCAATCGGTTTCAAGGACAATGCACACATCAAACAATGTTTATCCGCAAGTTTCACCACAAGCATGTGTGCTTAATGCGGACTTGATGCATTGCAGTAGGTGTCTCCTGTATTATTGCCGGAAATGATAAAGCCTTAAATTTTTGTTTCATCACCATGAGCAATAACATTGCAGGGTTGCACCTTTGTCATTTACAACGTATGTACCACCCCCATCCATGCCTCACCTCCCTCGCCCCCAATCCTCTCTGCCTTCACAGACCTCGGCATGGGAGTCTCTGAAGAACAAGAGCACCGACGTGATCGTGGCGGCATTCGGACAGCTCAACGGCAGGTGAGTGGAGCGTTGGGATCGGTGTAGGATGACACCCAACAACCCAACTGATACCCTGGGAACGATCCAAGCCACTAAAACCATTCACGATCCATGTGATCCGGGCGGTTAATGCTTGTGACTCTTCGAGCTGGGCTTGTGTGGTTTATTCGTCTCTTCACGAGACCAGCACACCAGAAAATCGCCTTCTTCACTCAACACTGTGACCACGCTCCCATGCCCGGTACCTGAATATGTATCCCATTTAATCGGACCTCAAAAGTTACACATGGTTGAGCTTGGGTTATTCCTAGGATGGGAGAGCTGTCTGGGGAAATTGGGTTTTGTTGGATTTGGACGCGATTTTGCCAGGAGATAGCTGTACGGCAGTTTATTGTTGAAGCCATTTGTGCGGGGTTTCAAATGTTATCTCATGTGGGGTAGAGTTTTTCTTTTGAGTTCTCCCTTATCCTTCCACATGAAGCCAAACATTCAACGATGTCATTTGTCCAATGCAGGTCCGTCCTGAAAAGTATATATGCAGCAAAGCTTTCCGGAATAAATTAAGAGCTTTATTAATTCGCTCGGTTTCGCAATGTTCCTGTTTGATGCAGTGAGCTGGAAAAACGGAGCGCACTGGACCAGGCTGTCAGAGACGTCCTCAAGGAGTTGATCGTGAGTGCACACGCAGTCGCACACTCTTGCAGCCAAAGACAAAGATCCCCTGTATAGCCTTAACATACTTGTCTTATCTAAAATATGACTTTACCGAAAGAACCAAGAATATGAATCCCTGTAGTCACGAAAGCTTTAAATTAATACTTGCCTTAACATACTAACTGTATTGCCTTAACATATTGTTAAGGCAATACCACCACTCCCCAACATATATCGACACACACACAGTCCCAAAGTCGCGCACAGTCACACGCTTATACATTCAAACCTGTCAAACACTGTAGCAAAGTCACATGCAGTTACACACGCGGACACATTCACACATTGTCACAATCACGTCACGGTTTTGTATGGTCAGTGTGGTGGTCTGGCATTCCCCAACCACCCATGCTGTTGACACCTGCCCCTGTTCATGTCGAGGCTCAAGGCCTTTTTCTCCCTTCTGTCTTTGTCTCTCTAAAAAATAAACATGACCACTGTTTCTTGAGAGCAACCTGAGATGCGGTCGTATTGAGACATACATTAAAACATTGTATTGTATAGAAACACTCAGCCTCGCATCGAGGACTTCCTATTTTCCTTAGCCTATGACCGACTGCCTCCCTCTCTGTACAACACGTATACCCACGGTTTCTATTCAGTCATCTTGGGATCTGGTCGCATTGGGACGGTACATAAATCCACATAATATCATGCAATTGCGTTGTATTGTATTAAACCAAATTAAGTTCTTGCATGTGCTGCCCATATGACCTGTGCAGGTGAGGCAGAGCGACTGCAAGGATGTCCTGGCGGTTATCTCACTCAGCATTGACAGTGTCACCGCAGGCATGTAACCACACAACCATGGTGACATAACAGCGCGATGAACTGTTGGAGGATAATGATCATGATGATGACGACTATGGTGATGGCGATGCAGCTGTTGTAGAGCCTTCTTATGGTGTAAAATGCAACTTTACCTTCAAATTACAAGTAATTTCAATGGATATATAGTGCAGTCTTTAATGCTGACTTGTAAGGCATTTGTTAGCTGGAGGATTATATTTTAACTGTGATGTTGCTTTACATGACTGTATGAAAACTTAGTCTTGAAATAATAAAAAAACATATAACATCTCGTAGAATGCCTTAAAGTAACAGTTCGTAGGCCGCAATTAAAGTACTCATTATTTTGGGATGCTGCTGCATTGCCAATGGTGCACCAGCTCAAATAGAGAACGAAACAACTCGTCCGTCAACAACACTGGCCTCGAATAACAAAAAGGGAGATAGTAGGCAACGTTTCTGGTAGTGGCCCTTCTTCACGGCACATAGGCCAGAGAGGTTTGTGCTGTGAGGAAGGGCCACTTCCCAAAACGTTGCCTACTATGTACTGTTTCAGGCAGTGCCATTCGTGGACAGAGCTAAAACGGAAGGCCAAGATGATTGAAATAATAAAAAAACATATAACATCTCGTAGAACGCCTTAAAGTAACAGTTCGTAGGCCGCAATTAAAGTACTCATTATTTTGGGATGCTGCTGCATTGCCAATGGTGCACCAGCTCAAATAGAGAACGAAACAACTCGTCCGTCAAGAACACTGGCCTCGAATAACAAAAAGGGAGATAGTAGGCAACGTTTCTGGTAGTGGCCCTTCTTCACGGCACATAGGCCAGAGAGGTTTGTGCTTTGAGGAAGGGCCACTTCCCAAAACGTTGCCTACTATGTACTGTTTCAGGCAGTGCCATTCGTGGACGGAGCTAAAACGGAAGGCCAAGATGATTGCCGACGTCTTTGAGAAAGGGACGTGGCCACACAGAGATTCACGAATGTGTTGAGATATTTTCGTTTATTATTTGTTCAAATAAAGTACATTCTCTTGTCCTAAAACGCGGTAGTTCTGTTCGTGAAGAACGCCGCGTTATGTAAAAATCGCGCTATGATATATAATATAGGGTAAAGCACAGTCGGCGAAAACATGTAAGATGCGTATGCAGGCTGAACAAAAACTGAGGCCCGTGGGTAGCATTTAGAAACATCCAGCAGCAATCCCGCCTTGTGTGATGCTCCGCTGAGACAGTTGTACAACCGCATATTCTTTCTCGCTCGACATAGTTCTGTTCACTCGATCACATATCCAATTCCCATCCCTGTTATAAATATATGTTCCCTGAACAGACTTTGGGGTTAAAATAATAAAATAATATGATCGTATTCTGACTCGCGGGGATGGGGGGGTGGGTCCGAAGTCAACGGGGTTAAAATACGATGTCGTGCTGTTTCCCCGACGCAGGCGTGTGCTCGGCGTCCACCCCGTTCCTGCTGCTGGGAGATCTTCTGGACGGCCTCCCGCTCGACCAGTGCGACCACATCTTCACTTTCGTGGAGCAAAACGTCGGCACCTGGAAGGCGGTAAGACCGCCACCTCACCTGACCCTGAGATGGCAACAATTCATGCAGCACCTTCAGCACACCACGAAACAAAAAAACTATTTTCATTTTGCCAGGTAAGGCCCACTGAGCTATATAGCCCTTTTGTAGAAGCGACCTGGCCACAAATGATAACTCAACGAAGTGGTTTATCATGTGGACATTTATAGCAGTCAAATACTCTCAGCGCACGTTTCTGAATGTGGAGGTAAAAACCGAAGGACCCGGAGACAAATCCACGCAGTCCATGGGAAGAACTTGCAAACTCCAAATATACAGGCAGCAGGGTCGGGATTGAACCAACAACCTCCTGTATACCAGGCATGGTATTTAACATCTCACTGCTGCTCCATCTCCTCAGTGGACGCCCTCGGATACGTTCCGTTCCTTGGCTCCATCATTATACTTGACCATCATCCATTAACCCCTCTAGCGATGTGACCTGCCCAAGCCTAAAAGTTTGGACAGTGTCATTAGCCTGTGAATGTTCTCTAATCCACGTGTTCCTCTTTCTGTTTCTCAATGTAATTCCAAGCAATGCTTCTCACCACGTGCTTTTGCACACTTTTCAGGCTTCAAGAGTGGCTTGGTGAATATCTGAAAGGCTGCCTGCGAATAATCAAAGCAGACAGTGGTGTTACTGTGTGGCCCGTGCTTTAAAGTAAAGTTCTCTACAAGCATCGATTTTTTGACAATAATAAATGGTCAGTCGACCTTGGATTAGGGATTTGAACCATCGACCTTAGGACTGCGATGCTATCGCTCTCGCCACAGCTGCACACTTGGCCAGGTCTTCATTGCGTTTTGTGAAGTCCCGGCGAAATTAACGCGTTGCCTACCCCTGTTTCGCAGAGCACGTTCTACTCTGCCGGCAAAAACTACCTCCTGCGCATGTGCAATGGTGAGCGGGGGCTGTGAAACACACGCACAACAACAACAACCGCCGTTCGCCGCTAAGTGGTGGTGACGTCACCACGGCGATTGTGCCAGGCACGAGGTGCACTTTGAGGCCACGTGAAGTGTAGAAAGATTGCTGGCATGTTATCATGGCTCACACCCGGGTGTTATGGATTGACCGCCTGAGATAACTGGCAGATACAACACCTGTACTCCCCACTGTGGTAGCCTGCTGCGTTTTAGCTGCAAGGCGCTCCGCTCGTCGTTGTGAGCGTCGCTCCTCCACCCTACATTGTTGTTGGGAAGGCAACTGCTTCCAACTGCCCAGTCACATCCTTCACGAGCTTCCTCTACGGAGGCTGATCTTGACATTGCTGGTACCAGACATTGGAAAGTCCAAAAAACTCCACATCCTTTTGTACCAAATCTGTCCATCTATTCCATAGCCCATCCCACGTCCGTTTAACCCCCTCTATCTCGGCAAAGAGAAGCTGCTTGGGAGGCATGCAGTGGCTGAGCATGCGGTGTACACGACCCAGCAAACGCATCCTTGCCCGTCAAAGGAGCTCACCGATAGGACTGTGTCCAGATCTTTGAAGGATCTTTGAGCTCACACAATCCAAGTCTGGTTAAACCCTGGATGAATCGTAGGCATGCCAGCCACACATACCACAAGCACACACACACACACACGTGTGATCTGTGCTTTTGTGTGTTCCACGCACTAACTCACAGTGTGATTGTCCCGTGCATGTGTCCTGCACGCACATGTGATCATGCCGTGTGTCCCGAACACACAAACACTCATCACCTGACTTTTCCTGTGCACACGTGTCCTTCGCTCAGACCTGCTCCGCCGCCTGTCCAAGTCACAGAACACCGTGTTCTGCGGACGCATCCAGCTCTTCCTCGCGCGGCTCTTTCCTCTCTCGGAAAAGTCAGGTGAGACACACACCCGGGCGGGGGCGTAGCGACGTGTCGATTCGTCGACCGATTCTCGCGCTCGCAACGCTCGCGCCGTTTACTGCGCGTGCTTGCGCGCGAAGCGGGCCAACTGTGGTGCTCTCACCGCCCGTTGCAGAGGTTCACAGTTTTAATGTCACGGGCAGCCTTAGTTTTAAACCATAGAATACGCACCATCCGCTTTGGAGGGGATGTTGACTATCACCTGGTTCCATTAGAAACGCGTAGGCCATTGTGCGCCGGCGTCATGGTCTACATTTGGCGAATTTAAAACATTCGCTCGCAATATTAGCCAAATGACGCCATTGGAATTATATACGGCAACATTGTCCCCTTTTGTAAAATTACCATGCGAAACATCGTGCCTTCGTTAAAGCCTTGCACTATAATAATGGTGCCAATAACAAATGTACGCATTTGGGCTTGTAGCTAAATAGGAATGATGCCAAAAGATTTAACAATTATTTTGAATCATCAAATCAATAGTCGTCAGAAACACTTAGGCAATAAAGGCCCATTGCCTTGCTAACCAGAGTGTCCTTGTTGCACCGCGTTGTTGTAGAGGTCTTCTGCGAGGTTAGGCCACTGTCACGACAGATCTGACAAACCCATGAGTCTCCCCAGATGGACGGCCAGGCGGTCGTCTGTCCGGAGAGTGAGTTTGATGAACGGGTAGGTAAGTGGCGAAGAGGAATGGAGTTAATGATGGGGAAGGAAGGGGGAAGGGGATTTTTGGTAAGCAAGGTAAAATAAGTGAGTGTTTTAAAGGAAGAACAACAAATAGACAGCGAGGCTAATTTACATGTTTGACTTGGTCTCGCGAATAACGCCGAACCGTCAGACGCCAAGTAGCTGTCGCTGAATCAAATCAACGAATAAAATCGCAGCTGGAAATTGTACCAATTCATCGAATCGCTTGGCTTGTGGACTGATTTTTATTACAAGCCCAGCGACTGGTGATCATGATGGTGGTGATGATGTTGCCCTCCCATTGTGCTCAGGTCTGAACCTGCAGAGTCAGTTCAACCTGGAGAATGTGACTGTGTTCAACACCAACGAGACGGAGAGCACGCTGTGTCTCAAGGTGAAGGGCCGTGGCTGTGGGGCCGACACGCGCTTGGTCAAGGGAGAGGCGCGTACGGGAACGCTCGTGTGTTTGCGTGTGCTTTTTCGTGTGTCTGTGTATAGCGGTTAGTGCCCCAAGCTATGACCTCGACGGCCCGAATTCGATTCCCGCCCACGGCCAACACCAGTGACGATTATCTCAACCGGTCCTGGGCCCTCTTCTCGCGAATACCAAACGTGCTCAATTATTCAGCCTGATGGCGGTATGTGGCGGCGATGCATCCCTGTAATCCAGCGCTGTGGAGCTCGCGATGGTTGGTGGATTACCGCAGAAATGTTGTGAACCTCCCTTCCCAGTGGGTGTCGAGCTGAATACAGTACCGTACGTAAAAAATGTGGACTCCCATCTGTTCCATCTGCATGCAATAAAGCGTTGCCCCACCTCGCACGTGTGGGTTTCCTCTGGGTTCTTGGGTTTCCTCCCGCTTGTAAACACTCGTGAGCGATGATAACACCTTAATATATAGAGGACTGCAGAGGATTTGGAGCGGAGGGAATTTGGTATTGATTGCTGCTGCCCTGCCACGTGTCTCTCTCTCTCTCTCTTTGAGAGCGAGCAAATGTTGTGCGGCGGCGCATTGCAAGTTGACACTATTAGTTGCGTTGTGTCCGTGTGTATTGTGTGTCCCGTGTTTTATTTGTCAACGCGTTCCTCTGCAGCTGACGGACGATCGTGATGACACGGTGGACATCGAGGAGGGAGAAATGGGAGAGGACGACATAGTGACCACGAGGTGTGGACGCTCACTGACCCCACGCCTGCACCACCGCCCACGCCCCACTCCCTTCTCTCTGTACCTGATAGAGCACCGGAAGAATGCATAAAAAAATACCCAGAGAGGAGAGCTGACTCAGAATTGAGAACGCTGAGCTGACACCTGCCTATGATTAAATTGGGATACTGAATATAGCCAACGAGTTGAGGGTCTCAGCCTGGTCACTCGACGCTCCGCGGTGGCGAGAGGGCGCCATGGTGGCAAGATAATAAGTACCTCGCCTCGTATGAAGGATGTTGTGAGTTCCATCCTGATCCTGACGCCTGTATATTTGGAGTTTGCGTGTCTCCCTGTAATCACGTGGATTTTTCTCCGGGCCTTCCGTTTTTTTCCTCTACGTTTGGAAACATGATTTTCGAGCGTTCGGCTGCTATAATTGTCCAAGTTATTACAAGCCGCTTGGTCGAGTTATCATTTGTAGCCAGGTCGCTTCTGGAAAGGAATTGTATAGCTCAATGGGCCATACCTGGTAAAATAAAAATAGTTTTAGTTTATACTCCACCAAAAACAAATCATTGTGCCTCCCCACAGCTCCGTGCCCATCGACTACAACCTCTACCGCAAGTTCTGGTCCCTGCAGGACTTCTTCCGCTGTCCCTTGCAGTGCTACGACCGCCTGCAGTGGAGGACCTTCTCCAAGGTGTGCGTCTCTTCTCACGGCCTCTTTAGAGACTCGTAAATAATTCATTATAACTTGCAGCGCCGTGTCAGTCCACTGCTCAATGATTTTAAATCTTTGACCGGTGCTTCGTTACACAACTAGCGATTATGATGAAAAAGATGATGATGCGTGTGACCGCTCCCCGTTTCTCTCCTCTCTCTCTCTCTTGCCCCCCCCCCACTGCCCTCCGCTAGTTCTCCGACAAGGTGCTAACCGAGTCTACATGTGGCGATGATGATGATGATGATGTGTGACAGCTCTTTGTGTCTCTCTCCTCACTAGTGCTCAGACGAAGTGCTCAGACGAAGTGCGTACACGTGGTGATGGCAGCGGTGATGATGATGATAATGTGTGACCGCTCTCTGTCTCCCTCCCCGCTAGTTCTCGGACGAGGTGCTCACCGTGTTCAAGAGCTTCAAGCTGGACGACGCTCATGCCAGTAGCCGCGTCCACGGCGCCGGCGCCGTCTCCCGTGCGCACGGAGAGCACGCTTATTTCGCCAAGTTCCTCACCAGCGAGAAGGTGGGGGCCCATAATCCCCATGGAGTCGTGGTTACGTGCGGAAACACGTGATTGCGCTATCTGCCTGTGTACGTTTTATACGTCGGGGGCGGTGATGTAGCGGTTAGCATGCTGCGCTAAGTACACCCGCAGCCCAAGTTCGATTCCTGGTCATGGCCAACACCAGTGACGATTATCTTAACTCTGGTCCTGGGCCTCCCCTAGGTTGACTCGGCCTCAAATGAGTACCTAGTGCAATGTGTAAACATCGCCACAAGGGAGACAAAGGCAGCTGTGCATGGTGCTGGCCACCCACCCTCTTATGTGTCATGCCGGCCTTCACAGGTACTCGCCAACAGCACTTGCCCCAACAGTCAGGCTATACAGGGGATATTTGACTTTTTTCTTTATATATCAATGTGCTAGTCCGTGGATGTCATTTTCTGCTTATGGCTAACATTAGTGGCTAGCGATATCCTAACCGATCCTGGCCGACCTCTTTCATCAACCCACGCTGTCCAGCGTGGTGAAGAACGGTCGTACAACCCCCATAACCGACATGGTGCGGGAAGGCATTCAGTAATCAATTACAAAAGCTCTACAATTTAAATATTTTTTACAGCAGCTGTTCCAAGATCGTTTTTATGCTACTCTGGTGGATATTTCTGTTCGTCTTGTCAGGCTGTCTGGGTGTTTATGCATAAGCTGTAGAACTAACCTATATTAATGTTTTTATATAACCGGCAAAGGCCCACTGAGCTATATACCTCTTTTTTTAGAAGCAACCCGGCCACAAATGATAGCTCAACAGAGTGGCTTCTGTTGTAGAAATGTGTTGCGCCATAATAAGGCGCTGTGGGCAGCTGACCTGCCACCACGCTCACTGGCCGACAGGGGTGGGGGCCGAGGGGGAGGGGGACCCCCCCCCCCTTAAGATAAGACCTTCCAAAAGGTTCTGTGGGGGGGGGGGTCATGAGGGGAGGGGTGACCCCGACCTGGGGATAAAAGGACAGCCCTCGGGACGATCGGGGCAGTACTCGCCAACTCAAGCTCGAGGACATCTGAAGATCTGAAGGCTGGACCAGCGACCCGGGGACGCTCAACCGTGGCTCCCGTAAAGCCGGTTGTAGCGGAGCAGAGGTCGCTCGGACCCCCTGGGACCCTTCCCGAGGCTCTCGCTAAGCCGGGGTTGAAGCGGTCCAGGGCGAGTCCCGTGCCCTGGGTGGGTCGGTCGGTCCAGCCTTCCCCTAGCCGCCGTCGTAAGGGACCGGCGTGTGCTTAGCCCGGAGTGGGTCGAGTACGCTAGAAGGGAGGCTGTGTCTCTCCCTTAGGCCATCGGGTGGAAGGGGTCGTACCTCTCCGTGTTAACAGAGTAGTGGTTAACAGAGTAGCGTTTAACAGAGTATTAAGAGTTGTTCAATAAACGCGTTGCCTCCAGCAGACGTCTCCGTGTGGTTAGTTATAGGACACAACAAATGTATAGCAGCCAAATACTCTAAACGCATGTTTCTAAATGTGGAGGGGAAAACCGGAGCACTCGGAGAAAAATCCACGCAGCCATGGGGAGAGACATGCAAACTCCAAATATACAGGCAGCAGGGTCGGAATTGAACCCACCACCTCCTGTATACCAGGCGAGGGAGTTAACATCTCGCAACCGTGGTGCCCAATCATTATGGGTGTTGCACTGTTGGTGTAGCGCGTTGCGTTGAGCAATCGTGTCTTCTCCTGTGTCGCCTGCAGTTGATGGACCTTCAGCTGAGCGACAGCAACTTCCGGCGCCATGTCCTGCTGCAGCATCTGCTGCTGTTTCAGTACCTAAAGGGTCAGGTCAAGTTCAAAAGGTCAGCCCGGCCTCTAGCATAGCTGGCAGATACAGCGTGGCTAACAGCGAATCCACACCTTCCGCACCACGTCACGGCATTTCTCACCACTCGCTCCACAACACACCACCCCACACGGCAGCACACCACACCGTGAACCCACACTACAGCGCAACTTGCCACCAACTCGCACACCACGTGCATGCTAACCCACGGCACACACAGCACATGGTAGAGGTAGCACAGCCTGCGGGTGTGTGCTCTGTACCGCCCCTCTGTGTGCATGCGAGCTGTATCATCCGTCTGTGTGCAGTGCATGCGTGTCCGAGCGCTGTGTACCGGCTGTCGTTTCAGCTCTACGAGTGTGCTTACTGACGAGCAGTCGCTGTGGATCGAGGACACCATCAAGCACGTCTTCCAGGTAGAACAGGCCTGGTGCTTGTCTAGCACTAGCCCGGAGCTGGCCAGGAGCTGGTCTGGAGCTGGTCTGGAGCAGGTCTGGAGCTGGCCTGAAGCTGGCCTGAAGCTAGCCTGGAGTTGGCCAGGAGTTGGCCTGGAGCTGGCCTGGAGCTGGCCTGGAGCTGGCCTGGAGCCGGCCTGGAGCTAGCCTGAAGCCGGCCTGAAGCCAGCCTGAAGCTAGCCTGGAGCTGGCCTGGAGCTGGCCTGGAGTTTGCCAGGAGCTGGCCAGGAGCTGGTCAGGAGCTGGCCTGGAGCTGGTCTGGAGCTGGTCTGGAGCTGGCCTGAAGCCGGCCTGAAGCTAGCCTGAAGCTAGCCTGGAGCTGGCCTGGAGTTGGCCAGGAGCTGGCTTGGAGCTGGCCTGGAGCTAGCCTGGAGCTGGCCTGGTGGCACTAGTCTGGTAAAATATTATAACTGTAACTGTTTACCATTCAGGGTCACGATTTTTTTCAAGAACGTACGTTTTTTTTTTTGTCGCTCTGTTTCTGCCGACAGCTGCTGAAGGAGACGCCTCCCGAGGGTGACAAGTTTTCAAAGGCCATTGAGGTGAGTCCGTCACCGCTGTCTGCCACTTGACGCACCTGCTCACGCGCCCATGTGCACGCATGTGTGGCCCAGAACTGACCTGACGCTGGCCTGACCTGACCTGCAATGCCTGTCGCGTTGGGGCAATCCAGTGGCCAAGCACCAGCTTCTTCGTTCTCGTTGCAGCACATTCTGGCGCGAGAGGAGAACTGGATCACGTGGAAGAACGAGGGCTGCCCCAGCTTCGTGAAGGAGAGGTACGGTGGGACAGAGGCACGGCGCAACACACGCAATCGCCGACGGACAGGGTTCACACGTACTCGGCACGCCCGGCGTTTACGAGTGTGCGCGCACACACACACCAGACACACAAACTACTTTCAGCAGACATTGTTCACACACAGGGGAGCCGACAGTGATTTCTTGTGCCTGGGAAATATTGTGTTCATGTTTTTCATCCGTCTGTCCGAGGACACTTTCGTGAACATAAAAAAAAACCCTCGAATCAAACAACTCGACACATTCGCCAGTAACACTGGTCTTAGAAGGAAAAGTATTATAGGCGACGCTTTAGACAATGACCCTTATTCATAGCTTATAAACATGGACCTTCTTGCATAACCTAAAACCAAGTGCTGCGCATACCCTAAACTTGACGTGCCAACACCCACATTTTTGGGCCATTTGGGAAAGATTTGGCAGCAAAATACTTTTAAAAAACAGTTTTTATTCAAACAAACAACATCGTTTTGCTACATAACGGTGCGATTACCGCACGCAACGTGCATGCGTGCCCACTTGCGTAATGCGTGTGCGCGTGCGTTTGCATGTTTCTGTCCATGAGCACTCCACTTTGTGTGTGCGGTTGCATTCCACAGCAAAACAAAATGGAGGCTCCCTTCTTCTTCACGTGCTGTTTTTTCCAGCCTGCATTTCTCTCCGCGTGTGCCGATGCGAGCTGCTGACGCTGCCGACATGCGGAACTTCAACCCCAAGCTGAACTTTCGTGTGAAATATGAACCCACCGCCTCTATCTCCCCCTTCTCCTTGCTCCTTCACCCCCCTCTTCTACCCCCCCTCCGACGCCCCCCCCCCCCCCCCGGTCAGACCGGCAGAAACACGGCCCCATCGCCCCCGCAAGAGGGCGGCTCCTGAAGACTTCTTGGGCAAGGGGTCCCACAAGAAGATCCTCATGGGCAGGTACGTGGTGTACTGGGGACTCTTGAGGTTGTAGCAGTTTGCCATCGTCGCCTGTGGTTTATCCACTGCTGGATGAAGGCCTTCCAAAATCCGTTGCACGACATCGTATCATCATCGCCGTCCTCGTCACACCAAGATTGCTGGTTGTTTGGCTTTAAACTTGAGAAATAGAGCAGCACACGGATGAGCAATGATTATTGCCCTTTTCAAAATTTACCTTCATTTCCAAGAGCGTGACCTGACCTGGGGAGCTTGTTATCGTACGATTGAGACAGCCATTGATGGACAGCTGAATTGCAATATTTTGCAAATCCATCAAGACAATACTGTTGAAGTATTGACATATATTTGCTCTCATCATCATCATCATCACCACCATCATCAAGCTACGTCACCATTAGGCTTTTGACGAATTGGAAGATGTTGTTCCCATCCTGCAAATTAAAACGTACCACAAGGATGGTAATTGTGTTTTAAGTTTTCAGGTTTCAAGTTTGTTTTAGTTTTACCGGGTGAGAATTCGGGAGACCATAATAGTCTCATTTGCAAGAGGGAATGAATGTGTGCGTGAGTGAGTGGGCGAGTGAGATAGGGGGCTGAGTGGTTAAATTATTGAGTCAGATGAGTGAGTGTGCGATGAGCGTCAGTTTTAATGATTCGCATTTATTTTGTGGAAACCAGGTGAAAATAATTCAAGAGTCCTCGTTATGATTCTCATTTGCACAAGTGACCTGGGCCACCAATATTACAATTGTGTCACGTGAGAAATTAAACATTGCTAAAAAAATTTGATTTAAAGCTTTCGTGACTGCAGTGATTCATATTCTTGGTTCTTTCGGTAAAGTCACGTTGAAGGGAAACAATAAAATAATAAAATATATATTAAAAATACAATTCTCACGACGTTTCGACTGCAACACAAGCAGTCATCATCAGGTTCTTGGCATTGGTTTTCACACCTAATGATGACTGCTTGTGTTGCAGTCGAAACGTCGTGAGAATTTTATTGTTTTATATATATTTTATGATTTTATTGTTTCCCTTCAACGTGACTTTTACCGAAAGAACCAAGAATAAGTCCCCCTATAGCGCAAGTTTGTTCGGGCATATTATTTTTCGGTTGATCGTGCCACAGTTACAGTTGCAGCAACATAGCCCCTGTGATGTGTTGAGTCCTGCAGGTGCGGCGTGTTGAGTACTGTGCTGCTAAGTGATGAGAGTGTTCTGTTCTGTAGTCTTGTGATGACCATGGGACCTTTTTGCCAGAATAAAGAATGATGAAAAATAGATACTGGTTTACCTTTTGACGTTTTCTGGTCTAACACCGGTGAGACAAGGCCATAAAAAATGATGTCTCTGGTGTCGGCCAATCATTTTCAAGGACAATGCATATATTATCAGAGCATTTAAATTTCGATTTAAAGCTTTCGTGACTGCAATGATTCATCTTCTTTGGTTCTTTCGGTAAAGTCACGTAGAATGAGAATAAAATAATAAATTGATAAAATAAAATAACACAATAATATTCTCATGTGGCCGAAACGTCGTGAGAATATTATTGTGTTATTTTATTTTATCAATTTATTATTTTATTATCATTCTACGTGACTTTACCGAAAGAACCAAAGAAGATTATCAGAGCATGTTTGTTTGTATGTCTTGCCACAGGTTTTTGTGTCGTTAATGCAGACTTGATGCCTTGCAAAAGATCTATTTGGTGTTTTGGAGATCTTAACACCTGTTTTCTTGCCAGAAATGGTAAACCTATTCTTATTTTCCATTAGTTGCGATGACCGTTGCATTGAGTACTCTGCAGGGTTCACTCTTCTCTACTGCTCTTGCCGAGCGCTGTGCCTCCTTTCTTTGCTGCAGCGAGGAGCTGACCCGGCTGTGGAACTTGTGTCCCGACAACATGGAGGCCTGCAAAGCGGAGAGCAGGTAACGTCCACCACCCACGCAGACTTGCACCTCGGAGGGGGGGGCGGGGGGCGGGGGGCGGGGGGGGGGGTGAGTTAGTGAGCTGTGTGGAGAGTTGGTGAGCCGTTATGTGCGGCGGTGGTGAACTGATGCACTTGGTGTGTTTTACGTGGTGTGCTGGAGAGCTGATTTGTCACACAGCGTCTTGGTGAAAAAAAACTAAACTTTTTTTTTTTTACCAGGTAAGGCCCACTGAGCTATGAAGCTCTTTTTCAGAAGCGACCTGGCCACAAGTGACAGCTCAACAAAGTGGCTTATTGTAGAAATGTACAGTAGCCAGATACTCTAAACGCACGTTTCTAAATGTGGAGGGAAAAACCGGAGGACCCGGAGAAAAATCCACGCAACCACGGGGAGAACATGTAAACTTCAGATATACAGGAATCGGGGTCAAGCTAAAACCCACGACCTCCTGCGTACCAGGCGACGTAGTAAACATTGCCACCGTGGCAACCATTTTGAGGTTATTGGCGAGCCGGTGAGCTAATAGATCATGGAGCGCTGTAGTGAGCGGGTAGGCGGTACTTATGAGGTGTTGACCATTGCTATGTGCTGGTGATCTGTTGTGAGAGCTGCAATGCTGGTGAGCTGTTGCCCATTGCTCTGTCACGGTGAGTCATTCGGTGAGCCGGAATGCTGGTGAGCGGTAGGGGTGTGGAGTACTGGGGAGCTCTTGGTTCTTGCTATATGCTCGTGATTTCTCAGGTGAGCTGGATTGCTGCGAGTTGTAAGGGTGTACTGTGCCGGTGAGCTGTTGCCGATTGCTCTACGCTGGCGTGTCGTCGTGTGAGCCGGAATGCTGTGGCGTGCGCTGTCTGGTGGAGCTTGCCGCGGCGGTGAGCTGGTGGTGACCCGCGTGGTGGTGCTCATGTGTCCGCGTGTAGGGAGTTCCTGCCGTCGCTGGAGGAGTTCTTCGACGAGGCGATCGAGCAGGCGGACCCCGAGAGCATGGTGGACCGCGAGTACAAGTGAGGAGCGGTGGCGGTCGCCCGAGCGAACAACGCGGGTGGCTCCTCGTGTTGTTGGCATTGTTTGATGTTATTTAACGCTTGTTTGCCAGGGAGAAGCCTCCAAAATAAGCCTTGTTTACCAAGTCTCGTGGCTGCCACGTGTTTCAGCAGTGGTGGGCGGGGGGGGGGGGGGCGTGATGGTTGTTGTGTGCAATCCCAGTTGTGCAATTAGCGGTGACGCCGCCAGATTTGGACCGTGATGCCGGCACACAATGGTCGTGATGTGGATATCGTCACTCGGTCTTGACTGTGTACTGTGAAGTAGACGCCACGTAGTATCTTCAAGGTGAATACACCCGTAGTTGTAACCAGGGTAGGCTGCTCGGTTCAAACCGTGAACCATCTGCAACACACAGTGGACGGCTCTGCCACTAGGCCATATCAACCCCCCATGATCATTTCAGTGCTAGGGTTAGCGGTGGCGATAGTTCCAGTAAGCGTGAGTGCGAGTGTTACGGGGGGGCGGTCGCGCGGCGGTTAACGCACTTGCGCTCCTGAACCCTTGCGACCCGAGTTCGATTCCCGCTCACGGTCAACATCGGTGAGAAACATCTGAATCGGTACTGGGCCTCCTCCGAGTGCTACTCGTGTGTCGGTGCTGGTGTTGGCGGCAGTGCCGGTATGGGTGCGCCAATGCCCCTGTCCGAGCTGCTGCGCCGATGCCGGTTGTGGTGATGTCGCTCTGTGTCCTCCCCCCCCCCACCAGGGTGGTGAATGACTCCAACTACGGGTGGCGCGCCCTGCGTCTGCTCTCCCGCCGGAGCCCTCACTTCTTCCAGCCGACCAATCAGCAGTTCCGCAGCTTGCCCGAGTACCTGGAGAACATCGTGACGCGGCTTGCCAGGGAGATGCCTGTACGTCCCTTCAGGGACTTCCCCTACCCCCCTCCGACCCCTCTGCCCCCCCTCCCTCCTCGTTTCATTCACTTCACCTTCCCCCAGGTCGACCTAGCCATAAATGATCATCTGATGTGTGTGTGTGTAATGATAGTGGGAGAGCGGTGGTGGTGCAGTGGTTGGCGCATTACACCCTGAACCTTGCGACCCGAGTTCAAATCCCACTCACGGTGGTGAGAGTGGCGAATATATGAACCGGTGCTGGGCCTGCTAGGTCGACTCGGCCTTAAATGAGCAGCTGGTGCAGTGTGCAAACATCAGAACTGGGGAGACAAAGGCGGCCGGGAGTGGTGTTGGCCACCCCACCTCCGCTTATGCCGTTCCAGTCTTCGTACATCCTCGCTAATAGCACTTGCCCCAACAGTCTGTTAAAGGCTAATAGAGGTTAGCTTTGTCTTTAGCATTGGTTGCACACTTCACGAGCAACTTAGCAGGTGAAGTGTGATTGCCGGCCAAGGCTCATAACAGTGTAAAATTAAATCTGCACCAGTCACGTGAACGGGTGTTTCTCAGTTTAACACGTAGGCTTTCGCGACCAATATTATTCATGATAAAGGTTTTTGGGTTAGATCGCGTTATTTATAAATGTGTCGTAACCCTCCACCACCCGACACGGCCAATCAGCAAAAAAAGTGTCACGTTGACAAAAGACAAATAGTTCACTACTTTAGCCCACCGGTGTGTTGAAGAGTGAATCCACAACATTTACAGTTTGAGTACGACGTTTCGCTGGTAATTACATCCAGCATCATCGAGCAATTCGCCAGAATGGTAAAGCCCTCGCTTGCTCCCGGTTTTATATAGAGCAGCAGGGTGACGTCATCACTTAACTCATTTCAGGTGCAGTGATTTGAGGTGGGGGGGAGTATTGTAATTATATAATCGATTGGTAATCAGTTAATGGTTATGATTAGTAATGAGGTGTAGATTAGTAATTAGTTGTAATGTGTTATTGTGATTATATGCTACGTTAGTAATCCGTTAATTAGTATGTGTTTCCCCTATAAGGCATTGTAATATGTATTATTTAATAATACGCTTCCAAGCCGCACTAAGCCTGTAGCTGTCAGAGCGATTAAAGTTATTTCTACTCCTCTCAATTTCAATGGATTCTCTAATTAGTCTTTGCCAGTAATAATTAGTTTTACACAACACTTCAACGTTATCAAAATCTCAGTGGTACCTCTGTGATATTCTCGCCTGCTCTGGGAGAGATTCTTCATCTGATGACGCCAAGGGGGGACAATTGGCATAAAATGCGGGGAAAGACGGCAAAATCGTGAACACGTTGCACGCACGTGCGTTATCGTGCCCGTATGAATGTACACATCTGTGAATGTATACCTGCATGTGTGTGCCTGTTTTTGTGTGCAGCCCCCGTCAGAGGAAATCAAGACCGAGGATGAACAAGATAACGATGACGGGCTGCTAAAGGACGGAGACAGTGAGATACGCACGGAGACATGGGGTGGGGGTAGGGGGGGGCTGGACAGGGTGGAGGACACACGGGGAAGCACGTGGACACGCGGGACATGTAGTTGAGCACAAGAACACAAGGTTTAGTTCAAGGACGCACGGGCACACCGAAGTGAGCAGGGACCAATGTACAGCGCACGCAAGGACATACACGCAGCGTCACACAGAGATCAATTCAAGAACAAAGAGACGCGGGGACACGCAGGTTGATCGAGAGACGCATAAGGATGAACACAATTGGGGGAAAGTGCAGTTAGCGAGCAATCCATCCTTTCCCATTCCGAGATGTCTGCAAGTTGTAGGGTGGTGTCCCGTTCACCGCTGAATCTCGGAGCGTGTAAGCGGTTCAGCGTAAATTTTATTTAGAGGCGTAGCAGCGCTGTTTTGAAGACATTGTACTCACCGCAGGGAACTGCAGCGACGCGACACTCGTCTATAATAGCTGGCCCCAAACCGTGCCACACGTCCCTCCCGCGCATGGCCTTGTAGGAGCCTTGGTACCGATAAAGTTTTGTTTTCGTTTTCCTTCTGACTCCATTCAGACGATGTGTATGTACGTCATCAGAGGGTTAAAGCTGGCTTGGCACACACAGAGGGTCGGTATACTGGTAGGAACGAAGTTGTAAACTGAGTGTACCAGCCTGCAATAGATTAATGTGTCCGTCCGTCCGTCCCCTTTCAATACTTTAACGAAGTGAAATCTCGTGCTGTTGGGGTGTAAAATCAGCAATAGACAGCGCAGAGACTTGTCCTACCAGCCCACCCTGCAGGGACCTGTTGTCCAACGCCACGCCGCACAAAACACATTGGCGAGCGCGCAAAGTGCTCCCGCTGCCCGACGATGGGGGTGAACTCCGTGCGATCGTCCGGGCCCCCCCCCCCCCCCCGCAGGCCCCGAGGGCGCCGCACGTGCCGTGACGTCGCGGCACCTGGAGGCGTGCGCCCTGCTGGTGGGCGCGCGTTGGCGAGCGCTCGTCCAGCACCTGGAGAGCGGCGGCGGCGGCGGCGGCGGCGACGACGACGAGGAGGAGGACGACGGAGAGGGCGGGGCGAAGGCCGGCAGCGCGGCCGGACGCGGGGAGGACGAGGACGATGACGAGGAGGGGGCCCTGGAGGCGCTGCTCGCGTGGCAGGAGAGGGAGGGCCCCCGCGCTACCGTGGAGGCCCTCCACACCGCCATCAGCGCCATTGGCCTCTCGCCGCCGTCTGACGGCTCGGAGCCCGACGCAGAGGGGGACAGGGATTGAGGGGGGGGTGGCCGGAGCTGCGGGTGGGGGTAGCGCTGCCCGTGACCGGCTTCTCACACCGACCCCTGATCTTTGGCCTGACCAAGGACCTGACCCCCGAGGTGTTCTTGGGAAGGCCGCATGAGAAGCGCAGGTTGTTAATAACGGGGCCTTGTCACGAGGGTTTAGTTGGTAGCGCCCGCCGGTCGCAACTTTGACCCCCTGCTTTAGCCTGACGCAGAACCTGATGTCTGAGGCTCTGGGGAAAGATGGGGATAAATGGGAACGAATTGAGGGTGGTAGAGAAGATGGAACAGGCTGACCTTAGCCCTTATCTGACCTCGAACCTGACCCTGACGTCATCTAGGAAGGCTGCAGGGAGAGCTGGGATGTGTAGGAGCCATTGGCTCGAGGTGTTGATGGCTGGTCTTTGCCCTAATTACGATCCTGGAACGTTGTCGAGATGTTGTTGACTCTTGAGCAGGGACAACCGGCTCCTGCGTCGGGGCCATGGCTTGAGGTGTTTCGCTGTAGCAGGGCGCGTATGTGGGAATGCAGCGCCCCCTAGTGTGCAGATGAGAGGAAATGTCACTTGAACAGATCTCGGAAGCAGCTCGCCGATCTCCACTGCGACTGCTGCTTCCACTTCCACTGCTGCTGCTATGAAAGAGTTGTGAATGGGGTTTTTCATCGTTCCATGACGTGACACCGAAAGCGGAGTTTGACTGAAACACAGGGGCCTTGGCCGTGATAGTGACCTTTGAACATGACCCTGACCTCACCCTGGATTGTTGTAGAAATGTTACTCGACCCAAGCAGACACAGGCATGTCCTTGGTGGACCGGACTCAGCCTTTCAAGGCCGTTACTCCTTCCACCATTTTCACAATTCATCAAACAGCCAGAGCTAAAAGCTCGTTGCCATTATTAGTTTTTTTAAAGAAATAAGTCCGTCCTTGGTGAAAATTAGCAAAGGAGCAGCATTCGTATCTGTTGATAGTCCCTTGTAGAAATTCCATGTTCTTGTGGCAGGCACCATTCTAGCCAAGAGAACCAATCGCTGTTGGCTTCCCACAAAGCAGTACATACTTTACAACGGTAGCAATAAGTATGATGAAGGGTTTCAGTGCCTCACTTGACCGTTTACGGTAACACGGTGTAGGCTCTGCCGTCCCGGCCTCGAAGCAAGGGCGCTTTAGCGGGTCATGTAGCGATGTTTTGTTGTTGAAATTAGCAGCTGTCCTGGAAAAAAAAAATATTTCCCACAGATCATTTTAACAAAAATATAGCCCATGCCAGAGGCGTGGTTGGAACACTTCTCAATAAACGTTTGGTCAGTTTATTGTTTTGTACCGTCTTTCCACAGATGGCTGCACAATGATAATAAACCGTTCATATTTTGATTTAAGGCTTTCGTGACTGCAGGGATTCATATTGTTGGTTCTTTCGGTTAAGTCACGTAGAAAGGGAAACAACAATATTGTTTTATATTTGTATTTTATTGTTTCCCTTCTACGTGACTTTACCGAAAGAACCAAGAATACCGTTCATATTTGTTCGCTTAGTCCACCCACCACACGTCACTCTCGGCACAAATCCTAATTCGTGTACAGATGAGATTTTGTGACGTTATCAAGTTGGTTTTTTTTCCCCCAAGACCAACCCAACTGGGGGGCACTGCCCCCCCCCCCCCCCCAGATTGTTGGCAGAGCAGAGAAGGCGATCTCTGCTGGGGCTTTGCGATTCCGCTATACAGTACAGTGCCCACGTCCCCCTTGGTACGTTTGACATGCAACAATTTAAAGATAATGTTTTAATTAAAAAAAACTTTGTTTTTGTTAAGAGTTTGACTTTAATTTATATGGAATGTTTAAAGATTATACAGGGTGCTTAAAAAATGTTAACGCTTACATGGGACTATCTTTTTTTTAAATGGAAAAAGAACAGATAATATACTGTAACATGGTAACAAATGTTAATGTTATAATAGCTTCAAAAAGTCAAAGTCGCCACTTTGTTCGCCATCGTTGTCAACACGTGCTTAGAATTTTCTCCAGGTTGTCTCCAGAGCCTGGGGTCACGTTTCTCGTGGTTTTGTTGCAAATTCTCAGAAGTGTTCACATTTTCTTTGAAGCACCCTGTATAATCACGTGGTACACTTAAGTGGGCATTAATCCCCTCACCAGCACCAGACGCACTACGGATAGCCCAGGGTAAATCTTTGCCTTTAGTTTCGTGTCCTTCCCCTGCACCATCTGATTTAGCATGATTGTATAAATAACGGTGCGAAGTAAGTTCAACAAACGCAGATGAGAGCAGCACCTCCACTTGTGCATTCTCTGTACTTGTGTGAGTTAGTGTGTGAGTTAGTGTGTGAGTGAGTGTGGGAGTGAGTGTGTGACTGTGTGTGACTGTGTGACTGAGTGTGTGAGAGTTAGTGTGAGTGAGTGTGGGAGTGTGTGACTGAGTGTGAGTGCGTGGGTGAGTGTGTGAGTGAGTGAGTGTGTGGCAAGGAATCCACAGTGCTGCCCCACCTAAGTTGTGGGTGAAAAGGTCTCGTATTAACCCGGGTTCACACTTCGAGCGATCAGTTGCTCAACTGGTTGCGCGCAACTTAATCGCTTATACGTTGATATTTCGCAACCGGAGGCGATCGAGTTGAAACTGACGCATGATTTCGAGCGTTCCTCCGCTCGTCAATGGGTTGGTCGTTAAGATGCTGAACGCGCGGTTGGATATCGGTGTTGCGCAATTCCTCGCTCGGAGGTCCGGACAAAGCAGTTTGCAGGCGATAAGTCTTTCAGTACATCCGCTGATGGCTGACCCAGTTCAGCATGCGTATTCTGGTGGAACCACGCTGGAAGCCCTGGAATGGCTTAAATTCATTAAACTTACAATTGCAGCCCTGCTGCTTTTTTTTTTAAACGCCATACGAAAGAGTTTGAGAGCGATGATTGTGTTGCGAAACCGATTGCTCGGATGTGGCCGCAGGTTTAAGTTGTGGGCCTTTCGAAGGCCCACCGAGCCTGCCCAGACCCACGGACTCAGGAGGCTGCAGCTATTCACCACCGCTGTCAACACAAATTGTAACCATCGTGGGTCGTGATTCGATTATTGAAGGGGTTTGTCTGTTAATGGCCCCCCAATAGTGTAACGTTATTTGCCTATTTAAAAAACTGTCAAAAGCATTACAAGTTGAATTCTCATCAGGCCTCCGAATGCTGTACATCATCCTGTTCAGTCTCCAACTCTTATCCACTCCGTCTCTCTTCTGGCCTCGCTGTTGCTGTGAAGCGGAATTGCCATTGGCAAAAACGTCTCCCATTATATATTAATTCATTTTAAAGCCACAGTGTAACCAATAATAGTGTCAAACTTGTAATGGGCCGCCGTCACGCAGTACTCGCTCACTCAAGAGACGCGAGGAGGAGGTGGAACCACAGACGAGTTAGAGGGCAGCAGTGAGGAACTGGGACTACCAGCAATTGCCCAAGCTCTGTGATCCTCTGTATATTAAACCTATGTATTTATGTTGAACTTAGTTCGAACCGTACGTCGGAGGTGGAGGGGGAAGGACAACAAACCGAAACCTTAAGGTGTTATCGGCCAATTATTGATGCGTGTTTATATTCGTTGAGTCGACGAATGCGAAACGACACCAGAGCGGACGGACACATTTGGGCGCACTCGGCAGGCACTGAACATTATCCGTAGGCTTTATTTTTCGTACCATGAAACAGAAATCACCAGCATCACAAACGTGTGAAGAAGACATCGATATCGTAGCTCTCTGCGTGTACCCACGTGAAACAACGTGCGCGCAACGTTCGGGGGAATACGTGAAGGTGACGTCGTTCACTCACGGAAGGCCTTGAGTCAGGAGGTTTCCTGCCACGATTGGATGTTTGGACAATATCAGAGAGGGTATTGAGTTTCTCGGTAAGGGCGAGAGAGTGGGTAAGGCCTGGGCCATCGAGTAGGTGTGTTCTCGGTCTGGTTTATAGAGTGGTTTATGAGTTGTGTGGCTGGGCTGCAGAGTGGGTTGAGTTCTAGGTCTAGACTCGAGCGTGGGTGTTGTGGTCTAGGTCTGCGCTTTAACTCTTGGTAACTCCTTGGGGGCACAGTTGTGACCTAAACACGCATGCAGACCAACAATATCACCACTTCCTCTCAATATATATATACGATATTGTCACCTGTGAAAAGTGTACCAGAACGTTCACACGTGCGTGTAGATTACACCTCTAGTGCATAGTATATGCATACAAAAATACAGTAATTACATATGTAGTTCCCTACCAATAGTAGCCGATGCATCTTCAGAGAATGCATTTGCAGCGTGTGTACATCCACCTGCCAAACGTGTGATTATGTCTGGCTAGGCCCGTGCAATTTGTCTTGTGTATATGTGCACAGATTGTAGAACATATAATTTGTATATATACACACCCCCGAGTGGTTACATCACTGTGTGGGTGGGTTTCACTTGTATTGTACACATGTACAGAAATATGTATATAGCTACTTGGCAAAACACGCATGTGCATTCGTGTATCAAATTGCTGATGATTGTGCAGCTGAATTGCTGGTAGTGGTGCACAATTAACAACACATTCATCAATAATATATATCATGGGTGACGTTTCGGGAAATAGCCCTTCTTCAGTCATGTGCAATTAAGATGGGCCATAGCCCGAAACGGTCACCTCTTGTATATATTTTTCCTATACGTTTTTGTATTAAGGCCACACGGTGTTTGTTGACGACTGTGTTGAGATTTGTGCATAAGTCGAGCCTGTGCGTGAATGTCCCCTTTTTATCCGTGACTACTGCGGAAAATCCTGGGTTTAATTTCAGCCGGATCTGTCCGAGATCCGAAACCCGGAAAATATTTGCTTACCCGGCACATCACATCCAGTATGCACTTCTCTATATATGTCTGTGGCTACTAGTCACGTGCGTTTCTCTCGTCTACCAGTCACCTGGAAAATATAAAAATGAGAATTTAAGCCCTGGCTACACCAATATAGAGACGTACACATACAAAGTGATGAAGATCGATCGACCTGGAAGGGTATAAAATGCCTTCCGAGTGGGCGCTTGTGGGTCAGAAGCCAACAATGCGGGAGTGGGCCACTTTAGCGGCTCGCTCTCCCACTTCCTCATCCAAGTGCTGTTAGCGAGTCGCACATATGAAGGCCGGCACGGCACACGAGGGGTGGGTGGCCAACACCGCGCCCGGCCACCCAATCGCACACTCACGCATCCAATCACTCACTCACGAATCCTCTCACTCACGCATCCACGCACACTTACGCACTCACTCGCTCACGCACTCACTCACGCACTCACACTCACTCGCTCACGCACTCACGCACTCACACTAACTCACACACTCGCTCACTCACTCACACGCTCACTGACACACTCACACACACTCGCTCACTCACACACTAACTCACACACACACTAACTCACACACTCACTCACACACTCACACACACTAACACTCATACACTCACACACTAACTCACACACACTCACACACTCACACACACTCACTCAGTCACACGTCACCAAGTGGGAGCGAGTCACCTCGAGCGAGTCGAGACCCCACCGTGTGACTGCGGTGAGACTCGGAGCGTGGAGGGTCTCTGGCTCCGTCTCCTCCTGGGAGGGCGCCGTCCGCTATGGTGGGGACCTCGCCAGGGCTACAGGCCGGGCCTCACCACAACTACAACCATCATCATCACAAACCATGGTCTATCAACTGCTAAAGACCTCCAGCCTCTAACCAGCGGTGGCCAATTCATGGATCGCAAAGAGATTTTGTTTGTGGATCTCAGGACAAATCATAACACCGCCATAAGTAGACACAAATTCTTGTTGCGCCTGATGGCAAATGAGAATTCCCGACGAAAGGATACATACGTCAAGTCAGTGGTTCTCAAACCTTTTCTTTTTGGCGACTGTTACCCCTCCTTGTTGAATTTTGTTCCCATCGCGTTTGCCTGACCCAACATGGTCATGATCAATACATGTTTGAATAATGAACATTAAATAGTTTAACCAATTGTCCCTTATTGTGAGGCATCATAACTAGCTCGTAACTGCAAGAGAATATTTTTTTTAAAGATCTTGTGAAACCACAATGAGTTTAGAAAGGTATTTTATATGGTTCTAGGTTCATTCTAGATTTTAAGTTTTCGTGACTGCAATAAAAATAAATATTAAATTTTAATTTTTTCATGTATTTATTTTTACCTACGTGACTTTACCGAAAGAACCAAAGAGTATGGTTCTAGGTTACCATATGGATTTAATTTTTTGTACCGTAGTTATTTTATATTGGCAGATTCATAAGTGATCATTAACCGATGATTCTCACGCACGATGTAATTTCACACGTTTATAAATCACCACACGTACCACCTGGGACATTGCCCCGTAACCCCCCAATGGTCCACGTACACCCACCTACCTCCCCCGGTTGAGAACCACTGCATTAAAAAGTAACTTTTATTACCTACGAGCTTACCCGGCTTCGCCCGGGACTTGGATTCACTACGCCCGGCCGCCTTTGTCTCCCCAGTGGCGATGTTCACACACCACACCAGTTACTCGTTTGAGGCTGAGTCGACCTAGGGGAGGCCCAGGACCGGTAGAAATAATCGTCACCGGTGGTTGGCAGCGGGAATCGAACTCGAATCGCCGGGTTCGTAGCGCAGTGCGCTAACCACTACACTACAATGCGTTACGCTTCCACTGCGCGGGTCACGTGACAGATTTGACGTCACAGCTCACTTGCCGTGCAAAAAAATGCATTATTGAGCTCCCCCCCCCAAAAAAAAACAAAAGTTTTTTTTTTGGGGGGGGGGGAGCTCAATAATGCAAAAGTTTTTTTTAATAATTTTTGCATAGTATACAGTCTGGAAAGTACCCACATGGCAAATTTCAAGTTTGTTGCATGTCGGGAAGTACGCTAAACATTTTGAACAGACACATTCACAACTTTGCCTTTTATATATGGATATTAATGGCGTTGGTATGTCTGTAGTACCATGTTAGAGGGTTAAATCCATCGCCGGTGATTGTTTAGCGGTAGCTTTGGGGCCGTCCATAAATGACGTCACGCGATTTTGGACGATTTTTGACCCCCCCCTTTCGTCACACATCACAAAAAGTCAGACCCCCCCTTCAAATATGACGTCACAAAGCTCTGCCCCCCCTCCCAAAAATAAAACATGCTTCAAATCTCTTTAAACTATTGTAGTGCGTATTTAATGTGGCGCTGCACTCTGATGTTGTAGGAGAAAACATTAATTAAAAAGTCGATTTAATTAAGTAGAACGTGTTGTCTATATTTATTTAAAGTTGCGCATTTTGATGTGACGTCACATTTCTCAACCCCCCCCCCTCCCTCGTCACACATCGTCACAAATGTCTGACCCCCCCCCCCCTAGGCGCGTGACGTCATTTATGGACGGCCCCTTTCTGGTGGCGGACAGCCACCTCTGCCGTGTCGGCTGCAAATATAATCTGTACCACAAACGTGTCCAAAAGTGCCAGATAGCCAACGTGCGTGCCTGTATATCCCTCCGTACCTATATAAAGCGACGTGTGTGTGTATATGTACATCACGTGGTCTCAAAGTGCACGTGCCCTGGCACAGACACCTTGGTGAAGTCATCGTCACTTAGTGGCGAATGGCGGGGTAGTGGTGTTGGTATTAAGGGGAGCGGCAGTGCAGTGGGGAGCGCTCCTTACCCGGCCACCGGAGTTCGATTCCCGTTCACGGCCATCGGCAATGACGATTATCTAAACCGCTCCTGGGCACCCCCCCCCCCTTCTAGGTCGACTCGGCCTCAAACGAGTACCCGGTGCGGTGCGTAGTAAACACATCGCCACGCTGGGGGAGACAAAGGCGGCCGAGCGCCTTACTGGTCACCAACTCCCTCTACGTGCCGTGCCGGCCTTCATAGGCGCTACTCGCTCACAGCACTTGCCCCGACGGTCTGTTCAGGCCACGCGGGTGGGGCGATCCCTGTCTTTGTTTTCGTAGCTGCTGACAAATGTATGGGGAAGGGTTCCAGCGGGAATCGAGTGACTCTCCCTCGCGTGAAATGTGCGCAGCAGCTACCCTGCCTGTCTTCATTACGCGCGCGCCCACAACTGGCGACTCGTGTGTGGACCGGTGCATGTCACTTTGCGAGCACCTCTGTTGTTTCTCACCGTGTACCGCACGCTACATGGCGACCTACCGTACGCGTCCGATCGTGGGTCGTAGTCGGAGCATTACCTGCGGGACCTGCATCATGCGCGATGCACGTTGAGCTTCTTTCGCGCCGTACGTAGGCAGCCGTGCTCATCAGAGGTGCGGGGGATAGACATATACACACACACACACGTGTGTGTGTGTGTGTATATGTACCTGTCACTCGGCATGTGTATTACCTGCATGTATCAGCACATGTATGGACCTCTATCTCCATACATGCATGTACCTGTCACACTTCACATGTGCATACCTAATTGTTGCTGTGCATGTATAGGTCAGGGAACAATGGCTGTCTCCCAACTGCCTGATCCGCTGAGCCCGTGTCCCCTGCGCTAGTAATTTGTGAACCTCGCTACCTGGCAGACACGTCCGGAGGCCCCTGTGGAGCTCCTACGAGGGCCCTGCCCTGCTGCCGCCTGGCGGCCCCACAGGCCCCGGTTCACCGGGCGGCCCCGGGGTCCCCGGCAACCCGGTGAGGCCCCTTTCGCCTGGCAGCCCAAAGTTCCCTGGCGGCCCCACTGGGCCGGGAGGCCCCGACACCCCCACGGGCCCAGCCGGCCCCGGTGGCCCCACCGGACCCTCGTCCCCCACGGGGCCCGGCGGACCCTGTTCCCCGGGGTCCCCCTTGATCCCGGGGCTTCCGGGCGGGCCCTGTCGGGCCAGGCTGCCCTTGGAGCCCGTAAGGCCTGGAGCCCCCTTGGGGCCCTGCTTCCCCTTCTCCCCCGGCGGGCCTTGGTTGCCAGGCCTGCCGGGCTCGCCCGGCAGGCCCACCAGCCCGTCCTTGCCTGGGTCGCCCTTGTCACCTTTGATGCCCGGGCTTCCCGGTGGGCCCCTGATGCCTGCATCCCCCTTGGGGCCCGCGGGACCTGCAGGCAACACGTGGCATGGGGGAGGAAGGTGGGGCAGGTATGACAAGTGGAGAGGGATTGAGAGTAGTTGTGTCAGAACTGATGAGATCCTGCGGTCAAGAAAAACCCTATCCTTGAATCTAACACTGATATGACTTGTTGACTGGAACTCGATCTCCAGGACCCACTGAACTCCCAACTCGACCTCCTGATGCACCGCCAGGTGTATAACCTGAACCTTAACCCCACCCAACGAGTCTGTACCCTTTGGATTCTGGGCTCCACAGCCCCGTCTGGGGGTTTCTCAAAGGGGTTCATAATGGCTGTGTCGGAGCACTGATCTAGCACTATTGAGAGCATGCAGTCGAGATGAGTACTGGATGGCTCACCATCACGGCCTGGGACATTATCACCTGATATGGAGGAGGCAATCAGACTCAAGGGTAATGTCCAGGCCAGTCTTCCGTTCCCTCCAATCCGGTCATATCACGCAGTCCGTCCTGGACAGAGTTTCACCCAGTCCAGTCGTCCATGTTAGTCCAGTCCCATGTTCTGTGCAGTCCAGTCCGGCCGTACCTGGCCCGCTGCCACCACAGCTGCCCCCACCCCCCCACCCCCGGCTCACCCTGCAGCAGCGTGAGGTTGCGGTAGAGTCGGTCGTGGTAGGCGTCCACCAGGCGCAGCTCCTCCGTCACCACCGTGAGGTTCGCCACCTCCACGTCGAGGCGGCGCCGCAGGTCTTCGTGCGCCGCTAGCAGCGCCGCCGCGTCGTCGCGAAGCCTCGCCAGCGTCTCGTTCACCAGCGCCAGCTCCTCCGCCCGCGGCTCGGAGCGCCCGCCGCACGCCTCCCGCACCTGCCCCAGGTACGCGGCGACGCCACGCAGGTGCCGATCCGTGCCGTTGACGGCGCCGCGGACGGCGCCCAGCTCGGCCTCGCGGGCGTCCACCCGCCCGTCCAGCGCCTCCTGCCTGGACGCCGCCAGCGCCTCCGCGCGCCGCAGCCGCTCGGCCAGCCCGAGCAGCGCGTCGTCGCGCGCGGCGCACCCCGCGCTGACGTTGGCGAGCTCCCCGCCCAGCTCCGCCGCCCGGGCCCTCGCGTCGCCCGTCGCCTCCTCCGAGCGCCGCAGCAGCAGCGCCGCCTGCGCCGACGCGGCCCGGAGGCCCGCGACGGCGCCCCGCAGCTCGCCCTCGCCGGCGGCGCCGCGCTCCAGCAGGCGGCTGAGGTTGCGCAGCCGGCCCCGCGCGCCGTCCGCGTCCCGGCCGAGGCGGGCCGCCGCCGCCTGCGCCGCCGCGGTCAGCGACGCCTGGCGCCGCAGCTCGGCGTCGAGGCGCCGCAGCTCGGCGTCGTGGGCGGCGTGCGCCGCGGCGGCGCGGGCCGCCGAGCCCTCGAGGGCGCCGACGGCGGCGCGCAGGGCGGCGTCGCCCGAGCGCCGCTCCTCCAGCGTGCGGTTGAGCAGCAGCAGCAGCGAGCGCGCCGAGTCGGCGTCGGAGCGGGCGGCGCCCAGGGCCGCGGCGCTCGAGCGCTGGGAGGAGTCGGCGAGCGCCAGGGCGTGGGCCTGCGCCTCGGTGGCCGCCAGCGCCCGCCGCGCGTCACTCTGCAGCTCCCGCATCTCGAGGCGCAGGGACGCCAGCGCTGACGAGGTGGAGCGGTTGCGCCAGGTGGACTGCTCGTCTGCGCACGGCCGAGAGGGAGGCAGTAGACGCGGGGGAGGGGGTGGGGACGAGCGAGAGAGGCGCGGGGGGTGGGAGATGTCGTCAATCTCAGCCGGGTGGCGCGAGTGCCGAGTCGAGCGACGAGACGGCGCGTGGCAGCATTCACCCTCGGGCACAAAAACCCCGAGGGCCCCTGCTGGGAAAAAAAACCCCAAAGCGAGCCCCCTTCCTAGGGGTCCCTCCTGGAAAAAGCCCCCATGAGAGAGCCCCTTCTATCCCTGAGTTTTGACAGTCACAGTCGATCTGCTGCAGCCATGAGGCCGACCTCTTAACCTGCCTGTATCCCTCTGTCTCATCCCCATCTCAGCTGTGTCTCCCCCTGAATCCCCCATGTGTCTCCCCATGTCTGGCCCCTGTTCTCATCTCTGTCTCATCCCCATCTCAGCTGTGTCTCCCCCTCCCGTCCCGCCGTGTCTCACCTGCGTCTCTCAGGCTGGACTCCACGCTGGACAGTTTGGCCGTGTAGTTTGTTTGCACTGAGAGGATGTCTCTCTCCAGCAGGTCCATCTTGGTCATGGCTGCGGAACGCGAGGCGGGCACGGTATGGACGCGAGACGGACAGACGGACGGACATGGACACAGGAGAATACAGATCGTCAAAACGGATATAAGCATTCGTGGCAGAATCAGTCGGTAGGCCTGACATAAACGGTGTTGACAGGTCTTGTGTTGTTACATGTCGTCCTCCTGTAATAGTTCCTGGAGCAATAGGGTGAGGACTCGTGGTATAAAGTCAACTGTTGCCGCAGCGTTAGGGTTAGGGCAGACATGGGCAAAGTACGGCCCCCGGGCCGTATACGGCCCGTTGGGCTTTTTAATCCGGCCCGCCGAACTTGTCCAAATATTTTTGTTTTAAACCTTTCGTGACTGCAGTAATTCATAATCTTAGCTCTTTCGGTAAAGTCACGTTGAAGAGAAACAATAAAATAATAATATATATAAAACAATAAAAATTCTCACGACGTTTCGACCATAACACAAACGGTCGTCATCAGGTGTGCAACGTGACTTTACCGAAAGAGCTAAGAATTTGTCCAAATATTATTAAATTAAATTTTACCTTTCTCCTGTAATGCCCCCATTTCCCCATTAGATGGCGCAGTTTGACCGGGAGTTAAGACATGTTTTTGTATCGTTCATGTTCGTGCAATTTGTTAAATTGCCTTGCAAATAAATGATTTGCTAACCTGTTAAAGGCCAAATCCTTTCATGTAATGATTTTTACATTTATATTAGTCCACACAAACACTCCATCCATCTGTTCCTGGGCCCGGCCCCGCTGTCAGAATTTTAGAACCCACTGTGGCCCGCGAGTCAAAACATTTGCCCACCCCTGGGTTAGGGGCTGGTGTTGCATGAGTGACGACGGGGTTTGCGGCAGGCCTGTGTTAGTGTTCGGACTGCGGGTGGCGGTGTACCAATGGAGCCGAGCGCGGCGAGCGTGACGGCCAGGGCAGCGCACACCATGTACAGCAGCACCACGGCGCTCTTCAGCACCCAGGGGTCGTGGTGCCGGCCACAGCATCCGCGCGCTTCCTGGATCCCTGCAGCAGCCGAAAAAAATAGCGGCACACAGCTGTGGTTACGGGGGTGTAGATGATGATGATGTTGTTGGTAGTGGTGGAGGGGGGGGGGGGGTGATGTTTATTTAATAATGCATTACGCTTGTTTAGGGTACCGATCTCGCAAGCGTGGGTTCTCGTCCGAGCGCTCCGGTTTCCTCCCGCACGTGAACGCTCAGTAACTGATGGGTGACACCTTTAATATATATGGAGGAGCGCAGAGCTCGGGCAATTTGTTGTTGCTGGCGGTGGCGGCGGCTCATCGCGTGGCTGCTGCCTTTCCCGCTCCTCGTCTGTAGTTTCTCGTCCTGGTGCCTGTCGAGTCGTCCTCTCTCTCTCTCTCGACGAGAGCGAGCGAATGCAATGGTGGCACGTTCGGTACAAGTTGAATTGTCTATTCAAAGGGTGTACGTCGTCTCCTTCTCACGTGACTCTTTTTCAGGAGCGTCCTGACAAGTTTTTGCACTGGGGGAAATGGGGGAGGTGATGGATAGGTCGAATGCAACCGAGTAATCTGCGGGCACGTTTTTGAGATTTTGCCAAATTTGGACCGTGACGTCGGCACACAACGGCCTACTCTTGCGAATGACGTCAGGGGATCTTTAACGTCTGTAGTATATGTACGGTCTATGCACCTGCAGTATTAACCAGGGCGGCTGCTGGATTCGAACTGTGAACCTCTGCAATAAGCAGTGAATGCGTCCCCGCGATGCCATGTGGGATGATGCTGCTATTACTGCTGATGATGATGAAGATGATAAGATGATGGTGATGATGATGATGTGGGTGCTGATGATGAGGTGGATGAAGAGGATCTGATGTTAATGACGATGATGCTGCTACTTATGATGTTCATGAACATGATGATTTCGAGAATGCCCTCTGATGCTGCTGCTGTTGGATGATCACGGAGATGTTTCTGCTGCTCACGACGCTGCTGATGACGATGATAGTGATGGAGCCTCTGATGCTACGAATGATGTTGCCGCTGCCGTGAATGATGATGCTGCTGCTGATAAAGAAGAAGATGAAGATGCTGTTGACGATGATGTCACTGCGTGTCCTCGGTGCCGCTCGTACCAAAACGCTTGTACCCGAAGGATGAGGCCTCCTCCTCGTCGCCCGCGTCTCCGTCTGCACAAGCGGAAGAGCCGACAATGTCACAGCGAGGGGGGGTCAGTGGTTGGAGGGGGGCAGGTGGGGGGGGGGGGGTGGAGCGGGGGACAAGGGGTTAGGGGGTCAGTCAGTTGGGAGAGATCAGGGGCTCGTAAAGAGACATTGTTGCCTGACCTATACATGAGCAGCAACAAGGAGGTTTGCTCATTTAACTGCTTATTGTGTTTGTTGTCCTTCCCCCGCACCACCGATTAGCGCACTTGGCTACGTACGGTGCGAAAGAGGTTCAACATGTTTACATCATGTGTAGTGTGACAGAGGTACATGCATGTAGAAAGATACAGAGGTCTATACGTGTTCAGAGATATGAAAGTATATTACACATGCATTGTGACAGGTATATTACACGCGTAGTGACAGGGTGACACCTGTCGGCCTGTAAGGGTCATTAAAGTTATAGCCTGCGTTACATAATGCCTTATTGTGAAGGGGCGTGTCTGGGGTAAAGGTCAAGGGCGGTGTCAGTCGAGAAGCTCCGGGAACCATCCCGAAGGGTCGAGAAGGTTCTAGAAAGGGGGCGTGGCCAGAGGTGGCGCTTGGCCACGCCCAGGCGGATATCAGGGGCACCGAACGGGGCTGTGAGTGTGGGGGTCTGGGGGCCCTGGTTTGCGTCGCTGCTCGTCGCTATCTCTCTTCGTCTTCGACCACGTCGCTGTTCTTCTGCAAGACCAGCTCCGTCGAGGATCCAGCGTGGCGCATGGCGGAGATGGGCTGCGTGTTTAGAACAGGCCTCGGTGTATCCGCCACGTTACGAAGTGTAATCGCCCTGTGTGCTCTTAATAAATAAGACGCCTTCGACGAGACGTGCGTCGGAAGTCGCTCACTGCACACGTTCAGTGTCATAAGAGGTGGCATGCAGTGACAGATGTATACGCACATCCAGGTCTATTCATGTAGAGTGTAGCTGAATAGATCTACATGTGTGGTAATATTCACGTATATGCACGTAGACTAGCAGGTGAATGTGTGTATGTGTAGGTGTACACAGTGTATACATGTGTAGGTGTGCACGTGTAGGTGTGTGCGTACGTGTACACGTATGTGTAGGTGTATACGTGTATGCATGTACTGTATAAGTGTATGCATGCGTAGGTGTGTGCATGGGTGTACATGTGTGTGCATGTGTAGGTCTATGTATGTATAAGTTCATGCATTAGTAGGTGTACACATGTAGGTGTAGGTGCATGCATGTGTAGCTGTGTGCATGTGTAGGTGTGTGCATGAGGTGTACACGTGTAGGTATGTGCATGGAGTGTACACGTGAAGGTGTACACGTGTAGGTATGTGCATGGAGGGTACACGTGTGTGCATGTGTAGGTGTATGCATGTATAAATGTATGCATTAGGTGTACATGTGTAGGTGTATGCATGGGTGTATACGTGTATGCATGTGTACAAGTCTAGGTGTGTGCATGTGTAGGTGTGTGTAGGTGTACACGTGTAGGTGTGTATACGCGTAAAGGTACACGTCTGTGCATGTGCATTGGGTGTACATGTGTGTGCATGTGTAGGTGTACACGTGTGTGCATGTGTAGGTGTACACGTGTGTGCATGTGTACACGTGTGTAGCTTGCAGCCCTCCTGCCCCTCCCCCACTCTGGTCCGCACAGCTGGCGCGCACGTGTCCCGGCCCCGGCGACCCCGTGACCACGGGGCCCCCACGCGCACCTCGGTGCCGGAATCAATTCCTCACAACGTGACCGCCCACCGTGTCCATTACAGCGAATGCAAACAACGGAATCGATTGACGTTCAATAATCGAGTTTCGATTCCCTATTCGTAGAAACGGGGCTTCGGATTCCCCATTCGGGGGCCGTTATTGTGCCGTAAGCCTAGACATGATGTAACGTTAGGGGCTAGGGTTAGAGCTTAGACCTTTATCCTAGGGTTAGAGTTAGGGATAGAGTCACAGCTAAAGTTAGGTCTAAAATCACAGATAGAGTTAGGGCTAAAGTCACAACTAGAGTTAGGGCTAAAGTCACAGCTAGAGTTAGGGCTAAAGTTATAACTAGAGTTAGGGCTAAAGTCACAACTAGAGTTAGGGCTAAAGTCACAGCTAGAGTTAGGGCTAAAGTCACAACTAGAGTTAGGGCTAAAGTCACAGCTAGAGTTAGGGCTAAAGTCACAGCTAGAGATAGGGCTAAAGTCAAAGCTAGAGTTAGGGCTAAAGTTACAGTTAGGGTTGGGCTAAAGTCACAACTAGAGTTAGGGCTAAAGTCACAGCTAGAGATAGGGCTAAAGTCAAAGCTAGAGTTAGGGCTAAAGTTACAGTTAGGGTTGGGCTAAAGTCACAACTAGAGTTAGGGCTAAAGTCACAGCTAGAGTTAGGGCTAAAGTCAAAGCTAGAGTTAGGGCTAAAGTTACAACTAGAGTTAGGGCTAAAGTCACAACTAGAGTTAGGACTAAAGTCACAACTAGAGTTAGGGCAAAAGTCACAACTAGAGTTAGGGCTAAAGTCACAGAGTTAGGGCTAAAGTCACAACTAGAGTTAGGGCTAAAGTCACAGCTAGAGTTAGGGCTAAAGTTACAACTAGAGTTAGGGCTAAAGTCACAGCTAGAGTTAGGGCTAAAGTTACAACTAGAGTTAGGGCTAAAGTCACAGCTAGAGTTAGGGCTAAAGTCGGAGCTAGAGTTAGTGCTAAAGTCACAGCTAGAGTTAGGGCTAAAGTCACAACTAGACTTAGGGCTAAAGTAATAGCTAGAGTTAGGGCTAAAGTCACAGCTAGAGATAGGGCTAAAGTCACAGGTAGAGTTAGGGCTAAAGTCACAACTAGAGTTAGGGCTAAAGTCACAACTAGTGTTAGGGCTAAAGTCACAACTAGAGTTAGGGCTAAAGTCACAGCTAGAGTTAGGGCAAAAGTCACAACTAGAGTTAGGGCTAAAGTCATAGCTAGAGTTAGGGCTAAAGTTACAACTAGAGTTAGGGCTAAAGTTACAGTTAGGGTTGGGCTAAAGTCACAACTAGAGTTAGGGCTAAAGTCACAACTAGAGTTAGGGCTAAAGTCACAACTAGAGTTAGGGCTAAAGTCACAGCTAGAGTTAGGGCTAAAGTCACAGCTAGAGTTAGGGCTAAAGTCACAGAGTTAGGGCTAAAGTCACAACTAGAGTTAGGGCTAAAGTCGGAGCTAGAGTTAGTGCTAAAGTCACAGCTAGAGTTAGGGCTAAAGTCACAACTAGACTTAGGGCTAAAGTAATAGCTAGAGTTAGGGCTAAAGTCACAGCTAGAGATAGGGCTAAAGTCACAGGTAGAGTTAGGGCTAAAGTCACAACTAGAGTTAGGGCTAAAGTCACAACTAGTGTTAGGGCTAAAGTCACAACTAGAGTTAGGGCTAAAGTCACAGCTAGAGTTAGGGCAAAAGTCACAACTAGAGTTAGGGCTAAAGTCATAGCTAGAGTTAGGGCTAAAGTTACAACTAGAGTTAGGGCTAAAGTTACAGTTAGGGTTGGGCTAAAGTCACAGCTAGAGTTAGGCTAAAGTCACAACTAGAGTTAGGGCTAAAGTCACAACTAGAGTTAGGGCTAAAGTCACAGCTAGAGTTAGGGCTAAAGTCACAGCTAGAGTTAGGGCTAAAGTCACAGAGTTAGGGCTAAAGTCACAACTAGAGTTAGGGCTAAAGTCACAGCAAGAGATAGGGCTAAAGTCACAGTTAGAGTTAGGGCTAAAGTTACAACTAGAGTTAGGGCTAAAGTCACAGAGTTAGGGCTAAAGTCACAACTAGAGTTAGGGCTAAAGTCACAGCTAGAGTTAGGACTAAAGTCACAACTAGAGTTAGGGCTAAAGTCACAACTTGAGTTAGGGCTAAAGTCACAACTAGTGTTAGGGCTAAAGTCACAACTAGAGTTAGGGCTAAAGTCACAACTAGTGTTAGGGCTAAGTCACACTAGAGTTAGGGCTAAAGTCACAGCTAGAGTTAGGGCAAAAGTCACAACTAGAGTTAGGGCTAAAGTCATAGCTAGAGTTAGGGCTAAAGTTACAACTAGAGTTAGGGCTAAAGTTACAGTTAGGGTTGGGCTAAAGTCACAACTAGAGTTAGGGCTAAAGTCACAGCTAGAGTTAGGGCTAAAGTCACAACTAGAGTTAGGGCTAAAGTCACAACTAGAGTTAGGGCTAAAGTCACAGCTAGAGTTAGGGCTAAAGTCACAGCTAGAGTTAGGGCTAAAGTCACAGAGTTAGGGCTAAAGTCACAACTAGAGTTAGGGCTAAAGTCACAGCAAGAGATAGGGGCTAAAGTCACAGCTAGAGTTAGGGCTAAAGTTACAACTAGAGTTAGGGCTAAAGTCACAGAGTTAGGGCTAAAGTCACAACTAGAGTTAGGGCTAAAGTCACAGCTAGAGTTAGGACTAAAGTCACAACTAGAGTTAGGGCTAAAGTCACAACTTGAGTTAGGGCTAAAGTCACAACTAGAATTAGGCTAAAGTCACAACTTGAGTTAGGGCTAAAGTCACAGCTAGAGATAGGGCTAAAGTAACAACTAGAGTAGGGCTAAAGTCACAACTAGAGATAGGGCTAAAGTAATAGAGTTAGGGCTAAAGTCACAACTTGAGTTAGGGCTAAAGTCACAACTAGAGTTAGGGCTAAAGTCACAACTAGAGTTAGGGCTAAAGTCACAACTAGAGTTAGGGCTAAAGTTACAACTATAGTTCGGGCTAAAGTCACAACTAGAGTTAGGGCTAAAGTCACAGAGTTAGGGCTAAAGACACAGCTAGAGTTAGGGCTAAAGTTACAACTAGAGTTAGGGCTAAAGTCACAGCTAGAGTTAGGGATAAAGTTACAACTAGAGTTAGGGCTAAAGTTACAACTGGAGTTAGGGCTAAAGTTACAACTAGAGTTAGGGCTAAAGTCACAACTAGAGTTAGGGCTAAAGTTACAACTAAAGTTAGGGCTAAAGTTACAACTAGAGTTAGGGCTAAAGTTACAACTAGAGTTAGGGCTAAAGTCACAGAGTTAGGGCTAAAGTCACAGCTAGAGTAGGGCTAAAGTCAGAGCTAGAGTTACGGCTAAAGTCACAGCTAGAGTTAGGGCTAAAGTCACAACTAGAGTTAGGGCTAAAGTAATAGCTAGAGTTAGGGCTAAAGTCACAGCTAGAGTTAGGGCTAAAGTCACAACTAGAGTTAGGGCTAAAGTCACAGAGTTAGGGCTAAAGTCACAACTAGAGTTAGGGCTAAAGTCAGAGCTAGAGTTAGGGCTAAAGTCACAACTAGAGTTAAGGCTAAAGTCACAACTAGAGTTACGGCTAAAGTCACAGCTAGAGTTAGGGCTAAAGTCACAACTAGAGTTAGGGCTAAAGTAATAGCTAGAGTTAGGGCTAAAGTCACAGCTAGAGTTAGGGCTAAAGTCACAACTAGGGTTAGGGCTAAAGTCACAGAGTTAGGGCTAAAGTCACAACTAGAGTTAGGGCTAAAGTCACAACTAGAGTTAGGGCTAAAGTCACAGCTAGAGTTAGGGCTAAAGTCACAACTAGAGTTAAGGCTAAAGTCACAACTAGAGTTAGGGCTAAAGTCACAGAGTTAGGGCTAAAGTCACAACTAGAGTTAGGGCTAAAGTCACAACTAGAGTTAGGGCTAAAGTCACAGAGTTAGGGCTAAAGTCACAACTAGAGTTAGGGCTAAAGTCACAACTAGAGTTAGGGCTAAAGTAACAACTAGAGTTAGGGCTAAAGTCACAACTAGAGTTAGGGCTAAAGTCACAACTTGAGTTAGGGCTAAAGTCACAGCTAGAGTTAGGGCTAAAGCCACAACTAGAGTTAGGGCTAAAGTCACAACTAGAGTTACGGCTAAGTTATAGGTAGAATTAAAGCTACGGGTAGAGTTAGGGATGAAGTTTCAACTACAGTCAGTTTGGGAGCTTAGGTTAGGGCTAGAGTTAAGATTAAGGCTATTGATAGGGCTAAGAGTTAGGGTTTTGGCTACTTTTAGTTTTAGGGCTAAAGTTAGGGTTAGAGCTAGGGCTCTGGGTTATAACCAGGAATAGAGGTTAGAGTTATGGGTAGAAGCTAGGATTATGCATCGGTGTTACGTTTAGGGATAAGGGTTAACGTCATTGGTTAGGTTTAGCGCTAGGGAGAGTGGTTTGGCTTAGTGCTCGGGTTAGCGGTGTGTTTTAGTGCCGGGGTTAGTGGTTAGGTTTAGTGATAGGCTTCGAGCTATGGTTAGGAATTTGGGTTAGGTGTACTGCTCTTGTTAGAGCTATACTGTAGTTTAACATTTAGCTCCAGGAGTTTAGGCCAGTGCCGGTAATTGTCTTTATAGCTGTGGGTAAAGGGCTACTGCTTAGGCTAGGGTTAATTCTGGGTTCAGGCTTAGCACTAGGGCTAAATGCACATTAAGCCAAACTTGGCTGTGTGGCTCCACATATCAATACGAATATTCGAGTCCATTAGCGCCTATTATTAAATGCCCATAGCAATAGAAACCCGCACCATTCGTTTTAGCAAGCACACACTCTGGACCGCCTTTGACATTCTGTGTTGTCATCAGCGGAGGTCAGGTTGGTTGCACAAATGCTACCACATTACCGGATGTTGTCGGCGAGAACACTCCATCTAATCCACGGGACCCCGTTCAACGAGACAGCGCAACACAGAACACAAATTCATGACGCGTTGCCGTGGAGCTGATGAGGCCCGACCTGGAGTCTAACCCTGACGGTGGCTGCAAGGCAGGTCTCTTACCCCTCATCATGATAGAGGCTCCGCACCGTCACTCGATATCCACCGCCACTCGGGTCCAGACCTCCACTCCCACCTGGAAGTGGGCCTTCTGCTGGATAAGGGGACCTTCTTAGTGGGGATGGATGGACCTTCCGTAGCTGGAGCTTGTTGAGTCGGACCTTCCCCTAGAGTCGATTAGGAGCCTCCCAATCAGGACCTCTTTCTGGATCAAGAGTGTCTGGAGCCGCACCTTCTTTGAAATGAAGATATTCGTCTTGGTGGGATGGGCCTTCTGTAGCTGGAACTTCGCCTTGCAGCCGAACCGAAATTCTTCACAGCACCTTGTCCAAGACCCAGACCTTGCACTGGGGCCAGTCCTCTTCAGCAGGGCCTTCTGTTTGAGTCGGACCTTCTTCTCAATAAAGACTTTCTCTTAGATCTGCATAGACACTCTCTTTGACACGGACCTTGCTATGTGGCCGGATCTTGTTGTGCTTTTGTCGTTTAGTCGAACCTTCCCCCAGAGCCGGAAACTTCTCGATCAGGAACTTCTCGATGAGGACCTCCGGGAGATCGGGTTTTCGTTGCCAGGGACCCGTCCCTGGAATCACAGCAACTATTTATCTGTGTGTGTGTGGAGCAACATTCGCCGAGTGCGCCGTCTGCTCCGTCCTCCTTCTCGGCCGAGCTGTGGCAAGAAGGGGGGGAAATGAGTGGTGGGAGAGCCAGGGGGCAGGGAATAGGGGGAGATGAGGAGGAGGAGGAGGAGGGGGGCTACAGACTCAAACCCAACCCCCAACTCGCATTTTTGCGGGCGAGGGAGTAGAGCCACAGGAAAGGTTGTTTGGGGATGGGGAGAGAGGAGGGAGATGGAGAGATGTGAAGGAGAGAGTGGAAATGGGGGGGGGGGGTGGTGGCGGATGGAAGAGAGAAAGAGGAGAGGGGAAGACGCGGGAGAAGAGAGGGAAGTTTGTAAAGACGGAGCAGAGGGAGGGGGAAGAGAGAGGGGAGGGAGAAGGGGGTAGAGGTGGGGGAGTGAAACAGAGCAGAGAGAGGAAAGAGAGAGAGAGGATGAGATGTGGGGGGGGGGGGGGGTGTAGAAGGGGGGGGGGGGGGACATGGAGATAGTTTTGTGCAGCCTCCCACTCTCTATAAACATCTAAAACTGCTGATAAGGCAGGGTGACTGAGAGAGGTTCATCAGGGCCACGTCCGACTATGCCAGTGCCATGGAGATCCTGTATTTGTCTAAAGAGCTTTGTTATGGTCGTGTCTGAGATAACCTGGGTCCCATCATCAGCCATGTCATATATCCACTGCTGGATGGAGGCCTCCTCCAGCCCGCCGTCATTCCCCGCAGTCCCGAGATTCAACGATCCATTCAAACTCCTCCTGCACTTGTTCGTCTCTCTGTCTCCACGCTGGGCGCTTTCGACGTTTTACAAAGATGTTCACAATGGCAGTGCCGGTGATACTGCGCCAGATCCTGCCACCGGGACCCTGGACCTGGGACCCCTGGATCCCCTTACCCCCCTCCCCCCCGACCCTGGACACCCCCCTGATAACTCTCGCAGCCCCTCCTGCCCCCCACCGTCCCCCCCAGACCACTCCTAGTCCCGGAACGTCGGGCTCCTGAACTGTGTAGCCCAGCACTGCTGAGATCCTGGGTCCGATCCTTGCTTTTTTTGTTGTCAACAAAGGCCTCCCCAATGATTCCTTCCTTTCCTTAGCTGCCCCTGTCCAGTAGTATAACATCCCAGTAAACATTGAACGCTGAGTCAACGGTTCCAACCGCGTGCCAACTTGGGTCCGACGTTGCATGTTTACTTGGCTCTGTGATGTCGTCCCGTTGCTTGACGTCTCCCCCGCTGTCTTACCCTCGGTCTCTTTGTGCCTTGTCTCGTTTTTCTACTTTGCAGTGAATATTTTGAGGCTGGGCTGTCTGTCTGTCGTTCTCACTCTCTATCTCAGTGGTTTTGTAACGGCCATGTCAGTGCATTCAAACAGCGCTACTAAGGAACTTGGATTTCAAGTTCTGGGCGTGGGTGTCGCTTCAGGGACTCACAGTGGTTGTTGTCTGAAACAGACGGCTCCAATAATAAAAAAGAAATAAAAACTGGGGTTGAGTCCACGTTTGGGCCGCCCCACATTTACATCGAATTTTCCACCACCATGCATGCACACGTGGATGATGCAGTCACGCTGCCGGCCTTCAGCAAATCAGCACTGACGCAAGCGTGGTGAAGTATGGTCAATCAGCACTGACCCAAGTGTGGTGAAGTATGGTCAAATAACCCCATGGCACCATTACAGGCGTTTGAAGGCGCTCGTCGATTGCCAACAATATCTGCACGGCATGTGTAGCGATGTATATATATTTAAAAAAATACATTTAGGATTTGTAAAATGCAATGCAACGGCATGGGAATGGCAATGGAGCGGTGGTGCAGTGGTTGGCGTATTGTTCTCCGTTAAACCCGTCGACCCGAGTTCGATTCCCGACCACGGCTACCACCAGCGACTAGCCGCAGTGTACCTGAACAGTTTCTTAGGTTCCCCAGCGTGGTGAAGTATGGTCGAACATGGAGTGACAAAAGAACCCACATGCCACCGACATAATGATAATAATAATAACAATCGTGCCGTGTGTACCGCGCTGCACGATATTTCACAGACGTGATGAATTACAGCGACTCCGAGGTGCGGAAGAGACAAACTCGGTTGCGGCTCAAAAGCCAAGTGAAAGAGATTACCTTTAAGAAAGAGATGTTTTTTTTTTAAGAGGTGACCTTTAAGAAAGAGCTGGTCTTTAAAAAATAAGTGGGGACTTTATGAACGAGGTGTCTTTAAGAAATGTGGGGACATTAAGAAAGAGGTGGTCTTTAAAGAGGTGACTTTAAGAAAGAGGTGTCTTTAAGAAATGTGGGGACTTTAAGAAAGAGGTGGTCTTTAAAGAGGTGACTTTAAGAAAGAGGTTACTTTAAGAAAGAGGTGTCTTTAAGAAAGAGGTGGGGACTTTAAGAAAGAGATGGTCTTTACGAAATGTGGGGACTTTAAGAAAGAGGTGGTCTTTAAGAAAGAGGTGGGGACTTTAAGAAAGAGGTGTCTTTAAAAAAGAGGTGGGGACTTTAAGAAAGAGGTGTCTTTAAGAAAGAGGTGGGGACTTTAAGAAAGAGGTGTCTTTAAGAAAGAGGTGGGGACTTTAAGAAAGAGGTGTCTTTAAGAAAGAAGTGGGCACTTTAAGAAAGAGGTGTCTTTAAAAAAGAGGTGGGGACTTTAAGAAAGAGGTGTCTTTAAGAAAGAGGTGGGGACTTTAAGAAAGAGGTGTCTTTAAGAAAGAGGTGGGGACTTTAAGAAAGAGGTGTCTTTAAAAAATGTGGGGACTTTAAGAAAGAGGTGGTCTTTAAAGAGGTGACTTTAATAAAGAGGTGGCCTTTAAGAAAGAGGTGGGGACTTTAATAAAGAGGTTATCTTTAAAGAGGTGAGATTTAACAAAGAGGTGACATTTAAGAAAGAGGTAGGATCTTTAAGGAAGAGGTGACCTTTCAGAAAAAGATCACCTTTAAGAAAGAGGTGAACTTTAAGAAAGAGGTGGGGCCTTTAAGGAAGAGGTGGTCTTTAAGAGGTGCCCTTTAAGAAAGAGGTGGTCTTCAAGAAAGTGGTGGGACCTTTAAGGAAGAGGTGATCTTTCAGAAGAGATGACCTTTAAGTAAGAGGTGGTGGCTTTAAGAGGTAGCCTTTCAGAAAAAAGGTCAACCTTTAAGAAAAAGGTGGTCTTTAAGAGGTGACTCTTGAGAAAGAGGTGAACTTTAAGAAAGAGGTGGCCTTTAAGTGTCCATGTAAGAGTCGGTATGAATTGGACGCTGCTGCGAATGTGCAGCGGGGATCACTGCCGCGTTCCACACGGAGGGGGCATACCACGGAATGGTCATCCAGCAGTGGATTGGCGCCGGCCTATAAATTATTATCAGATACCATGGGGGTGGGGGTGAGCTTAATGTGTTATGTTATGAATGTGCTATGAAGAAGGGGCATTGCACGATACGTCGCCTGTTCTATGTTTCTTTCTATTCAGGCCAAACAGTGTTGTTATTGACACGCTCGAGTGTTGAGTTTCTGTTGTTTATTGTGACTGCACCACACTGCCAACGCAGCAAAAGCAGCAGCAGCAGCGTCGCCAGATGTTGCTGGAGACCAAAATCCAACGCCATCTCGTGTTAGGAGGAGAGAGGCGATTGGCGTGGAATTCTCAACGTTTTGCAGCATTGCATTGTTCAAAAGCACCGTTCCGTTTTTGAGTCGATATCTTGATAAGTAAGAGTGGTGGAAAAAGTGTCCCATAGATATAAACAACTTAACCCGAGCTTTTCTTGATGATGATTTTTTTTGTTTGCGTTGTCCTTGTACTGCGCTGTTTTGGTGTAGCACTGGTGAGACAAAGCCATCAGCGAGGCTGTTTCTTTTTTAGTGCAGGCCAATCAAAGCACATTTGATTTTTTGTTTTACACACAAATGTGCGATTAATGTTGACTCGATGTCTTAGCATAGGTATTTATTTGGTGTTTGAACGTCTTAACACCTGTATTTATGCCAGATAGGGTAAAAAAATAATAATGTGTTTATCATTTACTTCAGTGTAAAACTTTACAAGTGAGAGTTAAACACTTAAGCCTGGACTACTGGGCAATCTGTGAAAAAAGAGCTTTATAGCTCTTCGGATTCCTCCAGTATATAAATAAACCCATAGCTGTAAACCACCTTATTGGTCACCCCGTGCCCCTTATAAATCTCAACGTCCATCCTACAAAGTCCCATCACGAGGGAGAAACACAAACAAAGACAAACAAAAATTTTGATTTAAAGCTTTCGTGACTGCAGTAATTCATATTCTTAGCTCTTTCGGTAAAGTCACGTTAAAGGGAAACAATAAAATATATATAAAACAATAAAATTCTCACGACGTTTCGACCATAACACAATGATGATGACCGTTTGTGTTATGGTCGAAACGTCGTGAGAATTTTTATTGTTTTATATATATTTTATTATTTTATTGTTTCCCTTCAACGTGACTTTACCGAAAGAGCTAAGAATACAAACAAAAATGTTGCCCGTATTGAAAACTCGATTTTCCTGTACAAGAATACTGGCTAAACCGTAAGGCAAATAACATGATTCTGATTCTTAATATAGTTATTTGGGGGGTGCGGTGGGGGTGTTATATCGCGTAAACATTAATGTGTCGTTAAACCTCATTGTACGATATTCTGAAGTCACAGTGACGTCACAGCTCTAGTGCTTCTTCCTCGCCACTGAGCAGCAGCAACAGCAGCAAAAAAACATCACGCCTCACGAAATCATTGACGAAGTGACGTCACCCATTCATCGACGTCATCTCGCCACAAGTCACACCGCGGCGGATGACGTCGCGTGCCCGCCCCCCGTTCCCCCCCCATCGTTGAAGAGCGCGAGCGGCTGTGACGTCACCGACCCCCACCTCCCTCTTTACCGACGGAAGTGACGTTACAACCCCCCCCCCCCTCAGGAGTCTTCCTTTTCCGGCCGCGCTGCCGCCGCCGCTGCCGCCATGGCGCGAGTTTACATCGGCAAGCTGAGCTACCAGGCGCGCGAACGGGACGTGGAGAGATTCTTCAAGGGCTTTGGCCGTCTCGTCGACATCACCGTCAAGAATGGGTACGGGGCGGTTGGTTTTGTGCGGCGGCTGCGGCGGCGGCTGCGGCGGCGGCTGCTGTGGCCGAGGCGTTCTGAGGCGAGCCACGCGCGTGTGAGGGGGTGGGGGAGGGGAGGGGGTTGGTGATGGGGACGGAGCCCAGAGCGGGAAGGGAGTCGGTGGTGGGGGGGAGTCGGGGTGGTGGGGGGGGTCGGGGTGGGGGGGGGGGTCGTGGTGGGGGGGGGGGGTCGGGGTGGGGGGAGTCGGGGTGGTGGGGGGGGGTCGGGGTGGTGGGGGGGGGGGTCGGGGTGGGGGGGAGTCGGGGTGGTGGGGGGGGTCGGGGTGGGGGGAGTCGTGGTGGGGGGGGGGTCGGGGTGGGGGGAGTCGTGGTGGGGGGGGGGGGGTCGGGGTGGGGGAAGTCGGGGTGGTGGGGGGGATCGGGGTGGGGGGGAGACGGGGTGGTGGGGGGAGTCGTGGTGGGGGGGGGTCGGGGTGGGGGGGAGTCGGGGTGGTGGTGGGGGGGGAGTCGGGGTGGTGGTGGGGGGGAGTCGGGGTGGGGGTGGGGGGGAGTCGGGGTGGTGGTGGGGGGGAGTCGGGGTGGTGGTGGGGGGGAGTCGGGGTGGTGGTGGGGGGGAGTCGGGGTGGTGGTGGGGGGGAGTCGGGGTGGTGGTGGGGGGGAGTCGGGGTGGTGGTGGGGGGGAGTCGGGGTGGTGGTGGGGGGGAGTCGGGGTGGTGGTGGGGGGGAGTCGGGGTGGTGGTGGGGGGGAGTCGGGGTGGTGGTGGGGGGAGTCGGGGTGGTGGTGGGGGGGAGTCGGGGTGGGGGGAGACGCCGCGAGGCGCGCGGGAAAGAGGCGCGGGAATGGAGGGGTAGGCCCGAGGGGGGCGGGGTGCGTGGGGGAGGGGAGGAGGCTCACAGCCCCCCCCACCACCACCACCATGATGGAAGATGTTGTACGTGGGGGGTAACGGGAGAGATGCTTTTAATTAAGAGATGGATCCGTGAGGTTATAGAGGTGTTGTTGGCGGCGGAGGGGAAAGGTAGGGGGGAGGGAGCGACACAATGGGAGAGATGCACACACGGTTGAAGGAGTAAGAGTCGTGGAGGAAGATGTCTCGAGAAAACGCGGTGGGGTGTGGGGGTTGGGTGGATTCGCAGAGAACGGAGATTCATCGTTTGGGGTGTATGGAGAGCCGGTTTGGGGGAGATGCACGTGGGGAGATGTGTACAAGGGGCAGAGAAGGTTCGATTTTATTTTGTTTGTTCTAGCCGGAATGGCCCACCGAGCCTGTGTGAGGTTATTTTCCATGGGCTGTCTGCGACGGTACATATGTTGTACAGTACGCCTCTTAGTTACGCTCGTGGTTACACGAGTCGAGATTCAAACGGGCAAGAAATCGGCACGCGATTTACGTGTTACAGGGAACCGGTGTTAGTTGATGGAAGGATGGAGAGCTAATGAAATATTAAACAAGCGGATTATTGAGAGGGGGGGATAAGGAATTGGCGACGAGAGAAATGAAAATTACGACGAAATAGATAATTTGGAGATACGGATGGGGGTAGATGAGAGAAATGATAGAGATCGGGAGAGTAAGATAGGTGGGGAGAGATGAGAGGGAGTATATAGAGGAAAAGGCAAGGGATTGTTTGAGGTGATAGAAGGGAGATGAGGGCGACACGACAAATGAAAGATATAAAATGGAATATAGGTAGAGAGATGGATAGATGCGGGTAGACGGGGAAAAAAAGGAATAGATGGGAGCTGGCACGGCAGAGATACGCGGTGAGAGAATTAGTTAAAAGGCGGGAGATAAGAGGCGAAGCGGAGAGACTGGAGATGGAATAGGGTTAAGTAAGCACGGATTGGTGATGAAACAAACTAAACTATGAACAATTTTTATCTTACCAGGTAAGGCCTACTCCTGAGCCGATGTATTCCTTTTGCATGAGCGACCATGCCACGAATAAAAGCTCAACGAGAAGTGGCTTATCACGTGCAAAAAAATGATAGTTGCCAAATTACTTCAAAAAACAGACTGTACATGGGGGAGCTGTGGAGCGATCATTGTATAATTACGGAGAGATTGAAAAGTGAGAGCGAAGATGGAGATTGTAGAAAATACGTGTCATTGCATCTCCCCGCACATCTTTCATTCGCCGCATGGCCCTGAAGAAAGATGTGAATAAGGGAGGAACACCCGTGCAGAAGAGAAGATGGCCCTTCGCGAGCGATTTCCTCGGTTCAGCATTTTAATAAATAACAAATCCGCCTCCATGTTTGCTTCTCCGTCTCTGGAGAAGTATCCACGCCCATTTTTTTTACGTCTACCAGCGAGCCATGAAGGTGTAACTAGCATCTCCTCCGTCTAAACTCTAAAACTGTCTCCCAGTTAACACACTGTTGCCTCTCCCCCCCCCCACCACCACCCCACGACTAGCTCGCTAATTTTTCTCTCTGCATTATCTCTCCCCGTTATCTCTCTTTCCCCCGTGCGTCTGTCCCTGCCGGCGTGCTGGCCGTGTGCGCGCACGTGTTGTACGCGTGTGTGTGTGTATGTGCGTAGCTTTGGCTTTGTGGAGTTTGAGGATGCCCGCGACGCGGATGAAGCCGTCTATGAACTCAACGGGAAGGACATGATGGGCATGCGCGTGATCGTAGAGCGCGCGCGTGACTCCTCCCGCGACGGCCGCTGGGGGGGGGCCCCCCCCTCGCGATTCTGCAGGTACAACCCTACACTCCAGCCCAGGTACTGCCCCTCCCCTCGCCCCTACCCACGAATGATATGCTAAGTACACCCCGCCGCCCACCTCGGTAGATTTAACAACACTTAAGAAAAGAGGAGCGCAAGGGGGCATGACTCGTATTATGGTAAAATTAAAATTGTTAGTAGTTGGGTTTATGCCTTGCATGCATGTCATGTGACCGCCGCATTGTATGTTCAATGAATGCCCTTCGCCTCGTGTAAACCACCAGCTGGGCAGAGCTGAACCTTTGGCCGTATTGTTGTTTAAGCCACCAAATGTCGTGATGGGGGTTTCTCATCGTTTACAGAAAATGCTGGACTTGAATCGCGTCCCCAGCCACTCTGTCAACCACCCATAATCACCCGCTAATCGATTAACCCCAACTCCACCCACCACAGTGGCTTGATTAATTTTGTTGTGATTTAACCACGTCAGATTGGTTTTCTGTACAGTTTTGTTCGCTCAAGTTAATGATTTGGGGTCGTGATTCGATTCAAGATAAAATAAAAATCCGTACTGTCTATCTCATTTGTACTGTGTATCACATATGTACTGTCTGTCTTGATCCGGTCCAGTGCGGATCGAACCGCTTGCTCAAGCAGCTTCTGTGGGCCGGATAGACGGGACTAAACGGGCACGGCATGGGCTAGAGAAGAGATGGTCTGATGTGGTACGGGAGGATTTGGAGCTGATTGGACTTGTCGATGACTGGTACCGGCGGTGTCAAGATCGGTCTCTGTGGAGGAGGCTCTTGAAGGTCGCTACTGGGCAGTTGAAGGTAGCCGCCCTCCAACGAGCAGAGCGCCGGGCGGCTAAACACAGCAAGGTGGCACAGTGGGGCGCACAGTTGGTGCATCTCAGTCAGTTAACCCATAAACACCTGTGTCTGTCCCATGACAGCAAGCCTTAACGCTGCATGTGGCCACAGTGTACCTAGTCTGGCACAAGCGCTGTGGTGACTTTACCGTCACTTAGTGGTGAATGGTGGCTGCTGTTTTGTGTGTTATGTTTGCGTGCGCGTGCGAGAGGTGGCGCAGTTCTTTGTGCACTGCGCTACAAACCCAGTGACCCGAGTTTGATTCCCGGCCACAGCTAACGTCGGTGGCGAGTGATATCTGAACCGGTCCTGGGCCTCCCCCTAGATGGACTCCCACTTTAAAATGAGTACCTGGTGCAGTGCGTGCACATTAGCGCTGGGGGAAAAAAAAGCAGTCGGGCTTAGTTTTGCTGACAGCCCTTGCCCCAACAGTCTATGTAGGCTATAAAGGGTATCACACGTGTGTGTGCGCACACGCATTCACAGTTTGTGTATGGCGTGCATGTGTTGTGTACTCAACTGCATGGCACGTGTAGGTGATTGTGTTTCTGATGCGTGTGCGTGATTTGCATGCATTTGTGGTGTGTGTGCTGTATGTGTGATTGAGGTGTGGAATTTTGTGATAAATTTGTACGGGCATGGCGTGAGATTTTGTGGTTGTGTGTGATTGTGATGCGTGTGGTATGTATGTTGATATGGCCTTTGTGCGTTTCATGCGTGTAATTGGTGTACGAGTGGCCGGTAGTTTTGCTTTTTACGTGCTGCTGTATGTGTGTGCGTGTGTAATTGGTGTGTATGATGAATGTGTAAAATTGTGGTTTGTGAAATTGCTATGTATGATGAGCGTGTCATTGTTATTAACGTATGCGTGCGTGTCCCCCGCTGTGCGTGCGTGTCCCCCGCTCTGTGTTGATGTAACCGCTGTGCTGCTCAGGCCATGGGCGCCGGTTCGGGCCACCTGTACGCACCGAGTACCGTCTCGTTGTGGAGAATCTATCTAGCCGCTGCAGCTGGCAAGACCTGAAGGTACGAGCGGTGTGACGTGGCGACGTCCCAACCATTTGCCGTAGCGTGATTGGCACGAACCTTGCTGGTGCAAGTAATGATATGAGGCCCCCCCCCCCCCCCCCCCCCTGTCTTGTCTAAGTTACAAAATTTTCCCCCATCTTCCTAAACCAGCACCAAAAATTTCTGCTGCCCTGTGAACCCTGCTGCAGTTGGACTGCCTTTACTCAACTCGCTTGTACTAACCTCGATACAGACTCCAACCCAACCCTATCCTCTGACACTAAACCAATTACAGACTGAAACCCTAACCTCCAATACTAAACCTAGTACAGACTCTAAGCCTAACCTCCAACACTGAACCCAGTACAGACTCCAAGCCTAACCTCCAACACTGAACCCAGTACAGACTCCAAGCCTAACCTCCAACACTGAACCCAGTACAGACTCCAAGCCTAACCTCCAACACTGAACCCAGTACAGACTCCAAGCCTAACCTCTAACACTGAACCCAATACAGACTCCAAGCCTAACCTCCAACACTGAACCCAGTACACTCTCCAGTCCTAACCTTCACTAAATCCAATTCAGACTCCAACTCTAACTTCCAACACAAAAAACAATGTCGATATCGACCTTCATTAACCTCTAATAAAAAGTCTTTAACATTAACCCCGACCCTAACCCAATAGTATCTTCTTGTTTACTCTTTCGAAAATGTTAATACTATTGAGCGATCCCCTGATAATGATGATGACGACGACGATGCTGTGCCGTCCCCTCCCCCGGTTATTGCGCGCATGCAGGACCACATGCGGCAGGCGGGCGAGGTGACGTACGCGGACACTAACCGTGGGCGAGCCAACGAGGGCGTCATCGAGTTCCGCACGCTCGCCGACATGCGCCGCGCGCTTGACAAGCTCGACAACTCGGAGCTGTACGGGCGCCGCATTCGCCTGACGCGGCAGCGCGCCTCAAGGTGATGCACGCCTGCCCACACAAAGACAAAAAAAGCCGAGACAAATAACCCCCCCCCCCTGTGTAGCCTGTTGTGGCAAGTGCTTTTAGCGAGCAAGGCACACGAGGGGGTGGAGTGGCCCACCACACCCGGGGCCGCCTTAGTCTCCCGACTGGCGATGTTTACACACCGTACCAGGGACTCACTTTAGGCTGAGTCGACTTATGGAAGGCCCAGGACCGGTTCAGATAATCCCTGGTGTTGACCACGAGCGGGAATCGAACTCGGGTTGCCAGGATCGGGAGCAACGCACTAATTGCTACACGACCACTTCCCACACGTCGCGCAGACACACACGGCATGTCTATATATCTTGGAACAGTAGGCCAAATGCTCTCTTGAAGGGCTGTCTAGAACTCCCTCCATTGGATGCACTTCCGCCAACAGTGGCGTGATACAGAATCAGAATCTTTTATACCGGAGGAATCTGAGCTATAAAACGCTTTCTAACAGATGTCCAGTAAGGCCAGGTTCAGAAGGTTACAACAAACACCTTTCTCAGCTTGTGATGTTATTTATACGGATTGTGCTTAATTTTCTCGTGAATGACCATGCATGTGAATAGTTACACGCCTCGTGGTGATTAATGGTGCCGTTCTGTGTGTGTGTATTTTACAGATCTGGCTCGCGTAGCCGCTCCCGGTGAGTAATGGACATCTGTCTTTGTGCCACGATAGCACGTTAATAATCACGCCAGGCTCGCACAACCACACTCGCAACATGGGGGGGGGGGGGGCGGGGAGGTTGTGTGGCGAGGCACGGCAACACAGAATGGGGAAACCCGAGCTGTCTAAGACTCTTCCCCTCCTCCCATTTCCTTCTGCAGCTCGCGAAGCAGGAGCCGCCGTCGCTCGCCCTCCCGTTCGCCACGGAGACGCTCCGGGTCTCGCTCGCCACGGAGACGCTCCGGGTCTCGCTCGCCACGGAGACGCTCCGGGTCTCGGTCTCCACGGAGACGCTCCGGGTCTCGGTCTCCCCGAAGACGCTCTGGCTCTAGGTCTCCGCGGAGACGCTCCGGGTCTCGCTCGCCGCGTAAGCGTTCGGCTTCCCGATCGCCGCGTAAGCGGTCGGCTTCCCCGTCGCCACGGAAACGGTCTGCTTCCCGGTCTCCACGCAAACGCTCCGTTTCCCCATCCCCACGGAAACGCTCGGCTTCTCCGTTGCCGCGAAAGCGATCCGCTTCCCCGTTGCCACGGAAACGATCCCCTTCTCGGTCACCGCGGAAACGATCGGCTTCCCCGTCACTGCGGAAGCGATCCGCTTCCCCGTTGCCAAGGAAGCGGTCCGCTTCTCCGTCACCACGTAAACGGTCCGCTTCCCCGTTGCCACGTAAGCGATCGGCGTCCCCGGTGTCACGGAAACGCTCCACCTCCCCCGCTTTGCGCAAGGGCTCCCGATCTCAGTCGCCACGGAAACGCGCCCGCTCTGCTTCCGGCAGCCGCTCGCGTTCCCCATCCCCCCGCGCGGCCTCACCCACAGCCGCAGCCCCGTGACCTGAGGTCGCAACCTTCCCCCGACCCTGTACCTCCTCTCCCTTCCATTACCCTCTGTGTCACCCATGAACTCCCTGTACCCGCATAACCCCACCCCTGTACCCCTAACCATGCCTTTAGCTCCTTGACTTTTCTGTATCCCCCTTGAACCTTTACCGGTACTCCTGGCCATTCACTTTGCTTAACCCTTTACTCCCATTGCTACCCTCTTCCCCCAACCTGCCCCTATCTCTTGAATCTCCCAGAATCTCTAAGTCATCTCGGTACCCTCATGGTCCTCCCTGTACGTCCCCCATAACCCTTCCTCGACCGCGAGTAACCCTCCCTGTATGTCTACCTGTCAGCCATGTACCCAGTTTTTCCTTGTAAGAATTGTACCCTATAGCTATCCCCTCACTCTCCCTGACTCATCCCTCTTTTCCCCTCCCTGTATCCCCTAATTCTACCATTGTGCCCCCCTCTTTTTACCTTCCCCTGTATTCCCCCTAACTCATCATTCACCGATTTAGAAAAGCAATCACCTGTCAATTACGTTCATTGATAAACAGGTGAGAACTACATTTGTGGCGTTAGTTTAGTGGTGAGACGTGTGGGGCCTTGTACGTTAGGAAAGTGGTTAAACGTAACTCCTTTTAGGCCCTACAAGTGCCCTTGTGACCCCCACCTACCGCCTCGGGGACAGGGTTTCCCAGACGACATTCCTCACGCCGCATGATGACGCGCCTCCCCTTGTTCAACCAACTACTTCCAATGCAGATTAAGCCGCCACAAGCGGCACGCGCCTGATGTTTGGTGAACGAGTCCCCTCCCAGCAAGATGGAGTGTGCTGTTTCAGAGAGAAAATGTGTGACATTGGACACATCCGCCGCACGCACTAAAGTTACGCGCGACACGTCGATTTTAACCAGCACGCGCACATGTGCGACACATCGTTATGACTTAGTTTCCTACTTGGAACAGAGACCATTGGTAAACGTCTTCTGCTACCACCGTTTTTTGGAACTCCCTTTCCCAGGCCATCTTTGCTATCGATCCCTGCGGTATCGTTATGGTTCAGAGCTCAAGACCGTCTGCAGCTTTGACAGTTTCTCTTAACGACCGCTGGCGAAATGCCTAATTTTCCCTCGTCCCTCTTGTTTCTACTCGGCGTCTAGAGATGCAGGCGCTTTCAGACGCGATTATAAATCCCACACTGTTCCGTGTAATGTGGTCACTTGCAAGCTTTGAGACTTTGTGAAACCGGGCCCCCAGTGCCCACTTGCGCATACCCTGCTCCCATGGTACCATCGAAATTCAGTCCTAGAAGGGCCACTTAAGCCCACTTTCATATCGCCGCTTCTGCAATTTGCGTTCACGTTTATCTTTCAGTGCCGTTGTCTTGTGTTTTTATTTTTTAAATTTGAATGTCTGAGTACCCCCCCCTCCTCCCACCACCTCTGGAAAACAAATTTTAGTTGGTCCGGATTCTCTGGGGAGGGGGGGTTTGGGAGTCCGTGCAGTGTGTTTTGACTGGGAGAGGGGGGGTAAGTGTGTATGTGTGCGCGTGTGTCGCCCGTGGGCTTGGGGGGTAGAGGAGAGGCGGTTGGGGTTAATGGAGTGAGGGATGTGATGGGAGTTATGAATTGTCAGTGCAGCTGGGGGCATGGTGGGGGAGCGGCGATTACAAACGAACGGCGCTGTCAAACCTCGGCGCTTCACCCTCGCAACCGGTCAATAAATTTCTAACAAATCCTGTGTCCGACTGCGCACTTGTCCTCGCGGTTGTGTCCTCGCGGTTGTGTGCGTTGTGCAGCTCCGCGTCTGCTGCTCGGGTTCGACTGCGTGTTGTTTGGCTGGTGAGGCTCGGCGCTGGTCGGCTGCTCGCAGTCGACGGGGTGCGAGTTCGGTGTTGCGTGTCGACTCGCGTTGGAAAGTTTAGCAGTGGTTGTCCGAAGGAGAGAGTCTCACTCTTCCGCCCATAGGAACGTGAAATTTCAACAAGCTCCGAGGTGTTAAACAAATCTCAATATTCATGAGTTGGAAACCACTGACTTGTTTAGCCTGTTTGATATGTTCAATGTTTTATACCACGTGCTGCGAGAATCGTCATTACACGATTCCTGGAGCTTCCCAGCACGTGGTGCTTACGTGGTACAATTTGAAAATAGCTTTTTCTGTTGGGTAGTCGTGGTGCGGGTTTTTATGTGGCACTACGAAACGGGAAACTCCAACTCCAGATAACCACCTTGCCACGTGGTGTCAACCTATACTATACACCTGGGTTGCTTCGGCTTCAAATGCGTGCCTGGTGTGTGCAAACGTCACTGGGGAAACGAGGTGGCTGGACTTGGTCCTGAGCACCTAGCTATTAGCATAATTGGCTTCCTTTAACTGTAACGTTCGTGAGGAATCTGTCGATGGCCTGGCTGTCAACTTGCCACTCATTCGTAGCCCTTGGGGGTTTTTTTGGGTAGCGTCTTTTTACAATCGAACCCACCAAAACGAAAACACGTGCTTTTTGTAAAATGAGCTCCAATCACCCCTCACCTCTCCATAAGTAATTCACATTGTTTTACCTGAGGTGTACACGTTACGTGTGATACTTAAATAATAAAAGGTACTGTTTAAATAAAAAAAACAATTGCGTGACCATTTAATGTCCCCACGTGCGATGTGGTTCCATGCACTTCGTAAGACGTCTGACCCCTAGGGAAGATGGCCGACCCCCTAGGTAAGATGGCCGCCCGCATCATAGGGGGTGGGCATCAACCATTTGCCGCGTGACGTCCAGAACCAGATTATAAGACGCACCTTCCCCCCCCCCAAAACACGACACTATCTTAAGCAACAGTTGTTCAAGGCATCTTACTTTCTGGAGCGTATCTTTTGTATTTAAATCCAGTCTCGATGCGTCGTGACGTCGGCAAAACGCATTGGGCGGGGCTGCGTCGTGACGTCAGCTGCGGCGCATGCCCGGGCGTCGTGACGTCATTGTAGGCGTCGTGAGCGCCACGTGTCTCGGCGCCTCCCCCGTGCATCCTCTTCCGGGCTTTGCCGCTGCAGATGCTGCACCTTTCCACTTCTTTTGCTGTGCTTGTCAATTCTGCTGCTCCCGCTGATTCCTGCTGTTACTGATTATCCGGCTGATTCTGCTGATCCCGCTGATACCATCTCCTGTCTGCTCCTGATTATTGCGCTGCGATATCATCTGCTTAGGGATCCCGCCACATCCGCGTCCGTGCCTCATCGCTCTCACCGCTCCCTCCTCTTCCTCCGTACTCGCAGCTCGTCGCGATGCCTCTGGAGTTCGAATTGTGCCCGGGGAGGAAGATCGGCGGGGAGAACCCGTGTTTCATCATCGCCGAGATCGGCCAGAACCACCAGGGAGACCTGGAGATCGCCAAGAAGATGATCAAGATGGCAAAGGTGAGGTCACAGGGAGGAGGAGGAGGTGAAGAGGTGGCGGGGTCTCACTCAACACTGGACATCAGTGAAAAAGAGCTGTATTGCGAATCGGATTCCTCCAGCATAAATATAGATTCGGATTCTGGAAGTTGGCTCAGACTCATGTCCCTCTCGTGGAGATGAATTCGGGTCCACCTGGCAGAGCTGACGTTACGTCCCCTCGCCCCCCCCCCCCCCCCCGGTGGAGGTCAAATCACGACCCATTGTGAAGTTCATCCTAGGTCCGTCTGGTGGAGCAGACCCGAAGTCCCCCCTTGGTGGACATCAACTCCTCCTGGTGGAGCTAAAATCACGTCCCCCCCCCCCGTGGAACTGAGATCTCGACCCCCTCTGGCGGAGTTGATTTCACGCCGTCGGACCTCGAATCACACCTCCCACCCTGGTGAAGTTTAATCACCACCCCATCCTTACTCGTGGTGCAGTAAATTCAATGTCCATCCCTCCCAATGCTGGCTTCCTTCTGAATGCCGTGGTCGTCTTAAGCCCTCGAGTTCGACACCGGGGTTCAAAGTTCGTCGTGCAAGGCGCGGCTTCCCGTGACGTCTGTTTGGGCCCCCCCCCCCTAGGGCACGAAATTTCTCCTCCTCCCCGAGTCCTCGTCTCGGCCTATTTCTTGGCAATAAACCGAGGCGTGCTTCGGTTAAACGTTGATTTTGTTTAACCAGGTGTGTGTGTGTGAGAGAGAGAGATAGCCCGGGATAGAATCTCATTTGTAAGAGTGGCCCTACGGGTGTTAGTCCGCTGGTAGGGGATGGCGGTGCGAAAGTTGGTGCCGTGTGTAGGAGGCCCAATTGAGTGGTGTGGTGGTGGTGGTGTGTGTGTGTCGTGGGGTTATCGCTGCGGCTACTCGCCAGATGCCAGTCGGCACAGTAAGGGGGGAGTACGCGTGTGTACATGCATGTGCACATGGATCACGCGTGTGTCCGTGTGTGTGTGGTGCATCAGCCGGTCATCTCAGTCAGTCGACCCATGGCACCTGGGTTTGGCCCGTGACCTCCTGCCAGCGGGCGTTTGACACTTCACGTGGCCTCAAGGTGCACATAGCCTGGCACAAGCGTCGTGGTGACATCACCGCCACTTAGTAGCGAATGTTGTGTGTGTGTATAAATGTTTGTGCGTGTGTTGGCACACGCACAAACATTGGTGGGTGCATCTGCCAGTCGTCTCAAGTCGGCCAAACCATGGCACCTGCTGGGTCTGTCCCGAGACCTCCTCCAGTCAGCCGCGAGCCTTCGACACTTCACGTGGCAGCCTCAAAGTGCACGTGGCCTGGCACAGGCGCCGTGGTGATATCACCGTCACTTAGTGTCGAATTGGGGGTATTGGTAATGGTGGGGTGACCATGAGGAGCGGTGGCGCAGTGGTTAGCGTGTTGTGCTACGAGCCCGGCGATTCCCACTCGCTACCGCCAACACCAGTGACTATTATATGAACCGGTCCTGGGCTTCCCCTAGGTTGACTTGGCCTCAAATGAGTACCCATGCTTTGTGCGTTGTGTAAACATCGTCGCCAAAAAGACAAAGGCGGTCGGGCGAGGTGCTGGGCCAGCCACTGCATCTGGTGCCGTACCGGCCTGCGTAGGTGCTCGTTAACAGCACTTGCTCCAAAGAATTTGTTAAGGCTATTCGGGGGATCTTGGTCTTGGTAGAGTTGCCATCTGTCCCTGGGTTTTCCAGAATTGCCCTTGTTGAGTGAGAGGCAGCTGCTTTGCTGACACATCTGGAAGAAGTCTTCCTGGTCATAATAATAATACTAGTTTTGTAATAATAGTAACAACAATTCACCACTAGGCACAATGAATTCACACGATCTTCTCCCCCTCTTCTGGCACGGTGAGATTATTACCCTTCTCACGGTATGGCCCGGTTTTTTGGATCTCAAAGGTGGTATAAACCCTAGTGTGTATACATATGGGGATGGGTTGTGTGTGCACGTGGGTGTGTCTTTGTGCTCGCCTTGGGTGTGTGTGTGTATACACGTGGGTGTGTGTACCCAGCGCTCCAGATAAGCTGTGTGACATTTTAATATAACCCAGGGCTTCATTTCATACGGGGTCTGTTCAGGTCTGCTATCGGTGCACCTACAGTAACACATCCTAGCACTTTCGTTTGGTTAGGGACCAGAGCATCGACGCATGTCAAAAATGGACGAATGTCAAAGCAGAGCCTTTTATTTAGCCTTGCAAATTTATTTTGACCGGCGAAAAACGTACACGCAAATAACTACAGTAAATATAAAAAAACACTACATGGAAATAACTACAGTAAATATATATAACACATGCGTGCGAAACCTAAATAAACAGAAATAAAAGAATAATAAACTGAACTAAATAAATAAACAAAGCTAAATAAATAAACAAAATTATGCCTTGAAATATGTATATTCTTGCAAAAGTAAACACTAGTATTATACTGTTATCACAAAAATAACTATGAATTGTTTACAGTATAATTACAGAAATAAGTACAGTATTAATAATATATGAATAAACACATATAAGAGACTAGTATTTTTTGTCCGTCCAAGGATGGGTGTATATTGTAGTAAATCTGAAATATTCAATAGAAAAATTGTTCAGCTTCATGATTATGAATGGGGGGGGGGTGTCCCATGTGGCGTGACGTCACACGCTCATGGTTATTGGGGAGGGGTGCGGCATGTAGAGTGACGGCACACGCTCATGATTATTGTGGAGGGGTGCGGCATGTGGAGTGACGTCACCCCCTCATGGTTATTGGGGAGGGGTGCGGCATGTGGAGTGACGTCACCTGCTCATGATTATTAATGAGGGGAGGGGTGCGGCATGTGGAGTGCGCGACCTTGTGCGTGTGTAAATTTCCACGCGGGCATGAATATTAATGAGGGGGGGGGGGGCTCTTTTGCAGTGACGTCACGTACGGATGTAGCACCGTGCTGCGTATATTTCTTACCGTCACTCTCTGTAAAGAAACGTCATATTTGAAGCGACTTTGCGTAATAAATTATTTAATTCGGCTCGAACTTCCTCTGCGTTCGTGTGTAAAAATCCACCCACTCATGAATATTAATGAGGGGGGGTGGGGTGGGCCTCATGTGGAGTGACATCACGAACAGGGGGTGGGCCTCGTGGAGTGACGTCACGCGCGGGACACATTCTTGGCTCATTATATTAGTAATGCTCACCGAACAACTTTTATTCAAAGACTGAACGAAAAAGATGGTGCGTGGCGCGAACGTCGGGGAAGGTTTGGGATGAGATCGGACGAAAGAGGAAAGCGCGTGGACGAAATTTTAAATGTGGTTATAATTGAGAACGTCTTAAAGAGCGAAGTGTACGAAAGTCAAGTGGACGAAAGTCAAGGTATCGCTGTACTCGGGGGCGGGGCCAGGATTTCAGGCCGGGGTGACATTCAACAAATGTTAATTTCAAGAATGATTTAGAGAGAGTCAGGCTGTTGAACTTAGACACCATCGGTTGGCGACACGCTCTGACGATGCAGTTGCACGGAGTCCGCCAGACCGAGTGTCGTACAACTCACACGCAGAATGTCACCCCTGTCACCCCCCCCCTGGCTCCGCCCCTGGCTGTACTCGTCAGATGCTACCAGGCGCAGGCTACCTCCGACTTGGAAAATATTCAGTTAGATCTCATCATGGTATGGGACGCGGCAGTGCCGTGGTTTGCACACTGCAAACCTGGTGACCGAGTTCGATTCCCGCTCCAGCTCGCGGCCAACTTCAGCGCAGGAATATCTGAACCGGTCCTGTGCCTCCTCTAAGTCGACTCAGCCTTGAAGACGAGTACCTAGGATGGTGTGTAAGCGTCAGCACTGGGGAGACAAAGGCGATCAGTCGTCTGGCTGGTTACATTTACCCTCCTTGTGTACCGTGCCGGCCTTCAGTGTTCCTCGCTTGGAGCACTTGGCCCAACAGCCTGTGTCGGCTACATGGGGGGATCTTTGTCTTTGTGTGTACTCAGGACTGTGGTGCGGACTGCGCCAAGTTCCAGAAGAGTGAACTTGACCACAAGTTCAACCGCGCCGCACTCGAGCGACCATACACCTCCAAGCACTCGTGGGGTGAGTCCCACCGCACTAATCACACCAAGCTACTAACCTTACCACACTAACCACACCACACTAACCTGACTAACCACACCTTTACGACAGGAACATTTCAACGCACTGCATTAACCTCACCACATGCACTGGCACGACAACACGTACTCCACGGTGCCCCGCAGGGCCGTAGGAAGCTGTGCACCACTGTCCCAGATCCCTACGATTTAGTTGCCACGTTGAGTCGCTTTAATTTTACCCTACGAACCCGCCGACCCGAGTTCGATTCCCGATCACGGCCAACACCTGTGGCCAATATACTTAAAACTTTCCTGGGCCTCCCTGGGGTTGGCTGAGCCTTAAATGAGGAGCACCTGCTGGTGCATCAACACAGGGGAGATAAAGGCGGCCGGGAGTGGTGTTGGCAACAGCACCACTCCTCGTGTTCCGCGTTGGCCTTAATAGGCGCCGCTCGCAAACGGCTCAATTAACGCTGTGCGGCGGTGGGCGGGGGCCTCTCTCTCTTTGGTGTAGGAGCAACGTACGGGGAGCACAAGCGGCACCTGGAGTTCAGCCACGACCAGTACCGTGAGCTGCAGCGCTACGCCAAGGAGGTTGACATCTTCTTCACGGCGTCCGGCATGGATGAGGTGCGTGCCCATGCACAACAACCCGCAAGCAGCAGCCGCCCATTCTCCACAAAGTGGCGGTGACGTCGGCGCAGAGCTTTTGCCGGGCTGTGGGTGCACTTTGAGGCTGTCGTGTGAAGTGTGGCAGGCTCGCGACCGCTGCCACCGCTGCTGGTCGGAGGGGGTTACGGGAAAGACCCACCAGGCGTTCAGGTTTCGATGACTGAGATAACCGACAGATGCACCGCCTGTGGTGCCCACTGTGGCAGCTTTCTGTGCACAAAATGAAGACAAAGATCCCCCGTATAGCCTTAACGCAAGTGCGGTTAGGGAGCACCTATGAAGGCCGGCACGGCACACAAGGAGGTGGGTGGCCTGCACCATGCCCGACCGCCTTTGTCTCCCTAGTGGCGATGTTTACACACTGCACCAGATGCTCATTTGAGGCTGAGTCTTCCTAGGAGAGGCCTAGGACTGGTTCAGATAATCGTCACCGGTTTTGGCTGTGAGAGGAAATCGAACTCAGGTCGCCGGGTTGTTAGCGTACGACTGCACTGGTGCGAATGCACAAATGCACACACAAGTACACACGCGGACAGGTACACACGCGGACAGGTACACGCGAGTACGTACAAGCTGTCTCCCTCCCCATGTCCCCCTATCCCTATGTCTCCCTGTCCCAGATGGCCGTTGAGTTCCTCCACGAGTTGAACGTTCCGTTCTTCAAGGTCGGCTCAGGGGACACCAACAACCTCCCCTACCTGGAGAGCACCGCCAAGAAGGGTGACGCTCTCAGCTACAACAGCCACCACCGCCACCACCACCCCTACAAATGTCAACCACTGACGTCAATGCAATCACAACCCACAACCACCACGAAGACATTTTGGCGATGCTCGGTGATGACGTTGAACGATGTTGGGCGATGGTTAACGGTGATCTTTTGGTGATGATGATTTTGTTGTCGTTGTCGTGGGCCGCTGGTCAGGCCGGCCAATGGTGATCTCGAGCGGCATGCAGAGCATGGAGACGATGCGCCGTGTCTACGCCACCGTGAAACCGCTCAACCCCAACTTCTGCCTCCTGCAGTGCACGAGCGCCTACCCCCTGGAGCCGCGCGACGTGAATCTGCGTGTGCTCACCGTGAGCCTCGCCACCACCGCTCCTCACCACTACCACCACCGCTTCTCGCCACTACCGCCACCGCTCCTCACCACTACCACCACCGCTTCTCGCCACTACTCATACCGCCACCGCTCCTCACCACTACCACCACCGCTCCTCACCACTACCACCACCGCTCCTCACCACTACCACCACCGCTCCTCGCCACTACTCATACCGCCACCGTCGTTCCTCACTCCCCACAGAGTGCTCACCTAGCGCCTCCTCAGCGCCACTTGTGCTCACCGCTGCTCCTCTTACTTCGTCGCCGCTCACCACCGACGCTCCTCACTGCCCCTTGCCGCTCACCGAGTGCTTGCCTTAGGCCACCTCACCGCTCACCCCCGTCTCCTCCTCCTCCTCCTCCACCGTGTGCACTATAACCCCCCCTACACCTCCACCCTCTCCCCCCCAACTCTCTCTCCCTTGCCTGCCCCCCCCAGACCTACCAGCAGGAGTTCCCGGACGTGCCGGTGGGCTACTCGGGTCACGAGAGCGGGCTGACGGTGACGCTGGCGGCGGTGGCGCTGGGGGCCAAAGTGGTGGAGCGTCACGTCACGCTGGACCGCACGTGGAAGGGCAGCGACCACGCAGCGTCGCTGGAGCCCTCCGAGCTGGCGCAGCTGGTGCGCGAGGTGCGCGCCGTCGAGGCCGCGCTCGGCTCGCCCGTCAAGCGCATGCTGCCCTGCGAGGAGGCCTGCCACACCAAGGTGAGACACGTGGTGGGGGTGGTGGGGGAGGTGTGGGAGAGAGACGGGGCGGCGGGGTGAGGAGTTCTGCACATCAAGGTGGGCGGGGGGGGGGGGGGGGTGTGTGGAGGTGGAGAGGGGAGACACGGGGGTTGTGAGGAGGCCTGGCACGCCGAGGTGAGATGTGATGATAGCTCAACGAAGTGGCTTGTGTGGACATTTATAGCGGCCGAATACCCTTAAACGCATGTTTCTAAATGTGGGGTTGCGAGACATCTGGACCACCGTGTACACCCGTGTGCACGTGCGCAGTGCGGCGCTTACCACTGCGCTTCCACCACTCGTAATGCCAGCGGTACACCTTGCTCATCCCCTCTCCCCCCCCCGCCCTCTCGCGTGTAGCTGGGAAAGTCGGTGGTAGCGCGCGTGGACATCGCCGCGGGGGCCAAGCTGACCCTCGAGCAGCTGACGGTGAAGGTGGCGGAGCCGCGCGGCGTCGCGCCCGAGCTCATCTACAGCCTCGTGGGCCGCACCGCCACGCGCCCCATGCTCGCCGACGACTCCGTCACCGAGGAAGCCCTGCAGTGACGGCCCCTCCCGTGGGGAGCAGGGGGGGGGCGGCCGGCCGGTGGATGACGTGGGGTGGGGGTGCGGGGCCGAGTGCGGAAGGATGGGGGCATGCGGGGGTGTTGGGAGTGGCCAAGGAAAACGAGGGAGGCGTTGTGAGATAACTTTTGAATCTTATATTGAAAACAAATCTCTTTAGAGGTGCTTTTTTGTTGTTTAGTTTGTTGTCCTTCCCCCCCCCCGCCCGCACCTCCGATGAGCACATTTGGCTACGTGCGGTGCGAAAGGAGTTCAACATACGTACGTCGTGATTGAGGCGTGACCGGGAAGGAGGCATACATGGCTTGAAAAGAAGTGGGGCATCCCCGTGAAGAGGGCGTGCAGCTGTGAGGAGGGGAAGTGACCGGGAGGAGGGGGTGTGGGAGTGGCCAGGCCAGTGTGGCTACCTGCGTAAGCCACCATTCGGGATTTAGCCCCTCGACTCTTATTTACAGCATCGCGAACCGACGGGGTTACTTGAAATCCGGTGGAGGGGGACGTCTCTATTGAGCACCGACTAGGGATTTGAAATACCTTCGCCAGGCCATCCATAGATGAACGCAGGCGCCTCCACGTCATCCACTAATAACACTAAACTATTGCGGCTTGCTGCGTTTATAACAGGGTGCTGTTGCCAGATCGGAAATATGCCCCTCTAGTACCCTATTAGTGCTGCTCAGATGCTTGCCCTGCTTCAGTGCCTTGGCGACCGCTGACAGACCCACTCCCGGAAAATCTCCAGCCGTCGTGGTTTCTGGCCAAACCCGTCCCTTTTTTCAGTAACGTGGGGCCCCAGTTCCAAGCAATGCTACTTGAAGTTGTCAAATCATTTTTTTTTAATATATATTTGGGCAACCTGCTTGCGGTGATGGATTAATATCGATTGTTTTGGGATGTTTTGAATTGGCGGGGCTTTTACGTGGCCGCGGGCTGTGTGAAATGAGGTAGCAGGGCCCTCGTCCTGGCTCATGGGCTGTGGAATTTTCTTAACCCGGCTTTTAAACCAGCCGGCTTTGAAGTGGGGAAAACTGTGAAAGAACACTTAGTGCCGCTATGTGTGGTTTGCGGTTGTTAATAATTTTAATTAGGAGGTAATTGTGGTGATTGTGGTGTTGGTGAAGGTGGGTGGGGGGGGTAAAGGACGTCGCATACTGGCGCTATGCAATCAATCGACGTTAGTAACGGAGTCACTTATACCCCTGCCTCCTCCGTGGTGTCGGTGTTGAATCTGCTGTCAGGTCCTGTGTGCGACTTGGGTACAATAAAACGAGCCTGCAAGGCCACGCTTTGACAGCGGCGGTCGCCTTGGGTGGATTTTGTTTTGTTTTGGGACGCGCGAGCCCGTCGGCTGATCGTGGCCGGGCCTGTTGGGGCCGTGGTTATGGGGCCCAACTGTACCGGGATCCCAAGCTCGGTAGGGCCCCAAAAATGTACAAGATTTTTTTGTTACTGATTTATTTGCATGGGATTTAGGATTAGTTTTTTTTTGTATTTAACACATTTAACTTTCGTGCTGTATAGTATCCTTAAAACATCTCGCCACTAGAGGGCGGTGCTGCGTAAAAAAAGGCCGTTTCCAATGCTAAAATATGGGGTTAAGCCGGTTTAAAGCACAATGTGGATTTAAACCCCAATAAACGGGAAAACAGACTTAAATCTCACCAATGAGGTTCTAATCTCCCACAAAATGCACCTCGTGATTACCCGGGGCGCTGTTTCCATAGACAAACCCCACCAACACGGATTTTTATGTCACAAAAAACTTTTAAACTTTGATTTACATACAGCAAAATCACGCTAAAACATGTAGTTTGAGGTAACACGAAGCTCAATACAATGCTCTGATTAAAAAAAATAACACGCAATAAAAACGTTAGGGAACACAAAAATGCTTTTGGCACAAAAAAAACATGTGAAATTGCGGGTTTAAAATGTAAACGCTGAGGCGAAAGCGCGAGGAAATATAAACTAAATTTTGATTTAAAGCTTTCGTGACTGCAGGGATTAATATTCTTGGTTCTTTCGGTAAAGTCACGTAGAATGCAAATAATCAAGAATATGAATATAAACTAGTTTCCCTCAGCACATGCAGTAATTTTGTAATTGTAGTAAACACTCTCGTCCGGCAAACACCTCGTGTGTGTGTATGAGATAGACAGAGTCGGAGTTGTAGCTTCATCACACACGCGGAGTGAGTTTGTGTGGTCCCCGTGTGGATGAATTAAAGAGTCAGGGCCACGTGGCTGGGTGAGTGAAGTTTAAATCGCGAGACATCTGGAACCGTCACAGCACAAACATCGCCCCCCATCGCTAACAACCACCCCCATCACCCCCATCACTCCCATCACCCCCATCACTCACATCACCCCCATCACCCCCACAGCCATCCCATCAACTCGACTCACCTCATATCCAACCCCCTTTAGCATCCTCATCTCTCCTCTTACCACCAAACCACCACCACGACCTACATCACCACCACAACCTACATCACCACCACCACCACGACCTACACCACCACCACAACCTACATCACCACCACCACGACCTACATCACAACCTACACCACCACGACCTACATCACCACCACCACGACCTACACCACCACGACCTACATCACCACCACCACGACCTACACCACGACCTACATCACCACCACCACGACCTACACCACCACCCTAGACCCCCATCACATCACACCGCTCTCCTCACCACCCACCACGGGCCTGTGACGTCTCACGCTCACCGTACCCCTCGGCCCCACCGCCTCCTCCCTCTCTCCACGAGAGACTCTCCCCATCAGCGTGGCCGCCTCCTCCTCCTCCCACTAAGCCACCACCACCATCGTCACATCACTCCCTCCACCCATCACCCTCTCCCCTCACCACCCATCACCCTCTCACCACCCATCATCCCTCCACCCGCCACGCCATCACCACAATCAACAACTCTCCCTCTACCCTCCTCCACCCATCGCCTCACGCCATCATCCTCTCCACTCATCACATGTCTCCCTACTCCACCCTCCTTCACCACCCATCACCTCCCCCATCACCTCACACCATCACTCCCTTCCCTCAACACCCCATCACATATCTTCCTCCTCCACTCTCCTTCACCACCCACCACTTCACGCCATCACATCCCTCCCTTCCTCCACCCATCACCATCACCCCCACCATCACCAGGGGTCGTGGCCCAGGGCTACGTCACCCCAACTGACGATTGAGACGCGGACCTCCAGGGGTTGGGTTCGACTCCAGATGCGGCCCGAGGCGTCAGGAACCGAGTCCGGGACCTGGGATTCAGATCCAAGTGCTGGGCCACAGCTCCGAATTCTGGGCCACAGCTCCGAGTGCTGGGCCACAGCTCCGAGTTCTGGGCCACAGCTGGTGAGTGAGTGGTGAGTGAGTGGTGAGTGTGTGGCGAGTGAGTGGTGAGTGGCGAGTGAGTGGCGAGTGAGTGGAGAGTATGTGGTGAGTGAGTGGTGAGTGGGTGGCGAGTGGCGAGTGAGTGGAGAGTATGTGGCGAGTGAGTGGCGAGTGTGTGGTGTGTGGCGAGTGAGTGGAGAGTATGTGGCGAGTGAGTGGCGAGTGTGTGGCGAGTGAGTGGAGAGTGAGTGGCGAGTGTGTGGTGTGTGGCGAGTGTGTGGTGAGTGTGTGGCGAGTGAGTGGAGAGTGAGTGGTGAGTGTGTGGCGAGTGAGTGGAGAGTGAGTGGCGAGTGAGTGGCGAGTGTGTGGTGAGTGGTCAGTGTGTGGTGAGTGTGTGGCGAGTGAGTGGCGAGTGAGTGGTGAGTGGCGAGTGAGTGGCGAGTGAGTGGAGAGTATGTGGTGAGTGAGTGGTGAGTGAGTGGCGAGTGGGTGGCGAGTGGCGAGTGAGTGGAGAGTATGTGGCGAGTGTGTGGCGAGTGTGTGGTGTGTGGCGAGTGAGTGGCGAGTGTGTGGCGAGTGAGTGGCGAGTGTGTGGTGAGTGAGTGGTGAGTGGCGAGTGAGTGGTGAGTGTGTGGCGAGTGAGTGGTGAGTGAGTGCCGAGTGTGTGGCGAGTGAGTGGCGAGTGAGTGGTGAGTGAGTGGCGAGTGAGTGGTGAGTGGCGAGTGAGTGGTGAGTGTGTGGCGAGTGAGTGGTGAGTGAGTGGTGAGTATGTGGTGAGTGAGTGGTGAGTGAGTTGCCACCCGTCCTGGGTTTCCCCGGGATCGTCCTCTCTCTGAGGAATCTCTCCGAGTGAACTCTCTGCCTCCTGCCGGCTCATGAGAAGTCCTGGCGCATTCACGAGAGGCCTCCACTCCTCGCTCGACATCTTCGGGAACGCTGCTGCTATTAAACCGGCTTGGAGTCGGGATTAGCGGCGTAAGGCACTACCACGAGAGTGCAAGGTATCCCCACCCATAATCACGTGATACATCGTCATACCCTGTATCCCTACACAGTACAGACGAGGAACCCGTCTACATGAAGATGAAATGCCATGAGCCGAGAAGCATGCGGCGTGGTGCATCTATAATGCCCCGGAACATCCCGGCTGAAATCAAACACCGATAACAATAATAACAATGTTGATATTTGTTTCATTTTAAGGCCACGGTGTTAATGACGAATGTGTTGAGTTGTTGAGCGTGCACCACTGCCAACGCAGCAGGTATAGTTTGTACAACAACAGTAGTAACAACAACAACAATGATTGTACTCCGCCACTGAACACCACGGATTCGCACGCAGCTCTCCGTGTTCCGACACAACGAGAAGAAGTTCCACTTCTTCCTCTTCTTCCTCCTCCTGGGGCGCGTCCCGGTTCGTACCTCACAGGTGGCAACCCGAGTCGCAGGTCCCTCGGCTCCAGGCGGTTGAGTTCGACTCCAGCCCTCGGCTTTGGAGGGAGCTGCGGGCTCCACGTGGTGCCGGGAGACTGGGGGGGGGGGAGCCGAGGAGGAGTCCACGGCCCCAAGTCCAACCCTGGCTCGGGCAGCTGCTGGGGGGCGAACTCGTGCCGCGTGGTACCCACGCATAAATCTGTCAAAACTTCACCATTCCCCCCTCCCTGTAGGCACGCCGACTTTTTAACCCCCCCCCACCCACCCACCACCAATCCTATAGAACGGCCAATATTTAATCCACGCAGAAACCATCAAGGATGAACAATATTAACGTGTTCACACAAACAGATAGTCCACCGCCGGCTGCATTACAGAATGAAGTTGCGTACCTTGGCCACTTTATTTTGCTGAGCTGCGTGATAGCTGCAGTCAGGGGGGGCACGGTGGCACACAAGTGACACCTCTCCCACAATCCCACTTCTCCCGCTAGTACTTGTTGTCTGACAGCTGAAGAAACTGCACTGTGGCTTATTTGAAGGCCTATGCGTGAGTACATTGTCAGTAGACCCCCCCCCCCACACGCAAGCGAACGCATTTGTTACCCCCCCCTCTCCCCTCCATGCGTACGTACTGAATGGATGGCCCCCTACCCACGCACTGAGGCTCACCTAGGCGACCCCCCCCCCAACGCTACCGTAATTACAGGGGCGGTGCGCAGCTGGGCACGTTACCATGACGACCAGGTGATGCTGATCTGGACTGAACCATGATCATCTGGCTCCGTGAGTCATCGGCTCCGTATTCTTAGTCACGGCTCTGGCTCAGGCTCAGGCGAGTCGGCTCAAACGCCACGCCGACTTAACTTGAGCCGGCTCGGAGCATGGTTTCCATGCACACACTGCCTCACTGCAAGTCCACGCCTCATCCCGTCTCCATTGGAGACCCATCCCCGCGGTATAATGGTTCAGTCCGAATTGAGATATTAGAGCAGTGTGGCATACGCAGTGGAAACTTCCATATCCGTGGAAACGCCGCAACACCCCCCGCCCCCCGCTAACCCCGTCTCCCCACGTGATAATGGTTCAGTCCAGATCTAAACTGAAGCTCTACGGGGGGGGGGGGGGGGGGGGATGAGTGGAGGCGCCCGTCTGCATCGACGACGCGTGCAATGGTACAGTCCGTGCTACGCGCGGAAGGCGACAATATGGGGTGAAGTGGGAATTCCCGTCTCCACGGAAGCGCATCGCCAATCCACTAATGGTTTGGTCTGGAAGAGGGGGTGGAGAAACGGCGGTTCGCGTCTCCATGGAGACGCCACCCCCCCCCCCACACGTGAATGGTTTGCGCTGGAACTGGGGAAGTGAGATGAGAGTGGGGGGCTCCCGTCTCCGTGGAGACGCCTCCCCCGAGGGGTAGTGGTCCAGGCTGGAGCCTCTGGTTTCTATGGCAACAACCCGCTTCGTATACGGTAATGCTGTTGCACATCACCACATTAATAATGAACGAACGTAATTTAAACGCATGATATTGTGGGTGGGTATGACTCGGCTCATCGTCATCCCTTTGGGATCGATAGTTTTTGCATCCCTTTGTGAAAACCCGACAGTACATGCCCTATGGATGAACTGCAGCTCGCCATAAGAATGATTAATTTCCAGTACTGGCCCAGATGAGATAAGCGTCACGCTATGCCCACGACACAGATTCTCTTAGCATTTTGGCTTAAGAATACAAAACGGTCCACGGAAGCAGATACCGCAGAAATGATTCTGAGATCCCTTCAAGTGACCTATTATAGCGACCCTAGGGGGGGGGCAGCACTTTCCCATTGCACTGCAATGGAATTGGCCAAACACGCCGATGCAAGGACCCTCCTGAATATCGGTCTTGAGACTCCAGCGACAGCCATCACCGATAACTCCATCGCCACCGCCTTCACGAACATCACAAATACCATCAGCAGCATCTTTCACCACCACCAATCGCATCAAAGCCTTCGACAGACTGTTGGGCAAGCGCTGTTAGCGAGCACCTATGAAGGCAAGCACGCGTGCACAAAGGGGTGGGTGGTCATCACCACGTCCGGCCGCCTTTGTCTCCCCAGTGCTGATGCTCACACACCGCACCAGGTGCTCAAGACGGAGTCGACCTCGGGGGAGTCGCCGTTTGCTGTGCGTGGGAATCGAACTTGGGTCACTGGGTTCATAACAGTGCGCTAACCACTGCGCCACCGTTCCCCGCACCAAGCACATCACCAACTCCATCGCCCACATCACCACCACGACCGCCTGCAGCCTTTTCTACCATCACCACTCGCTCGTATAAATAGTCGGCAGCGTCAGTTGCGTTAAATGAACACGGGCAGAGATTCGGCCTCGGCATAGTAACGTGCAGGCGGCGGCGGCTTCTGCCAAAGTTTATTTCTGATTAAAGCACAATCACGTGACACGAATACAGGGCACAGCAGTAGCGGGAGGGGGCGGGATGGGATGATGGGGAGATGCGTGGATGATCAATCGGAGATATAAGAGGGATCAGCAGCTCAGAGGGGACAGGTGATAAAGAGAATAGAGGGGGAATGAGATGGGGGGGGGGGGGGGTCAACAGTAAGACAATGGAACCAGAGGGGGTCCTGGCTCAATATGAGATAGGGGGGTCAATAGGAAATGGGATCAGGATGATACAAAATGATCAGGAGACTGAGTTCAAGAGAACACAAGGGGATCAACAAGATACAGTGGGTGGGGGGGGGGGGGGGTGAATCAACCGAATATATAGGGGGATTCAGAGGAGATTGGGATATCAAGAATTGCGGGAACCAGCAGAGGTTGAAAGGGATGAAAAGGAATAAAGGGGAGATTTGGGGATCGAGATGGCAGGGGATCAATAGAAGACGGAGGTTCAAAGAAGACAGGGGGATGAACAGGCATCCACACATGAGGATGAAATCAAACCGGTCACCTCGGCCATGAAGGGGGAGCACCCAGCCCCCTCCCTCCCATTCTCCATCCCGACACCCCAGTCCGAGAGGGTCCGGGTGTCAGTGGCGCGCGGTGAATAAATTAAATAAATAGGAGCCTGCGACTCCCACCTCCCACCGAATGACCAATTCTCAAGGCTCCCCTCCCTCGCAATTTAATTTATAATTGCCATCATCTCCCGCTCTCATTCCTATCTGCACTCATCTTCCTGTTTTAATTCCTATCTGGACTCATCTCCCACCTGCTACCACATACAGTACTTGTCTTCCGCGACCACTCGTCTTTTTCCACACTGACATTTCCTCTCGGCACCGTCCCACATCCTAATCTCGTCTCCCTCCCATGCATCTTGCGCCTGCTCCTATCGCCTCCCACCTTACCGAGTATCGGACACCTCGTTTCCATGGACCGCTAACTCGGGGGGACTCAAAAGTGCGCTTGAGATAGCCCTCAATGATGGACAACTCGTGAGAGTTACAACAGATAAAAAGTGGCGTTTCCCATGACCTTCCAAGTTATTAAGAGTTTCCGCGCGAGTTGGATGGGGCAGGTCTACTCCCACAAATGTCCGCGGTGTTCACGTTCGCCCAGAATTCTGACGGTGGGCCCGTCGGTCCACCTGCTCGACAATTGAAATTTAGAGCGGAAACATTCGGACTCTGGCCCAAACTGGAAACCCAGCAAAGTTGTTCGTACACATAAATACAAAATAACGGCACCATCGCATTGCATTTAATACCGCATCTCGGTCTAAATTCCGGCCGTGAGAATTAAAACAACAGGTTTGACTAGTGGAAAAGAGACGAACCTCACTCTCATATGGCAGAGCGGGAGTGCAGCCCCTCTCCTGCGCGTTTGTACCGGACATTTGAAAAAGAGCTTCATAGCTCATCGGGTTTCTCCAGTCTCTATAAAGATTCTGATGTGTGAACCAGGGGTCACCTAAAGACAACGGGATCCCGGAGACGAGATCTATGATATCCTGCTTCCCGTGGACGCTTCGTTAACACCACAGGAGAGGTTGCGTTGCTCTCCCAAGATCTCCCAAAGGATTCTCGGTCCCGTGACGCGACACCAACACCACTATCGGGATAAAATTGGAAACGGTGTGCGGGGGACGGCGTGGGTAGGAATTGGGAGTGGCGTGGTTCATGGAAACGCTGTACAATTCTCATCTCTTTTCGAGGCTTCACGTGGAGCTCTCATGCTGGGATCTGAAACACTGGACCCTCTTGATATGCGCGTGTGCAAGTGTGGTTCACGTGCGCGTGTACACGTTCCCGCGCGTCTTCCTGCGTGCACGCATGTTCGTTCGCGTGTGCACGTTTGTACACATTCGTACGCGTGTGTACATGCATGTGCGCATGTTCGCACGCGTATAAATGTTTGTACGTGTTGGCACAGTAGAGGGCACAGGTGGTGAATCGGTCAGCCATCTCAGTCAGTCGACCCATGGCACCACCTGGGTCTGTCCCGTGACCTCCTGCCAGCGGGCGTTCGACACTTCACGTGGCCTTAACGTGCACATGGCCTGGCACCAGCGCCGTGGTGATGTCACCGCCACTTAGTGACGAATGGCGGTTGTTGTACGTGTGTACATGTCTTCATGTGTGTACGTTTGTATGTGTGTGTACTTGTTTACGAGTCTGTTCATGTGTACACCTGTGGGTGGACGAGTACACCTGTGGGTGGACGAGTACACCTGTGGGTGGACGAGTACATCTTCACACGTGTGCGATTTTTGTATGTCTGTGTGTCCATGCGTACATGTGCATGTTCTCATAAGGGTGTGTGTGTGTACACTTGTGTATATACATATATGCACACACTTATGAGTTGCGTAGGTATGTATGCATGTGTGTTTATGTGTGGGTGTATGTCTGTGTATGGCTGTATAGCACGTGTGTGTGTGTGTAAACATACACACACGTGGATACAGAACACGTGTGTGTAAGTGGGGAGGGGTGGTGCAGTGATTCGCGCAGTGTGCGACAAACCCGGCGACCCAAATTCGTTTCCCCGCTCATGACCAATAAGTAGCGAATGTTTTAACTGGTCCTGGGCCTCACCTAGGTCGACTCGGCCTTAAACAAGTACCTGGTGCCACGTGTAAACATCCGAATTGGGGGAGGCAAATTTGGACGGGCGTGGTGCTGGCTACCCACCCCCTTGCACGCTGTGACGGCCTTGATAGGTGCTCGCTAACAGCACTTGCCCCAAAAGTGTATTTTAAGGCTACACGGGGGATCTTTCTATTTGTAGTGTCTGTATACATCGCGTGTGTTTAAAATTGAATAGTCGTGCAAATACGCAACCACATCCCCTTCTGGGGTCGATAAAATCAGTACCACTTTGTGGGGAAGTAAACAGTGGTTGCCCCAGATACACACGCCCCTCCACCACCCCCGCCATAGGAACGTGGAATTCCCCCACTGGCTCTGCAGGGCTATAAACAGGAGTATAAGCACTGGCCAGGCTGTGTTAAGAAGACTCATGGATCGTCACGACCCCCGGGTTGGGGGGGGGGGAGGTCTGGATTCAACTCAACAATCGAGATCTGTTGTCTCATTCCAGTAGTCGAGTGAGATAATAAAAAAAGTTATCGTTTTTTTCCCCATCTCATTCGTATCGCTTTGTTCGCCCCGTAAAGTCAGCCTATCACGTGTTCACAGCGGCATCGCGATTGCACGTATTCATCCGTAAAACATTGGGTTCTGCTGCCAGCGATTCGATGCTTGTATCTATCATGAGTGTAAGAATGTATTTCACTTGACGAATTTTTGCATTGCCACATGCAGAGCGCATGTATACAATGTGTGTGTGTGTATATGTAGTTCGTATATGCACCACGTGTGTGTGCACTTGTGTATACAGTCGCTGTGTTTACACGTGTGCGAATAGTGTGTACGTTTTACACCACGTGTGTGTGTGTATATAGTATCATAGTTTATGGTTCTTTCGGTAAAGTCACATTAAGTGTATAGTATCAGTTGTGTATAATACTTGTTTGTATAAACATTGCGTTGGCGTTCATTGAGTGTGTGTGTATATATATATGCGTGTGTGAATAATTGTGTATATAACTGTACCAATAGCACCCGTGTGTATGTGTGTGTGTGGAGCAGTGGTAAAGTGGTTAGCACACTGCGCTACAAACCCAGCACCCTGAGCTCCATTCCCAGCCACTGCTAACCCCAGCGGCGAGCAATATATGTACCGGTCCTGGGCTCCTCCCTTCTAGGTCCGCTCAACCTTAAACGAGTACCCAATGCAGTGTTGTAAACCTCAGCACTGGAGAGACAAAGGTGGCGAGGCGTGGTTCTGGCCACACCAACCGCTAAGAGCGCTTGCCCAATATGGGACAAGTGCCGAGTCTAGTGTGTGTGTGTGTGTACACTTTATGTAGCGCGCACGTGTGTATATATTGTTTACGTGTTTGTGTATGTACATTTGTATATAGTACCTGCGTACGTGTGTACCTGTGAGGTGTGTGTGTGTGCGTAGTTGCACCGATATCTCACATCACACACCCCCTTCTCCGAGACTCCATCGGGGGGACCCAGGGGTCGCTTTACACACTCACTGACTCAGGGTGCCCAAGCAGGGCCAGACACCCCCCCCACCACCCATCCCGCTTGATACACGTTCAGGGGTGGCTATGGGGACCCACGTAGTCCGATGGGGTTCCTCTCGTCAGGGTCCCATCAGGTCCCCTACGTTGTCGCCACTGGGGCCGTGTTACAGGGGACCGCGGGGTTCAGGGACGAACAGCAGCCCTCGCTGTGATCCTGTGTGCACACACGCACGCACCACGCACAGCTGCGCTTTATAGAGTGCAGGGTAGAGCACAGTCAGGGTGACTGATGATCCAGCACTCACTGATTCACTGTAGTCAGTCACTCGCTCGCTGGCGGCCAGGTCGCCTACGTATTACTCTTTTATCGCTACTACCCTGATGGTGGTGGTGGTTACTGTTCCCGTGATCTTTACTCATTAATCCTCCCTCCGCACGCGTTGAGGACTCGTCGGTCCTCATCCACTCACACACTCTCACACACGCTCACCCACTTGCTCACCCACTCGCTCACCCCACCCACTCACCACCCCATAAGTTACAACACTTCTTCTCCGTTTCTTCCCTTGCACTGCTCCCTTTTAGAATTGCCGCCTCTTCCCACGTCATCCCTTTATCCCCAAGCTCTGACAACAGCAATGTGCTTTCTGAATTCAAGCAACACGTTACGCTCTCATCTATTACAGCTTTAGCAGTGCTGGTTTGTAGCTGGCCGCTTGGTGTTTTTGACCCTTTGGGGCACTGCGCTCAGCAACTGTTTAAAAATAAAACAACACATGCACAGATACATCCTGCACTTATGGGCACACCCAGCATATACACACACACATGTACAGTATACACATGATGCATGCTATGTGCGTGTGTGTGCGTGGTGTACATTGAGGACACATGGAGGCCAGTGTGTGTGGTGTGGGGGGGGGCGGCGTGTGGGTGCATGCGTCATGCATCGCTTATGAAGAGTAATGCCTCATTGAGTTAGAAAAATAGAGCAAAAACAGAGAAGGCAGCAGTCGCTGATGGGCAGAGATGGAATCAAACAGAGAGAACGACACGCAGCCAGGCGGTCAGTCAGCGAGGCGGTCAAACGACAGGCAGAGAGCCAGTTAGCCAGGCAGAATGAATAGCAGGCAGAGAGCCAGACAGACAGACTTACTGACTGACAGCCAGGGAGGTAGAGAGAATGACTGACAGGCAGACAGGATGACTGACTGAAATCCAGACAGGCAGACAGGGTGACTGACTGAGAGCCAGACAGGCGGCCGGGATGACAGACAGACAGACAGGCAAAGCTGGTCTTGCACTCAAGCCAAACACTGTTTCCGATGCTAATGGCGGGCAGGCCCTGTGGGATTTTAAATTTCGTGAGGTTGTCGGGGGGGGAGGGTGCGGGGCGGGGGCACCGTGTCAGACAAGCAGTGGGGGGGGGGGGGGGGGGGGCGGGGGAGGGGGCACCGTGTCAGACAAGCAGTGGGGGGGGGGGGCGGGGGAGGGGGCACCGTGTCAGACAAGCAGTGGGGGTGTCAGGTGAGCAACAATAAAGCAGGGGTCAAGTCGGCGGCGGGTGGAGCCAGACAGCGATGGGAAGTGGGGGCTCGTGGTGGGGGCAGGCAAGGGGGGGGGGTTGGGGGAGGCGGGGGGAGTCGCAGGACTTGAACTCACGGGGCGGCCGGGGTCTACGGGGTCCAGGGGCCGCGGGGGCCACCGCGCCTCTGAGGGCGTGGGGTTAGGGGTTAGAGGTGGCGCAGGGTTAGAACCGCACTCCCTTGACCTGGACCGAGCCGCCTCCCGCGCCCGAGGTCGGCTCGGCCCTGAATGAGTAGCGACTGCGTTGCGTGACCATGAGTCGGTGCTCCCTGGTGGTGGAAAATTGTCTGCGCGTGCCTGGGCGTGCGCGTGCACGTGGACAACTGTTGTTTTTGCGTGTGTGTGTCTGTGTATAGCGGTTAGCGACCCGAGTTCGAGTCCCACTCACGGCCTCCCCTAGGTCGACTCAGCCTCAAATGAGTACCTGGTGCGGTGTGTAGTACACATCGCCACTGGGGAGACAAAAGGAAGTCGGGCGTGGTGCTGGCCACCCGTCCCCCCGTGTGCCGTGCCGGCCTTCATAGGTGCTCGCTAACAGCACTTGCCGCAACAAGTCTGTTAAGGCTATACGGGGGATCTTTGTCTTTGGCGTTTGAGTGCACCCCTGTGCATCCATGTGTACCTGTGTGCTTGCATGTGTGTGCACCTGTTTGTGTGCATGTGCACCTGTGCCTGTGATAGTTGTTTTTGTTCTGATTTCTGTATTGATTTACTTGATTTAATTTGTTTGGCTTTATCCACTTTGAGTGACCCAGACTCATCCTGGTCTCTGAGTTCTCATTTAGTGAAACAAAATTAACTCGTCTGTGCGTCTCTAAAAGTGTCTGTGTGTACCTGTGTACATCTAGGAGTGTACTTATGAGTGTCTCCCTGTTTGCTTGTGTTCTCATGAGTGTCATTCCATGTACCGCCACCACCACCACCACCACCACGCACCTCATTTCCTCCAGCTGCCCGCTCCTGTTCCCCGCTCTCTGCTCCCTTCCTCGCAGCGTCTCCGTTCCCCTCCGCTCCGCACTCCGCGTCCAGCGAATCGCAGCTCCTGCGAAGCTCCGTGCTCTGGGGCCCGACACTCAGCCTGGCGCCCGCGCGGTGCTCACCGCCACCGCGAGCTGTGGCGGCCTTGACAGCGGCGGCGGCAGGCGGCACCGGCACCACCCCATCCATGCCGGGCCTGGGGCTCGGTGACCGCTCCCTGGCGGTGGCGGCCACCGCCATCGCTGCCGTTGGTACGGCGAGCGTGAGCATGGCCGCTCGGGGCGGCGGCACCGGCGGCGGCGGCGGCACCGGCGGCACCGGCGGCGGCGGCGGGGACGTAGCCACGGAGAAACCGAGGATGCTGAAGAGGCTGCTGGGCCGATCGTCCCCGGCAACGCGCGTGACGGGCGAGTCGCGTGTCGTGGTGGAGCGGGCCCACGGCGAGAGGCTGCCGACGCCGGGCGCGCCGCCGCCTGCAGTCCCCGGCCTCGCGTCGAGCCTCCCGGACGATCCCCCGCCGCCCGGCGAGCGGCGCAGCGAGCGCGGGGAGGCGCCGGCCAGGCCGCGGGCGGCGGCGCTGGCAGTCCCCGACGACGGGCGATCGGCGCGGGACGAGGAGAACGAGGCGGAGGAGGCGGTGGAGAGCGGGCGAGCGTGCAGGGCTCCGCGCGATGGAGACGCCGCCGGGGTCGAGCCGGCGCTGCCCCGGGGGGTCGTGGTGGCCGGGCCGCGCCGGGGTGCCCAGGCCGAGCCGGAGGTTTGCGTGGACACGGAGTGGCGGGCAGGAGGGCCGCCACCGGGATTCACGATGGTGCCGTTGGTGCCGTCGGCGTCGCCGTCCACCTGCGTGGCGACGGAGGAGGAGAGGCGAGCGGTGGCGCGGGACGCGACGCGGCGCTTCATGTCGTCCGAGAGGTTGGTGGCGCCGGCGGGGTCCACTCTTGGCCCCACGGGTGCCTGCACAAAGCCGAGCGTCGTCCGGGGGTGGGGGGGGCCATGATGGTATCATCATCGTCAGCAGGCCTGGTATTATCGCTGCATCGCACGGTCCAGCGATGCAGCAATCTATCCCTGCTCGTGCACACAAAAAGCCGACTTTATCGTTCCATCTCTGTGATGGCTGTCCACTCAGTTTTGCTTGGCTGCTATTCCATTGTTGGTCTCGACCACCACTGAATCATCCCTTCGAGCCAATCATCCCTTCTGCTTACTTTTCTTCACAGTCAAATGTCGTCTGTAAATTGTTGAGGTTTAAAAAAAATGTAAATGTGTCTCCTCTTTCTGTCTCGGCGTAATTCCACGCGTGCACCATCTCCACGCTTCTAAGCGCAACTTCCAGCTTTGGCTTCCATTCTCGGCTTCGGCACCCCGTTTTGGGGTTTGTTACAGACATGCCCGTGCCGGTCTGATGCAAGTCTGTCGTCTGTGAGCGCGCATACGTTCGTCACAGACACACGCTCTGCATCCCGAGCCACGCACGTACGGCCGAGCAGCAGCTCACCGGCATTCGTCTAAGCGAGCCCGACGGCGGCTGATGAGACACGCAAATGTTAAAACCGGTTAAGGAGTTTCGGCTAAGTTAAGCACTTTCTCAGAAGGCCTTGACGCGGCTGATGGGATGTGTGAATAACAAACATTTTTTGTTGGTAATTTTGCACGTGCACTAACTAACATGTGAAGGATGCGTAATAAGTCTGCGTGTTTATTGTGTTGCTTATATTCCTCCACGACCACACTGAACGGTTATCACGCATCACGCAGCGAAGCGTACGAGTCGATGGCCGGTGCCTTAGCTGCATCGGACTCATTGGTTCAAATCCATTCTTAAAAGTTCAAGACTGCGCGTGCAACAGCATCGAACGCTTAGACGGGCGACGACCCCCGCTTAGACGGGCGACAGGTGCTGCGGGCTGCCGTGAGACCAGTCTGACCGTCGTGGTGAAGTATGGTCAAATAGCGCCCCCCGTTCACCCCGGCCAATTACCCGCAACGCTGTGGGGAAGTCCTCACCCAGCAGTGGACGGACCACGTGCACGTGCGACAGAGACACCACACCCACCTCGTTTCTACGTCCCCTCCACACCTCCCTCCTCTCCTCGCCTTCCTCCTCCTCCTCCGCCTGCCTCTCCCCCCCCACCACCTCGTCGTCCTCCTCCTTCTCCGTGTTCGAGGCTCTCCACCCCCTCCCCCTGCGCCTGCGAGGCTCGCCCGGGGCCCCCGCCTCCTCGGGGGGCTCCCCCCACCCCCGCGGGGGGCACCCCTCCCCCCAGGGCGACGAGAACTCGCGCACGAAGCGCACGTCGTCCGGGGAGAGGGGGGGCGGCGGCGACGGGGGAGGGGAAGGGCTGGGGGGCTCGCCGTGGAGGGGGTCGTGGGGGGTCTCCACCATGCCCCCCGTGGGGAGGAATGGGGAGCTCTCCATGAGGCGGCGGAACTCGGACATGGAGGAGACGGAGCGGGCCCTGTCAAAGCCGGGTGGGGGGGCAGGGAGGTCAAGAGGTCATGGACAGAGGTCATGAGGGGAGCGGGGGTCAGGGTTAGGTCATGAGCACAGAGGTCAGGTTGGAGAGTCTGGGAATCCGTAGTGATTATGGTTGGGGCTAAGGTCAGATTCAAGGTTATGGTCAGACGTGGTTAGGATTAGAGTTGGGATTTGGGACAGGGTTACAGCTATGGCTGGGGTTGCAGTTTTATGGTCACGGATAAGGTTTTGGTAGGAGCCAGGGTTAAGGATAGCATGTGTGTGTGTGCGTGCATATGTGTGCGTGTTTGTGTGTGCGTGTATGTGTGTGCATGTAGGTGTGTGTGTGTTTGCGTGCGTGCGTGTGTGTGTGCGTGCGATGGCAGTGGGCATGCCCCACCGTCTCAGCCCGCTGCCCTGCTCCTCCGCCTCCTCCAGGTCTCGCCGTACCACATCCCCAACCTCGGGCCACAGGGACGCACAGCCACACTCACACTGCAGCGGGAGGGAGAAGCACATACAAAGGACAAAGATCACCAGTACAGCCTTCGTCTGACTGCTGGGGATAATGAAGGCTGGCGTGGTGCGCGAGGGGGTGGGTAGCCAGCTCCACACCCGGCCACCTTTGTTTCCCCACCCCCCCCCCCCCCCCCCCCCCCAATACTAATGTTTACACATCGCACCAGGTATTCATTTGAGGTTGTGTTGACCTCGGTTAGGAGCCCTGCACCAGTTCTGATAATCGTCACTGGTGTTGGCTGTGAGCTACCAATAAGAACTGAAATCCCACCACACAACACCGACGAGTCCAAGGGGCGGCCAGTATTTGTGCGCGTGCACGTGCGCGTACGCGTGCGTGTGCGCGTGCGTGTGCGCGTGCGTGTGCGTGCGTGTGCGCGTGCGTGTGCGTGTGCGTGCGTGTGCATGTGCACGTGGCGGCACCTGCGCGAGGCAGGACAGGAGGCGTCTGCGCTCCGTCTCCCAGGACGTCCTGCGCTCGTGAGCAGTGGCGGTGCGGCGCTCGCGACTCCTCAGCTCTGCCAGCAGTGACTCGACCAGCGCGTGACACGCGGCCTGCGGCGCACGCACGCACGCACGCACAGACAACGGTCATCCATGTAGTCAGACTGTTGGGGCAAGTGCTGTTAGCGAGCACGTGAAGGCCCAGCACGGCGCACTAGGGGGTGGGGTGGTCTGCACCACGCCCGGTCACCTTTGTCTCCCTAGTGGCGATGCTTACACATCGCACCAGGGGCTTGCATACACAGGCACACGAGAAAAAGACAGATCCCCCGTGGAGCCTACACAGGCCGTTGGGGCGAGTACTGGTAGCGGGCAAATCTACGAAGACCAGTACGGTGCCTGAGGGGTTGGTGAGGCCAGGACCACGTCCGGGCCACCTTTGTCTCCCCAGTGCTGATGTTCACCACATCGCGCCAGCAACTCATTTAAAGTCCATTGCCGGTTCAGATGCTCGCCATTGATGTTGGCTGTGAGCGCGAATCGAACTTGAGTAGGGGCCTGGCTCGTAGCGCAGTGTGCTAACCGTTGTGCCACCGCTCCTCATTCCCACTCAGTAGCGGCGACGTCACCACGGTGCACGTACACACACACACATACACATACGGCTGCAGACAACCACCAGTGTGGGGCACGCGGCCTGTGGCACACTTGAGCAGTAGCACGAGCCAGAAATGTTCAGGGTTACACCTTGACCTTGCACACAATGTGAGAGTTGGGCGAGAGCCTGGATACCGGTGGGTGTGCGCGTGAGTTCATGAGTGTGTGTGTGGACACTTCAAAATGGGACCTTTCTGCTAGTATCAAAAGTGTGACAAAATAAGAATAGGCATTACCCTTTCTGGAAATAAAAGTGTGAACGCTTTGTAGGTGAGTGAGTATGTGTGTGTGTGTGTGAGAGTGGGCGGTGGTGCCGTGGTTAGCACGCGCCACGAACCCGGCGACCAGATTCCCGCTCACGGCCAACACCGGTGACGATTATCTGAACCGGTGCTGGGCCTCACTTAGGTCGACTCAGTCTTAAATGAGTACCTGGTACGGTGTGTAAATATCGCCACTGGGGAGCCAATGGCGGCCGGGCGTGGTGCTGGCCACCCACCCCCTCGTGTGCCGTGCCGGCCTTCACAGGTGCTCGCTAACGGCACTTGCCCCCTACAGCCTGTTAAGGCTATACGGGGGGATCTTTGTCTTTGTTTGCATGTGGATATCTGTGAGTGAGTGTGAGGGACTACGTAAGTGAGTGTGCATGTACACACCCGTGAGTGAGTGAGTGTGTGGACACCTGCGAGTGAGTGTGCATGCAGACACCTGTGAGCTCTCGCTCAGGGAGTGAACTCCGCTGTCCTCCGTGCCAGGGGAGTCGTCCGATCGGTCCTCGACGCCCTCTCCGTCCCCCCGGCTCAGCTCCACCTGCTCATGGTGGAGTGAGACGAAAAACACGGATGTCCCTGTTACCCGCAGACCGCACTCTCACGGGGCCTCCACACAACGGCACACAGACCGGTCCCCCTCTCTATGTGGTAGTGTCCTTCACTCGTTTTCAGAGGGCAGCCGCTTCTGCCGATAAGACATCATCAGGGTGTGTGACAGCACGATGATGACGGGGGGGGGGGGGGGGGGGGGGGTGTTTTCACATTTGTGACTTATCGGGGCGGTGCACGTCAGGGGTTGCACTAAAGGTGACCAGAGGCCACCATTGGCCAACGGGGCCCTGTCTATGATGGGGTTCTCTCGACAATGACAGACAGAAGACCGGTCTCTATAGGGGTCTCTAAACAATGACAGACAGAAGACCGGTTTCTGATGAGGTCTCTAGCACAGTGTGGTTCCGAAACTGTGAGCCGTGGGCCACGGATGGTCCAGAAGGCCGTGGGGAAAGCGGACCGTGAAACTGTCGTAAAGTTCTACATATTAACAGTCATTTAAAAATTATGACAACATTTTTTAGTCGGTGCTTGGTGGCCTGCAAACATTCTTTGAGGGTCGACAGTTGCCCCACGGGTCCGGAAACGTTACTACGACTACTACTACTCTAGACAACGGTAGATGAGATGGAGCAGTCTCCAAGGGGCCTGTTGGGGAGGTGGGTGTCTCGTAAAGGGTACCTGGGCCCTGGGGCCCTGCCCGTTGGCGACGGTGCCTCTGCGTGGGCCCAGCAGCTGCTTGAGCTGCAGGAGCAGCTCTCGGGCCCCGAGTTCCCGGCTGGAGTGGTCCCCCTCCTCCTCCCCCTCGTCGTTGTCGTTGTCGTCGTCGCCGCTGTCGTCGCCGCCGCCGTCGCGGCCCCGTCCCTCCGGACGTCGCTGCCGCCTCTCTGCCCACGCCACCCCATCCCCGCTATTGTCCGAGTGCGTGCGTCTCCGTGTCGTGTCCGTGTCTCTCCACGTGGTGTCCGAGTGTCTCCTCGCCGAGTCCGAGTCTCTCCGTGTCGCGTCCGAGTCTGTTTCACTTTGGTCCCAAGAATCCCAAACGCCGTTCTCCTGCTGCTGCTGCTGCTTTTCCTGGTGCTGCTCACCGGCCCAGAATCGAGGAGTTGAACCCGGTGTGGGTGGGTGGGAGGGTGTGTGTGGGTGAGGTACAGGGTTTGGGGTTGGGGGGGGAAGGGTTTAGGGTCAGGGTTACGGGTTAGGGGACAGCAGTGCAGGGTATGGGTTCAAGGGCCAGGGAAGGGGGTCAAGGGTCAGGAGTCCACGTTTGTGGTTAGGGGTCAAGGGTTTATGTTTTGGGGGTTAATGGGGTGAAGGTCAGGGATGCGAGGTTTAGGGCCAGAGGGTCCAGAATTTGGGGTCAGGTTTAAGGCTCACAATTATGAGTCCATAATTTAAGGTCAAGGTTGGGGTTAAATTTTGGGGGGTTATTGGTACAAAGTTGAGACATGGGGTTTAAAGGTCAGGGTCAAGGGTTAATGGACATGAGTGGGGGATTCAGGGTCAAAATTGGCATCCAGGGTTTGGGGTTCAGGCCAGAATGTGGGTGGGGGAAGCGGGGAGGGGGAGGGAGCAGAGGGGAGGGGTGCAAGGGTCAGGGGAGAGGGGGGGGGGGCAGATAAACAAACCAAAGGAAATAAACAAAAATGGGCAAAATCAACGGCAATTTAAAAAAAACAAAAATGAAACCTACAGGACAAAGAAAAGGGTGAAAATGAAAACTAATTTGAAGATGGTGGAGTAGGAGAGGGAAGAGAAGAGAACAAGGATGAGGATGAGGAGGATGATGGGCTGGAACATCTGTGGGTCAGGTCGGGGTCAGGAGAGGCAGGAGGGGGGGGGGACATAAGGAAGCCCCAAGTTATGTCGGACATGCAGATGGGAGGCTGACGTGAGTGAGCACGCCACTCGCTCGCTCCCGACACCCAGGTGAGGAGTCACGGTGAGGGTGGCGAGTGAGTCACTGTGAGAAGCCATGGGTTTGGGTTAAAGGTCTGGTGACGACCGAGATTAGAGGTCTCATTGATTTGTTTGGTGAGTGGCCAGGTGAACGGTCTGATGAGAGGTTGAGTGAGGACCCAAGTGAAGAAAGGCCTGGTGATGACCCAGATAAGGGATCTCATGATTTGTCTGGTGAGTGGCCAGGTGAGGCGTCTGATGAGAGGTCCGGTGATTACCCGGATTAGGAGAATTATTAATTTGTCTGGTGAGTGGCCAGGTGAGACATCTGGTGAGTGGTCTGGTGATAACCCGGATTAGGATAATTATTTATCTGTCTTTTCAGTGGCCAGGTGAGCGGTCTGGTGAGAAGGTCAAGTGAGGACCCAATTGATGGGTTTGGTGAGTGTCCAGGTAAAAATTCTGGTGAGGAGCGGCAGTCCAGGTGAATGGACAAGGTGAGCAGTCAGGGTGAGTACCCATGTGAAGTGCAGTGAGGAGTGGGCGGAGGAGTGAGGGGAAGAGTGAGATGATGGGTCAAGTGTCAAGTCAGAGTGCAGAGTGAGGTGAGGCATCAGCCCGAGTGAGTGAGCAGTGAGGTGAGGAGTGGAGTGGGGAGAGAGGGGTGAGTGGCTGAGATGTCATCGGTGCTTAAGTCAAAAAGTCAAAGTGGTTTCCCACTCAAGTGAGCGTGGGGCAGCGTTCATCTCCCATTTACAACCCTGGCAATTCCACGTTCCTATGGCAGGAACAAATAATTCAACGGGATAACCACTGTTGACTTTCAACAAAGTGGAACTCATTGTATCGACCACTGTGAGCGTCGATGTACGCGCTCCAGGGAGACACACACACACGTATCCATATGCACGCAAACACCCATGTATACTTACACAAAATCAAAGATCCCCCCCGTATAGCCTTTAACAGCATGTCAGGGCAAGTGCTGTTAAAGGGTAGCACCTATTAAGGCCAAAAGAGCACAAGAGGGGGTGGGTGGCCAGAATCACGATTCCCGGCCGCCTTTGTCTCCCTAGTGACAATGTTTACACATCGCAGCAGATACTCATATTGAGGCCAAATGTCCATAGGGAATGGTCAAGGTCTGGTTGACATAATCGTCAATGGTTATAACCTTGAGTGGGAATCGAACTCGGATCACTGGGTTCGTAGCGCAGCGTGCCAACCACGACACTACCTCTCCCCACACTCACACAAGACAAAGATCCACCGTATAGCCTTAACAGATTGTTGGGCAAGTGCTCTTAGTGTGCACATATGAAGGCCGGCACGGCACACGAGGGGGTGGGTGGCCAGCACCACCACACTTGGCCAAGTTTGTCTCCCTCGTGACGATGTTGACACACCGCATCAGGCACTCATTTGAGGCCGAGTCGACCTAGGGGAGGCCCAGAACCGCGAGTGGGAATCGAACTCGAGTCGCCGGGTTTATAGCGCAGCACGCTAACCACTACGGGGTACCGCTCCCCACACACACAGCCACGTGGACAAACACAGACCACTCGACACTCCCCGCACCTGGTTGATGGCGGAGGGCGGCGTCTGCTCGTCGTCCCTCCACATGGAGGAGGAGGAGGAGGCGGCGGCGCCGTCGCCCCCCCCTCCGGCCGCCCCTCCCAGCGCCGTCGCGAACGTGCGCAGCTCCCTGCGGAAGTCGCGCATCACGGCGCTCAGCAGCTGTGCCTCGCGGCACGGCCCAGGCCCCGCTCCGGTCACGACCCCGACGGCTCCCGGCGTCGCCAGCCGCTCGGCCTCCCCGATGACGCGGTCCACCGTGCGCGCCAGCCGCTCCGCCTCGCGCCGCATCCCGGCCACGCGCGCGTATGCCGCCAGCACGTCGAGCCCAGCGCCGGGGGACAGGCGGCAGCACGTGACCTCCGAGCCCGCCGCCTCCCCGTCTCCTCCTCCTCCGCCGCCGCCGCCGGCGGCGGCCGTCGTCGCCGTCGACGTCGCGGCGGCCGCGCCGTCGCCGCCGCCGCCGCAGCTGCCGGGCCCGGCGCCGCCCACCGACGCCGGCGGTTTCTCTCCTCCGGCCGTGGCGGCATCGCTTTCCCCTCCGATGGGGCCTTCGCGAGCGCGGCGCGGGGGGCGGCCTTCGTCGCCGTCCATCTCCGCGATCGTGGCGTCCCGCGATTGCCCGCCCGGCACCGCGGCCGCCGCCGCCGCCGCCGCCGCCGCCTCCTCTTCGCGCCGCTGCAGGCTGGTCGTGAGCAGCCGGTTCTCCTGCTGGAGGCGCAGCACGGCACCGCTCAGCTCGCCCAGCTGCTGCCGCGCGGCGCGCAGCTCCTCCCGCACGGCCGGGTCCCCGTGCGGCCGCCGGTCTTCGCCCGCCGCCGGTGCCGTCCCCCGGCCCTGCTGCTGCTGATCGTCGGGGTCGGAGGTCGCCGTTCGCGGGGTGGGCGGCACCACGTCGGTCGCGACCGTCTCATCCTGGGAGGCCCCGGCGGCGCCGTCCCGCTCGCCAGGTGGACCAGCGAGGCCGCCGCCGCCGCCGCAGCCGACGCCGGCGCGCGCGTCCTCCAGCTCGGCCTTGAGGCCCCGGTTCTCGATCTCCAGCTCCACGATCTTACGGCCCAGGATGTTGGCCTCCTCCTCCAGCAGCTTGAGGCGCAGCTTGAGCTCGGCCTGGCGCGAGCTGGGCGGCCCGCCGGCCTCGCCGAGCGCCGGCTGGCCGTCGAGTTCACCGTAGAGCGCGCGGTAGCGCTGCAGCTCCCCCTCGGAGCGGTCGCGCTCCTTCCCCACGCGCGCCAGCTTGCGCCGCATCAGCACCGCCTCCTCCTTGGCGAACTGCAGCTGACACCGCAGGTCGGCGCTGTCCTCCTGCGTGCGTGCGGGAGGGAGGGGTTGGAGGTTGGAAGAGGGGATTTGGTGGGGGGGGCAGAGGGCAGGATCGGTGGGCGGTGGCGTGGTGTGTGGGGAGGGAGGGGATGAAGAAACACTCCGGGCATGCATTGAAATGTATATCCCAAGGGTAAAAGGTCATCAACAATGAGCAATCGAATGCAGGGCTGCACATTTGACTTTTTACTAACAGCTGGGCTGGCGAATGTAGATAGATTTGGGCGGGGTGAAATCACCATTGCCATATCTCAGTCTACGTAAATGTGAGTGTTTTTACTCAGTTACGCGATTTATCATCAAGCCACTGCTGGATGAAGGCCTACCCAAGGCGTTGCCATCCCACAAAGTACTGCGATGCGACAGTCCACCTACTACCACCTGCACCACGAGCTGATTTCACCGCTCCATCTCCTTGGTGGAGGCCCTCTCGTTTCTTCGAGCACGAGAGGATGACCTCCACCCGCTGTGGAGCTGGAGCGATGAATTCAGCTCGCGTGCAGCAGCGAGGTGGTCGACGTGCATATCCCCGTGTCTCTGTGTCTCCGTGGGCTTTCGCGGCGTCTCCACAACATGCGTCTCTGTTGCTGTGTGCATCCATCTCGGATTGTCGCCATAAATATTCACGAATCTCCACTTTGTCTCCATTATGTATTCATATGTAATCTCGTTTCCGTGTCTTGCTATGAGCTAATATGTTTTCTCTGCATGGCGCCGTGTGTCGCTGCACATCTGCCAGTGTCTCCACATGTGCCTGCATGTCAGCATACATCTCCCATGCGTCTCCCTGTCTGCGCTTCATCTCTATGTCTCCGTGTGTCTCCACGTGTCTCTAAGAGCCTCTCTCCGTGCGTGTCCCCGTGCATACCTGTGCTGGGGACTTCTTGTCTGCTTTTTGCGGCTCCCGGCTCCGTCTTCGCAGGGAATTCTGGAGGACAAAACATAAATCAACAGCACAATTCCTACGGACGTCCTATGCTGTCTCACCACCACAACTCTGCACCCATGGCCCTCATCCCCGTGCTGTTTGGGCCTTCACATTTGTTGGTATTGTGAAGGCCTAAGAAGGTTGGCAGGATGTCCACAGGGGGGTATAAACACTTCTGCCTCACGGCAACAAGGGCCTGGCTTCGATTCCGGACTCGGGACACCCCCCGGCCTGTGTGGCTTTCCTCCCCATATCTAAAATTAACCCGAAATTCCATCTGGTATTGGCCAAATGTCTACAGTGCTGAAAAACGACCTGCAAATTGCACAGTTCGGGGGTCGCGCACACAGCGGCAGCATCGCCCCCCCCCCCCCCAAAAAAAAAAACTTGGAAGAACCCTCCTGCAAAAGGGGCTTGAGGGGACGCGGACACGTGGGCGAAGCTATGAAACAGGATGGTGGGGGTAGGGTGGGGAAAGGGGGGAGGGGATGCGGTGGCTTAACAGGGCACACGCAGGCTGTGGCGGGTGCCGTCATCTCTGTTGTCAAACTTGGCACCGTCGTTGCTGGGAACGGCCCCTCTCGGCCGTTACCCACACGGTCACATGTGTGGCCACTCAGCCAAGAACAAAGACAAAGAACACCCCGTAAGGCTTTGAGTGGCGGTAGCGGGCACCGATTAATACCGACCGGTCGATAGATTGGCCAATACCATGCCCGGCCACCTCTCTCTCTCTCTCTACCTCTGCCACTGCCGATGTTTGCACACTGCGCTAGGTACACATTTAAGGCCGAGTCGATCTCGAGGAGCCCCAGAACCGCTTGCGATGTTTTTTTTTCACGGATGTCGCCGGGTTCATGGCACAGTGGGCTAAGTATTGCGCCACTGCTCCCCACACTTGCTATCGAGACACAATACACACAGACATGAATCTACAATCCCAGCCAGCCACACACATACACTACCCCCAACCTCAATGCTGCAAACACAGGCACAGACACCAAAGACAGAGATCCCCCATAAAGCCTTAACCGACTTTAGGGGTAAGTGCTGTTAGCGAGCACCTATGAAGGTCGGCACGGCACACGATGGGTTGTGTTGCAAAGACCACGCCTGGCCGCCTTTGTCTCCCTAATAGCGATGTTTACACATCGCACCAGGTACTAATTTCAGGCCGAGTCAACTTTGGAGAGGCCCAGAACCGGTCCAGATAATCGTCACTTGGTGTTGGCAGTGAGCGGGAATCGAACTCGGGCTCGCCGGGTCCACAGCGCAGCATAGCGCTAACCGCTGTGCCACTACTCATGCACTACCGCTAACCTCTCTGCTATAGACACACACTGCCCCACACTATGGACGCACATACACACACACACAGCCACACGCACAAACCCTTAACCCTGCCAGCCACACACGCCCTAACCGCTCTTTGAGCACTGTATTTGGTCAGTAGGGATGGATGAAGGAGTGTAGATGATTACTTGTGTGCACAAGTGTACGAGTGTGCATAGGGTTTGTACAATCAGTGTGTGTGTGTGTGGTGGGTGGTGGTCGGGGGGGGTGGCGGCGAGCGGTGGTGCAGTGGTTAGCGCGCTGTGCTAGGAACCCCGGCGGGGCGGCCCCAGTTGAATTTGATTCCCACCGATCAGGAACGCATATATATGAACCGGTCCTGGGCCTCCCCTATATTTACTCAGCCTTAAATGATGCAATGACGCGGTGTGTAATGATCAGCACTGGTGGGGTGACACAAAAGGCGGCCCCGGCCGTGATGTTGGGCCACTCCCCCCTCGTGTGCTTTGCCGGCCTTCACAGCCGTTCACAAATATCACTTGCCCCAAACACTGTTAAAGACTATACAATGCAGCTTTGTGTGTATATGGGAGAGGATGAATGAGCGTGTGTGGAAATATATGAGCATGTGTATATGAGCGTTGGTGCATTCTGTACGCACTGTGTGAATATGAATGTTAGCGAGTTGTCTCTGTGTATGTTGCGTGTATATGCAAATGTGTATATGAGTGTTAATGAATTCTGCACGCACTGTGTGAATATGAATGAGTGTTAGCGAGTTGTCTCTGTGTATGTTGCGTGTATAAGCAAATGTATGGGGAGCGGTGGTGCAGTGGTTAGCGCGCTGCGCTACGAACCCGGCGACCCGAGTTCGATCGCCGCTCACGGCCAAACACCCAGCGAAAATTATTTGAACCGGTCCTGGGCCTCTCCTAGGTCGACTCAGCCTCAAATGAGTACCTGGTGCGGTGTGTAGTAAACATCGCCACTGGGGAGACAAAGGCGGCCGGGCGTGGTGCTGGCCACCCACCCAATAATCGTGTGCCGTGCCGGCCTTCACAGGGTGCTGCTCGCTATCACAGCAGGAATCAGTAGTGTACGATATGAGCAATATTGAATGTTAGTGCAATCTGCACTAACATGTACTGTATACACGAGCACGTGTCTACGACTGTTATGGACCGTGCGAGTGTGAATGAGCGGGTGTCATTGTGTTGGCCGCTGCGTGTCCGGTAAATCTGCTTAGCAGCAGCTGGCTCCGTCCCATTTGCAGACGAAGCCTTAAAACCTCCGACAACAGACGCAGATTCCCATGGCGTCACGTTACAGTCATCCACACACACACACGTGCATTCACACACACGTGCATTCACACACACACGTGCATTCACACACAAACACGCATTCACACACACGTGCAGTCACACACATACAAAACAAAGATCCCCCGTATAGCCTTAACAGACTGTAGGGGCAAGTGCTGTTAGCGAGCACCTATGAAGGCCGGTAACGGTACACGAGGGGGTGGGTGGCCAGCACCACGCCCGACCGCCTTCGTCTCCCTAGTCACACAACAACAACCGCCATTTGCCACTAAGTGGCGGTGACGTCACCACGACGCTTGTGCCAGGCTATGTGCACCCTGAGGCCACGTGAAGTGTCGAACGCCCGCTGGCAGGAGGTCACGGGTCAGACCCAGGTGCCACGGGTCGACTGAGATCTTGACACCGCTGGTACCAGTCATCGGCAAGTCCACTCAGCTCCACGTCCTCCTGTACCACATCACTCCATCTCTTCTCTAGCCCGTGCCGCGCCTGCTTAGCTCCCTCAATCCGGCCAAACAAAAGCTGTTTCGGCATGCGGTGGCTGGGCATGCGGGCTACATGACCCAGCCATCGCAGCCTTCCCCGCCGGAGGAGCTCACCGATGGGACCTTGCCCAGATCTTTCAAGGATTTGTGAGCTCCTCACACAATCCAGTCTGGTTAAACCCAGGATGGATCGTAGGCAGGCCAGCCTAAATGTTTCTAACAGGCGAAGATTTCCATTAGGGGGGTCCACGTTTCGCAAGCGTAGAGAAGGGAGGGAATGACCGTGGCCGAGAAGACCTGAAGCTTAGTGCGGAGCGACAGACCAGGTAGCTTCCACACAGCGTTACGCAACCGATGAAAAGATATTGCCGCTCGACTGATTCGGAGTGAGACCTCTGCTGTTAAACTGGAGCCAGTCATAAGCACACTGCCCAGGTATGGGAAACTCTCCACTCTCTCCACAACTGCCCCATCACCGATTGGGAGTTGTGGGGGTGGAGTGTCCGATGGTACAAAATACCCAGGCAGGTGCTTAGTTTTGGTGGGGCTGATGGTAAGGCCCCACCTCTTAGTGGCACGCTCCAGTCTCAGCAGCAGCGTCTCCAACTCCTCCTCTGAATGAGCAGCTATTACCAAATCATCAGCATACATAACGTGGTTGAGCAATAGGGAGTCATCCCTTGACCGCACCCGGGCATCGATCAGCCTCCCATTATATCTGTACCATATGGAGATTCCCCCGGTACAGCTATTGAAGGCTTCACGAACTACGTGGTCAAAATAGATGTTAAATAATGTGGGAGCCAGAGGACATCCCTGTCGCACCCCAAGGTGTACAGGGAATGGCTCTGACTCCCGGCCACGTAGTTTTACCCGGCCCCGCTCACCATCATGAAGGTCCTTAATGATCGTGAGCAGAGGGTCAGGTACTCCAAAAGCACGAAGAACAACCCAGAGCCCAGGCCTACTGATGGTATCATAGGCCTTGACCAGGTCAATAAAGCAGTGATGTAGGTCTTGTTGGAATTCCCTACACCTCTGCTGTAGCAGACGGACAGAAAATATGGCATCTGTGCAGGACCGCCCTTTCCACACACACACAGTCACACACGTGCTGTCACACACACACAGTCACACACACACACGTGCATTCACACAACAACCGCCATTCGCTACTAAGTGGCGGTGACGTCACCACGACGCTTGTGCCAGGCCATGTGCACCTTGAGGCCATGTGAAGTGTCGAACGCCCGCGGGCAGGAGGTCACGGGGCAGACCCAGGTGCCACGCGTCGACTGACTGAGATGACTGGCTGATGCACCACCTGTGCCCCCTACTGTGCCAACCTGCTGTGCTTTAGCCACCCGGCGCTCTGCTCGTTGTTGTGAGCGTCGCTCCTCCGCCCTCCGTTGTTGTTGGAGGGCGACTGCCTCCAACTGCCCAGTAGCGTCCTTCACGAGCCTCCTCCACAGAGACCGATCTTGACACCGCTGGTACCAGTCATCGGCAAGTCCACTCAGCTCCACGTCCTCCTGTACCACATCACTCCATCTCTTCTCTAGCCCGTGCCGCGCCCGTTTAGCTCCCTCGATCCGGCCGAACAAAAGCTGTTTTGGCATGCGGTGGCTGGGCATGCGGGCTACATGACCCAGCCAACGCAGCCTTGCCTGCCGGAGGAGCTCACCGATGGGACCTTGCCCAGATCTTTCAAGGATTTTGAGCTCCTCACACAATCCAGCCTGGTTAAACCCAGGATGGATCGTAGACAGGCCAGCCTAAATGTTTCCAACCGGCGAAGATGCTCCATTAAGGGGGTCCACGTTTCACACAAAGAAAAAAGATCCCCCATATAGCCTTAACAGACTGTAGGGGCAAGTGCTGTTAGCGAGCACCTATG